ACGGCTCAGGCGCGGTCCGTCGCCGACGCCCTTGCTGACTGCACTACAACAAACTTCCACGCACCCATTCAAAGCTCAGGATGTGTCTGCAGTTACTGAATGGAATAACCTCCTGCGACGAGACCGACGAAAGATTCGTTTGCTACATCCGACTTGCACTCTGAAAAGCCCGCAAGGCCAACACACTTCCCTAGCTGAATGCTTCGTTCGAACCACCGAGCAGAGCGAAACTGCACTACAACAAACTTTCACGCACCCGCTCAAAGCCCAGGATGTGTCTGAAGTTACCGAAAGGATTAACTTCCTGCCGTTGGAGAATCGTATATGCCATTGTACAGTGATCTGCCACCGGTGACCGGCCTTGCAACCCCGGGGGTACACAAGCCGCAAGCGGGAAAGCGCCTGTGCACTCCCGGGGGCACGCAGGACCGGTCCGCTCTTCCGCTGTGTACTCCCGGGAGTGGCCACACCCCGCGCGCCGAATGACTGTGTACCCCCGGGAGTACACAGCTTTGTCGGCGGATCAGGCCGCGTCCTCCCGGGGTTACACTCTTGTCACGCGCCGACTCTGACTGTGTATGTGTGTACCCCCGGGAGTACAAAGCCCCTAGTACAAGGTCCTTGGCCGATGGACCGATATCCCTGCTCACTCGACTACATAAACTATCACGTCAACGGGGTAGAAGGTATGCGGTGACGTATTCGATTCTTGCTGACATATTATCGCAAGCACTGTACAACGAGCGTTCCGCCGCTGCGATTTCCGCTGCGTACTCCGTGGGCGTGTAGGGTCACGCACCCAAGACCGCAGGTCCGAGTCGAGTCCTCCGTGTTAGTAGTACTAGCAGTGAGCGCCGTTGTTCACTCGGAACGCGTCTGTACCCACTTTGGGGTTCTGTTGGAACAGACAACTACAGCAACACCAATCCTCCCCGCCCTTCGCCCGCCCCCCCCCCCCCCCCCGGCTCTGGCAACGTTCCCAACTTACCTGAACTTGCAAATGTCAGCACCGATGCTCACCGAACTGCCGGTCAGCACCAAGCAGAACCTTCCACTGGGGTGTAATGCATTCCGGCGCTCGCATCCGTTGTGTGCGATCTTAATCGACCGAGCGCACAGAGCATTGTCACTGAGAAGAGAAAAGGAACTTTGAGTTGTAAGGTCTGGCAACGTTCCCAAATCTGAAAATGCAAATGTCAGCACCGATGCGCACCAATTTCCAGTCTTTAACTTAGCAGAACCTTCAAGCTTGTCACTGCACGCACTGCAGTTCGGCGACTGTGGCCGTGGCGACCGGCTCGTGGGATCGTGGTCGTCAACGCGTCAACGCCTGATTAAGGCTGACATTCGATTTACTTTTGTGCACTTTGGCGTCCACATTCCACCATGTGCGATATGGGCCGCATACAAAAAGCAAAGTTCTTCAATAACAAACAATCTACAGTCAACAAATGCGCCAAACCATCCCTAGCTAGCCCATGGGCTCGTCGAGAATCTCGAGGTCGTCCGAGGCTTCACCCCCTGTCGAGCCTGACTCTCCGCCGCCCTCCCCGAGCTCAGCATCATCTTCTTCCTCAACCTCCTGCTCCGATCGTGAGCGCAAAAGTTCTTCCATTCGTCTTTCATACACATCATCGCGGTCTCGCTCGGCCTGCTCCGCGGCTGGATCGGGGGTCAGGCCAAGTTCCCTTCGGAATGCGTCGAGGTCGATGGTTGTGTGGCGCACGTCCACGGCAGAAGGACCTGATGAGCGGCGGCTCGACTCAGCGACGAGGCTCTGCATTTGAGTATTATTCAGCGTCGAAAGGCGGCGACCGAAATGACGTGGACTACCGCGCGAACGGCGCGACACCTGTTTCGGCCGTCCGGCGAAAAGTCCCCCGATCAAACCGAATGCCGAGGGCCGCGATTCATGAACTGCGGGTGAACGCGTTCTGAACCAGACAACCGAGAGATCATCGCGCTCGGCGAGCCGATCCAGACGCTCTTTGAACGAAATCTGTCGGCGTTGAAGCACATGCCACACCGCCGTGCCAACCTCGCCCGCGCCATCAGTTCCGAGAAGTTTCCTAGCCGCTTCGATCGTTTCTTCGGGAACTAATAGAAGGGGCGACGTAAGGTACAGCACCATCACAAAGAAAGAGTGTGTCCATCTCACCTTTGTCCTCTGCCCATGCCTGAGATACCCTAACAAAGCGAGTGTCCTCATCTTCGAGCCACGCGAGTAGTTGTCGAACCTCAGCTCCGATTCGAAGAATCTCTTCTTCCGCCCTGGCTTTGAGTAGAACCGCCTTGATCCCTTTCTGAACGTCGGTATCGATCGCCCAAGGCGCAGTGTCGTGTTCGAAAAAACCGTCTTGCCAGAAAGCGTCCGTTGGCGACAGAGTCACAAGCGACTTTATCGTGGTAGCGAGCGGCAAGTTGTCCAGAATCTTGGCCGATTGCTCGGTCGCAGCATTTCGGTAATCCCCGACCGCTTTATTGTACATATCGATTGCCACTTTTCCTTTCTTGCTGTGCGTCTGTGAGACGCTGACAAGCTTGCTGGCTTCGACTTGACCGATTGTCGCGCCGCTTCGTCCCCGACCCATTGAGTCAATTCGTTCTTGACAGCATTGCAATTGGACCGTCGCTTTGTGTAATGCGCGAAGTTTGACTACGCAGTTGCACAAATGCTGGAAATCTAGGTATGTCATGGGACATCAAATATCAGGTGGCGGTACTCATAAAGATAGGACGCGCGCCGCACCTCAAGCTGCAAGTTCCTTCGTACGATTGTATTCTTGTTGATAAGCTCTTAGCTGTTGCTGCAAGCGAGCCTTCGCTTCATCGGAAGCCATTGGATCGAATCTGAACACACAATGCCAAGACACAGTGTCAATTTTACGCCCTTGTCCTCCAATGGGGCTTGACGCGCCGAACGTACAGCCTTTCTTCCACCTGGTGTAGCTTCTGTACAATGTTGAAAAGCTCGAATCGCTCCTTGTCCTCATTCTCCCGACGTTGACTCGCCGTTGTGGCCGCTTGAGCAGCTCGCTGTAAATCCCATTGCGCGAGAAGGTCAGACTCGGACCATATTGCCGAAACGTCGCTCAGATCAGTTTGTGCCCTTCCAAGCTGATCTTGAGCATTCGACAGTCGTCTGCGGAGCCAACGGCCTAGAATGGACGATGAATGAAGGGACCGCATGATTGAGTAACGAACACGGCGTGAAAGTGTGGATGGCAGAGCATACCGAGGCTATCAACACCGTTCTTGTTCATCAGGTCGATGCGACGCGAGATGTTGACGCGCCGGTGAGAAGCGCTCGCAGGACGATTGATCGGGATGAGCGATCGGAGCTGACTCCAAACGCGTTCGCATCCCTCCCCATCCGTCAACCCAAAGTGCTGAATCAGGCGCGGGTTGTACTCGAGCTGGCAGGGCCATTGATGAGCAAAAGCATGAAACACGCTCGTGGCAAACTTCAATCTCGGAAACAAATCGGGAAGGATACCTCTCTGCGGGCGATCGAAGTACAGTGAAGGTCAGCGGCGCCCCAGGGCCAGAAATCTAAGAAACGACGGATCCGCCACTCTTGCTGACCGATTGCATGTAGCCGTCCAAATTACACGCAACATCATACAGCACTCCGAGTGTATCGTCGGACGGGAGTTGGTTCGAAATATGTTGCAGCAGCGATAAGCCGTAGTAGCGCCTGCCTCATCAAAAACGAGCGTCAGGCCTTGTAAGCGGGTGAGAGAGGAGCTGAGCTGACGAACTTTTCACCTGATTGATACAAGTTGACCATCTTCAACGCGATATCGTGACGGCAGACACAGGCAACTAGGCCCGTATCGGACTTGCCCCGCGAGATTTGTGTCGCACCGCCGTTGGCCGCTTTCCACGAATCAGCACAAGCCTTCAAGACGCAAGAGGAAAGGCGTCAGCGCGTTGAAAGGATCGCAGGGGGCGGCTCGGATCAGCGGACCTTTTCTGACTTCTTGCTGTCGCCACCATCACAGATCTCCTTCATCGATTCGAGCTCATCTTCGCCGAGGAAGAGGGCTGGCGTCGACTCCTGAGGATCGTATTTGGCTGAGGTGTCGCGAGAATGTTGGAAGTTGCCATCCAGAGCAACAAGATGCTGCACTTCGACTCTATGGTGGGCTTGGTTTAGACGCGTCGATCCGTAGCATGCTGGACACTTGTCCGAGAGAGAATCCGCGACACCGAGGACGAGGTCGCCCAATTCTCGCTCGGATGTCGTGAGAGCCCGAAATTCGTCAAGGGCGCGCTGGAGTTGCTTTCGCAACTCCTTGTCCTGCGCAAACGATGATAAACATCAGATAATGCTCAATAGCAATCATGACAGGAGGTCGAACTCACGAATTTATGCTGACTCAGGCCCGGCCGACCCCATCCAGTTTGCTCATAGAAAATGTCGAGCCCGCGAGCTGCTCCATCGACAGGAAACGGCGCAGCTTTTATTTTCACCGTGGCTATTATTCAAGACATACCTGGGTCGCCCCCTCGTAAATGGAAGCCAAACTCTCTCGCCCCACATCGTCCAATCGCTCCAGCTCAGGCTCGAGACCATAGTTGGAGCCATTCTTGACGGGCCAGTCTACCAGATCATCGTACTGCTTCTTTCGCTGTTCGTAGACGGAGATATTACCGGCAGCAAAGTCGATGTAGCATAGCTGTGCAGAGGTAGAGGACGCCATTCCCGGGACCGAGCGTGAACGGGCTGTTGAGGACAGGGGGTAAAGATGAGGAGCTCAAGGGGTTCGCGGCCTGAGGTGGGGGTGTTCGACGGTGAGGCTCCAAGACCGATTATGTGTGGTGTACGGAATGAGTTGGCGAGGTGTAGAGTTTCAAGTCACACTCTCCGCGCTGGCTCCGCTCAGCGCAATTCGTCTCCGCTTTGGCCGTTCCGGGACTTCGCAACGAATGTCGGTCTGCCGCGCTCGCATTCGCAGCTTGCGCTCTCCGCATTCATTCACGCCGAGTGATCGGCCATGAGTTCTGATCAGGTCAGCGTTCCCCCGAGTTATGATTTGCAATATGTCCACTAAGTATCAGTCCTACCCAGCAGGCGATCAGGCTCATGAACCAAAAATTGTCGGGCATGTATCGCCGGACCACCACCTTGTCGCTCAACTCGCCTTCGCCGGCCCCGTCCTCGCCCCTGGCCAGCAGCACGAACAGTCTGGGTAACGACGATGACTCCACCTCTGGAACCACGGGTGACGGTTCTACCTCGGCTCTTTCGACTGTAGAAACTTCGGAAGCTCCCGTAGCCTCCACTTCAGCCTCTCCCTCTACCTTGGCCCCTTCATCCTCCTCGGGCCAAGCCACTCCTACCTCCTCCTCATCCACGACCAAACGCAAGCTCAGATCAGCCCGAACCTCAAATGATCCAACCTCGACCCCGAAGCGACTCAAACCCTCCGCCTCAGCCGGGATCGCTCAAGCCCATCTCCCTCCGACGACCCGACTGAGCGACCTCGGCGGCGTCGACAAGTGCATCGAATCCATGTTGGAACTCGTCGCTTTGCCTCTGTGTCATCCCGAGGTGTATTTGCATACCGGAGTTAGACCACCGAGGGGTGTGCTGTTGGTTGGTCCTCCGGGGTGCGGAAAGACGATGTTGGCCGGTGCGATTGCCGGAGTGAGTGGTGGCAAGACTCGACCTTTTTCTGCTCTGGAGTTTGAACTGATTTCAAGAGCTGGCCCCCACTTTCAGGAATTGGCCGTCCCCTTCATTTCCATCTCGGCACCGTCGATCGTCTCGGGCATGTCGGGAGAATCCGAAAAAACATTACGGGAAACGTTCGAGGAAGCGGCAGTGAGTCTCCGGATTTCAGGCTCAATGTGTGCTAATGACGTACAAGGCTGACTTGATTTGGCGACTACAGAAACTCGCACCGTGCATTTTGTTCATCGACGAGATTGATGCCATCACGCCCAAGCGAGAGACGGCACAACGAGAGATGGAGAGGAGGATCGTCGCTCAGCTTTTGACCTGCATGGATGGTGAGTCCGCATCCATCGTTCACAAATATCGCCAATCCCAAGCTCATATCACGAGAATCTACTTCTCAGACCTCGCATGGGACAAGACCGATAACAAACCCGTCATGATCCTCGGAGCAACCAATCGACCCGACTCCTTGGACCCAGCCTTACGACGAGCCGGTCGATTCGATGCCGAAATCACCATGGGTGTTCCCGATGAAGCAGGGCGTGAACGTATCCTAAGGGTACTCATGGCCAAACTCCGACTCTCGGGGGACTTTGATTACGCATTTTTGGCCAAGTCGACTCCGGGTTACGTCGGCGCGGATTTGAGTGCTTTGACGGGTGCGGCGGGGGTGATTGCGGTCAAGAGGATCTTTGAACGGTTCGGACAAGATGCACCGAGGATTCTGGGGACGGTTTCAATTGCGGAGGGTGAAGGGCAGGGTGAACTGGTGGAGTCGATGGGGGAGGAAATGATGATCGACAGCGAAGCGCCAATATCGGAACCACCGTCAGGAACGACGACGCCGAACCTACAGGCCGCGGTCGAAGGCAGTGGTAAAGACACCTCCTTGACGATCCCGCCTTTCTCATCCTTACCACCGTCACTCGCCGCGCTGCCCATCGCCTCGTTCCTCCAAGCCCACCCCTCCGCTCTGACCGAAGACGAACTGTCGTCCCTCTGCCTCACGAACGAAGACTTCACCGCCGCTCTGTCGGTCGTACAACCCTCATCTCAACGCGAGGGTTTCACAACCGTACCCAACGTCACCTGGGCCGACCTCGGTGCCCTCCAACAAATCAGGGAAGAGATGCGTATGGCGATCGTTCGGCCCATCCGTCGACCCGAAGTCTTCGCCTCATTAGGCATCCAAGCCCCCTGCGGTGTCCTCCTCTGGGGTCCCCCAGGTTGCGGGAAAACCCTCCTCGCCAAAGCGGTGGCGAACGAATCCCGCGCCAACTTTATCAGTATCAAAGGGCCCGAATTGCTCAACAAGTACGTCGGTGAATCCGAACGAGCCGTTCGACAAGTCTTTGCCCGTGCTCGAGCTTCCTCCCCTTGCATCATCTTTTTCGACGAATTGGACGCGCTCGTCCCTCGTCGTGATGATTCTTTATCCGAGTCCTCGGCACGGGTCGTGAACACGTTGTTGACCGAATTGGACGGATTGGAACCTCGGAAACAAGTTTTCGTCATCGGAGCAACGAACCGACCGGACATCCTGGATCCCGCGATGGTTCGACCCGGTCGCCTCGATAAACTGCTCTACGTCGATTTACCGACCAAAGAAGAACGCATCGACATCCTGCGCGCACAAACGAACAAGACACCTTTGGGTCCGGATGTTGATTTGGCGTCGATCGCTTTGGATTCGAGATGCGATGGATTCTCCGGAGCCGATCTCAGTGCTTTGGTTAGGGAAGCGGCGGTAATGGCCTTAAGGGACGTCTTTGATCGGGTTGATTTTCAAGACGAAAATCCTTCCGACTTGGCCTCGAACGTGCCTCTGTTCCCGAAAGGTGCGCCACAAATTACAGTGGAGATGAGGCATTTCCTCGTCGCTTTGGGGAGGACGAACCCGAGTGTTAGTGTGGCGCAGAGGAAGAGGTTCAAGGCTTTGCGAGCCAAGTTCGCGGGACAACCTGTCGGGCACGGCAAGGAGACGGCGGAGGAGTTGGGTGGTGAGCAAGCTAGTTCAGAAGGAGCTGCCACTGCTATTGGAGCTGGGGAGCCCGTTGCGGCTTGAATGAGATATCCTTGCGTAGAGGAGATCGCTCGGTACTGTATTTTGCATTCCCAAATCCATCTCACCAGGGGGGGGGGGGGTATACTATGTTGCAAGAGAAAACAAGAAACGCTTGTCTAAAACGCTGCAAACTTTTTGGGAAACACCTACTAGCCTTCCTTTTTCGATCTAAGATCATACCCATTCCTCCCACCGAGGCTCACAATTTTCTTTTTGCCCTTCTTCTCCCTCATCGCCACCAAAGCTTCCATCGCTACAGCGCCAAAGACCATCATCACACCGAGCCATTGACCTCTCGTCAACTGATGGTTAAAGACAAAGACGCTCAAGAGCATGGTTGCCATCTTGCGCGTGACGGTGATAGTTACCAACGTCAAGGAACCGTATAGGGACAAGGTCGCAAAGATAAACAATTGTCCGATCGCGCCTGTCAGACCAAAGAGGAAGATGTCGAATTTGGCTTTGGGGTGGGTCGAGATGAAGTTCAAGGCCGAAGAAAGGGCGTTGAAAGGTACGCTTGGAGCGAGGTCGTCGACGGGTAAGATGTGGAATTCGTGGCGAGCGACACTCGGCGCGAGGAACGAGGGCGTGAGCGAGGTAGGGAACAGCAAAGCGACGATCGTGAGCGCGGTCGAAAACAGGTTCATGAAGAACATCATCTGTGGTCCATCCAAGGGACGATAAGTGGCGAAGACGTGGTCCTGCGTCGCGTTGACGACGCCATCGAGGACGAGGTTGATGCCGAGCAAGACCATGCCAAGCAAGGACGACGTCGCCGGTCCTTTGGCGGGTTTGCTCTGAGGTTTGAACGCCATGAAGGCCCAGATCCCGGCCGTGACCAGACCGACGAGCGCGTACTTGTGCAAAGGGAACTTGCGTCGGTAAAGTATTATGTTCATGAGCATCACCGGGACCAGCTTGCACGACTTGCCCAAGAGCAGGGTCGGGAATGAGATGTGTGAGAGAGACAAGAATCCGAACGGCGAGGCGAGCGACGACACGAGCGAAATGAAGGCGTAGGTCTTGAGTAGCGACGAGGCAGGGGGTGATGACGTCGAAATCGGAGCTCCACGCGTATCAATCGATGTTCGTCGTTGGGGTAACCTCGCAGTGGCAGTCTTAGGCCGCGGAGGTGGAAGCCCGACGAGCGAGCGGAATGACTGTCCCGCCTTGTACTTTGTCAGGTAGAGGAATACGAGCGCCGAGATAGTCGAAAAGACGGATTGAACAGTGTTGAGGAAGACAACAGCTCGGAATTTGTCGGATCGACCAGGTATTGACCGGTGCTCGTAAGGTGTGGTCGACACTGCGATTCGTTGGCGAAGGGAAAGCGCAATAGGGGTCAGCACCCCGTCAGCGCTGCGAGAGCAGAGCTCGAGACTGAGCGGGAGGTTTGTCACTCACGCCGTTCTTGACACTGAAGGAAAGAAAGCACACGAGATCCGTCAGAAAACAGCTCTCAGCCCATGACCGAGGTAGCATTGCTCACCAATGCCCAGACCATGAAGCTGACGTAGATGCCCCCGGCGCAGACGAGCAGTTGCACGACCGGCGGGAACTTGGGCAAAGGTGCCATTGGCGAAGCAACTCGGAGGTTTTCGCTCTCTAGTGATATAGAGCGTCGTCGGAGATCTGGGAGTCGAGTGGGAAGCAAGGTACAGCTCAGTACGAACTCGGGTCGGCTGCCACGTAGCCTTCGCGCGATGGCACGCTGGACGTCTTACGCAGTGGTGTCTAAAATCCTTGGAGTGATTTCGAGCCTACCGGATTCGGCGATGGATTCGGATGAACGAGCTCAGGTAGCGTTGACGTGCGCAGATGTTGTAGCAACGATGGACGCGGCTCGATGTGGGCGCCGACTTCTGGTCGCCGGCGGCTAAACGACGCGCTCGGACCTCGTGTTCCCTTCATCGCCAAATCGAACAACGTGTCCGTCTGAAGTCCGAAAAGCGCTTCCCTTTGGCAAAAACTGTCGAGACTACGCGGTCAAGGTGTCAACGCGGAGAATTGCCCGATTGTCTATGGTTGTAGCGTACATAGGTAGGCAGGTAGCAGTAGTCAGGATGTACTAGCTACCTACCTACCTAATAGGTACGGTCAATGTTGGGATCCGGATATCCGGATCCGTAGACGAGGTTTCAACTTTCGATCGCAGAGCGAAGGCTCAGATGGAAGCAAACTTGGCTGCATCAAATACTACAGGTAAGAGCTCAAGCTTCGTATAGGAACTTTGCTACATACTCATCGGATCGCAGTCATGGGATTGATACATGAGGTATCGCAGTCGATACTCCCATTAGCATAACATGAGCCCAAAGTGCCCTCTGATGTGGCCCCGAACGCGAGCTCAAAGTCCCCTCAGATGTGGGACCAAAAGCCAGCTGACGAGGCCAAAATTCCGTGCGATGCGCGGGATTAACCTAATTCCGCTCTGAGAATGTCTCGCCGACTCTCGTCGTTGGCCGCTGTCATCCCGTCGCAGCACCTGCCCGACTCGGCCTCGGCCCAAATAGCCCAGGAATTTCGCCCGCGAGTCTATGCGCTCGCTCTCGCTCGCTCATAGTCGCTCATCGCCGCTCGGTAGAAGGTAGCGCTCGGTGCACCTTGGACGCTGCTATCTAGTTCTCACCTCACATCTATTCCCCCTCTCCTTCTTGCAGTCGTCGCTCTCAACGTCGTGACTGTCGCCTTTCCGGCTTTCTGCGTCAGCTATGCCGACGGCTCTGCACCTCTTGTCCTACGTTGCAGGCTCGGGCGCCTTCGTAGGCGTGCTGCTGTCGTTCGGTGAGTTTGGCCTTGTCTCGATCACGCACGCGCGCTAGTGGCGCAAGGGGTAGCTAGCTCACAGATCAGTTAAGTGAGTTGTGCTGATCATGATCTCCATTTGATGGTGTCTCACAGCGAGTGGTCTGCTCTATCTCGCCGAAGTGATTGAAGAACATGCAGCTCAAGCCAAGGTCATGGGCCAACGTATCGTCTGGGTGAGTGCCGGCCTCCACTGCAGTGTTTGCTATTGTGGTGGTCGACTGGTGCGATCGCGCTCGCCTTGCGTGCTCCGCACGAATCGTCGTCGACTCGGCGCTCGTCAAAAGTGCTGTCGGCCGAGCTACTGAGGGCGGCTGCTAGGCGCGTCAGGCACGAGCGCTTGTTCACAGGGGGATAGGCACGGATCGGTGCCCGCCTTGGCCATCACGCCGTCGTCCCTGACCGACAGGTCGACCCCCAGCTTTTTTAGCTGGCTGGGCAAACTTGCCCGGCACCACTGCAGGTGACCACACCTCCAGACCCAGAGTACACAGGCCTACATTCCATTCGTTTCTCCACTATACTTGCATCCTCTTCGATGCGGCCTGCCCGGTGACGGCATCGCACGTGGGCCCTTGCCGTCCCTCAACCGCCGCTCGGCTGCGGCCGCAGTCTTCTCGAAGACGTGGACCGCGATCAAAAGCAAAAGCCGGAATAGGCCTCAGGAGACGCGTCTGCGGCACCCCCGTTTCCACAAGTGCTACAAGCTTTGCATTGTCCTGAGTCTAAACCATGACTTACTTGAGTGCTGACATTCTGGTCTTCTTCCACGGACCTCGAGAAGCTGGTTATCGCCTTGCTAGCAACAATGCACTTGGTTGACGCTTTGCCACTGTGAGCTGGCTCTCATCTTGGACTCTTGGATTCCACCGAGCGTTGTCCAAATGGAACCTTAATGCGACGCTAACTCTGGCGACTACCATTAATGCGTTTCCAGATACATTGCTGCTTTGGGTATATTCTGCCACCTCGTCTAGTGAGTTGATTTGATTTTTGGTACCCTCTGGGTCGTCGGAGGGTGGAGCTGACGAGGGCCTTAAAACCACATCTCGGCAGTCTACAAAACTTCTCGCGATCATGGCCGAGGATCTCGCTCATTTCGCCGGCATTTATTTTGTCCTGTGTGCTCGTCATCGCGAACCACTTCGTCTCGCTCAACTACTTCTCGGAACGGGCGCGATCAACTGGATACCACGGAGGACGGGGCGCCAACACGGGCAGCCGATGGAGCTCGGCACACCTGTCGCATGCCAGCAATCACGAAGAGACGTTCCTCGATGTGGCGACCTATTTTGGCGTCTGCGTCTGGCTTTGCCCATGTAAGTCATATCCAGCACTATGCGTCACCACGCTCGAAGAGCTGACCAGGCTTGTTCTCGTTCGCTCCCCATCACCGCGGAATCAGTCTTCCTCTTCTTGTCACTTTCTGCGAACAATAACGTTCTGCCTTCGAAAGGCGATGCATCGAGCCCAGCCTCGCCCGTTCAATCTCGACCCCCGTCACCTGCGTTATCGAAGCAGAGCGGCGGTACAACGTTTCTCAAGACGCTCATCTCGTGCTTGCTCGGGTTCGTACCACAAAGGGATCGTCGATCAAAAAACGACCATGCCGTGAAAATCGGCCACAAATCTACCGTCGGTGAAGTTGCCCACGATACAAAGCCGCTGTCACATGCTCGGTCGACCCCTAAGCTCGAATCCGCAAGCCCGGTCATGGGGTCACTCCGCACGGGATGGAATCAGCCACCGGGCGCAAGTTCGCAAGGACAACGCAGTGTCAGCGGACCCGCGGCCATGGTGGGCAATCGTGAACGGAATCTGCACTCTCGCTCGGCCCCAGGCTCGCCGCAAAACTCGCCCCTCGCGTCACCGTTGCTCGGGCCGAGTTTCAACGTCAACCCTTTCACCACGGCGTTCACTCCACGATCGCCACCAAAACCCTCACGCAACGTGGGGCCACCCAGCAGCAACGCGACGCTTGCATCCGGCCATGGACGGCTAGGCCCTCGTCGACACACGACAGATGAAGGGTTCGGTTTCAGTATGGCTGCCGTAGGATCGACAGGGGTGGCGCCGATAACACAATCTACCGGCATGGGTCACTCCAGTCCAACCCCGCGGCGCCCGACTCTGCCCACTTCCGGATTCACCAATAGCAGCGACTTGAGCGTCGACACATCGCCGCGAAGAAGCTCGATGCCGGGAAACACTCCAGGCTTGATGGCGCCACATAACCCAAACCGAGGCCCGCCACCACCTGCGGCTTCGTCCGGCATGGCGTTCAAGATCACACCTGTGCCAATGCCCAACCCGACCCTACCGACGATGGGACAGGGTACTCCACCACGCCCGGGTCACCAACGCACCAACAGTCTTGTCACTCTCACGCCGACCCGACCAACGCATGTCCGGAGACAGTCGGTCGGTGCTGGATCGCTCGACGCGCTCACATTGGATTTCCTCCCCTCGACGCCGTCGCCCGTTCGACCGCAACACTCCGTTACCAGCAATGCGCACGGCGTTCCCTCCGTCTCGATTGGGCTCGGGCGGCCCAGCACCTTCGTCTCCTTCACCTCATAGAAGCTGTTTCGAAGAAGGGCGTTTGAGGACGTAGACGTCAATCACCACGGACGCCCTCCTGCCTCTGCCAGTCTTGACTCCGTTTCCGACGTGCTGGCTTTCCCGGGAGACAGGACATGCATGCCCCCCATCTTGTTCCATTACACGCGCCATACACGCGCCTTGCCCGACTTACCGTCCATGTCTTTCCTATTGCATCCTTGTGGTTTCTCTAACTTATTGGTCTCAGTGACGCGTCACTCTTGTTTTACTTCCCTCTGCCACGGCAAACTTAATCACCGCATCATTGACACTGTATTCCTCTTCGTTTGGAATGACCAGCAAAGAAGAACATGACACACACTTCCTCGTCTCGCGTCTAACAGTACCCCGATTGGGTACTCTTGGTATTTAAGCCTTTCCTTACCAACGGGGCACTGATCAGCCGTGGGCGCCACCGTACGGGAAGTTCGCGCGACCGCAGCGACGATGGCGCCTAAGTCGACCGCGGTCGGCGGTCGGTGCCCGCGGTCGCTCGAGGTCGCCACTGCGGTTGCAACTGCACGAAGTTGCCAACTTGGGAATGCTCCATTACGCCCTGCAATTCTCAGTTAGCTCGAAGACTAAGCGAGGACAGCATGACTTTGGGACCTTACTAAGACCTTACCTAGTGCAGCGAACAGCTCGTGCTATAGTCTCGAGTGGTACTCTAGTTACATACATTCCTAACGATGTGCAACCTCTCCAGATTCAAACATGTGGTGGTCTTGGATTTTGACAAGGTTTGTGAAGGATTGAAGCTAATGAGCAACTAGTGAGCAATTGGAAAAAAGCGCCCCTGTATCTCCCGGACGACCGAAACCCAGATATCACATGTGTCGGGGTGCGAGGCTCATCAACATCGAATCTCTCGTACAACCCCCGGATGTCCATGGCAACTGGGAGACATCGACCACCACAAGCAATCGCTTCTCCTTCAGCGTCGATACACCTAGCTCGACATAAGACACAAGACACAACTTCGCCAGCGCGCTGTGAATTGTCGGCCTCTATCGACATCTGTGGATCCCAGAATTGCTGTCAAGGATCTCTCGGGTGACAGCAGATGTGATGTGTTGAATTGGTGGTACTCACCCGCACAAATCTAGCCGTCTTGCAGTTGACAGTGTCTTGTGTGTTTCGCTCTCGTTACCGGATCCGAGCAACGTGACTGCCGATGCACCTGCACCCTCAAGGCGCCGCCATCCTTCGTCGTGCGAGCAGCCAAAGGCTTGAAGGACAACGTCGCTGCGAGCGATTCATAACCCTAACCGTCTCAGCCCTCAGGCAACGAAGCCAACCCCGAAGGTGCCGTCACGCTCACATGGCCCGCCGTAACTACTATCATCGGCGCCGAAGTCGCAACCTCTAGCACCTTCGAGCCCGGCGTTGCGTTCGGCTCACAGCACAACGTTAGGGTCCAGCTCAATTCGATGACATCTCGAAGATGCTAGAGGTTGCGACTTCGGCGATGATAGTAGTTACGGCGGGCCATGTGAGCGTGACGGCTGCGTTGCTGCGCTGCTCAATCCTGGCCATGGCCACGTGGGCCGCCTCGATCTTGACCTCACGCACGCAGCGCCGTCGTCTTGATGTTGACCTCGGGGCCGTCCATGCCGTCGTCCAACTTCATCAAGCGCAGGTGCTCCTCGATTGCTTCCTGTCGTCCATATCCTTGCAGCTCGTTTTGGAGCTTGAGGTAGGTGGGGTCGGTGGTGAGGTGCTCGGCGTGATTGACGAGGTTGTTTGAAGGCTGCGTCGTGTTCAGCACACGCATGCGACGATTAGCTTCCGACATCGATGGCTTAATATCTGCAGTTTAAAGGGTCGTTTTGATGAGGTTCAAAAAAACGATTCAGTGAGTGTTTCAAACGGTGTGCGAGGGGTTTGCGAGGTTAGACTGCACCGTAGCACAGGCCTCGCAGCGGAAGGTCTAAAGCGGTCCGTGCTAGCTCCGGCCGACACAGGATCAACTTTGGGGACGAGCTGGTACTACTTGCCATCTTCTACTTTGACGCCATCGTGGTCTTCGAAATCCCGAATCCTTTCTCTCAGGCCTTCGTTTGCGGTCTCGAGCGCAGCAACTCGTGCTTGAAGAGAATCACGCTGCGCGCAGGCAAGATCGCGCTCGGCCTCGAGTTGTTGTAGTTCCAAGGCTCCCTCGGCTTGCTCAGCACACCCACGCCAGTCGATGGTCTCGGAGTTGCGGGACGACATTGGTGGAAGTGATTTGAGAATGCTGTTCACCTGACGCAGGGGTGCGAACGAGGCGGCGTGGCGAGTTGCGTGAAGGAGCGAAAGGAGAGGGGCGAAGAAGCGAACGCTCCTAGCTGGCGTGGCGGAAATGGCCGGTTGCCAAAGGCGACCAACGGGGCGCCCCGAGCGAGTCGAAAGGCGACTCGTGCGGTGTGAATACTCCCTCTTGCTAGAACCAACTATTTCGCTCGCAACCTCGGGTGTTGCTCGATACTTCAAATGATTTTGCTTTCTCGCCCGCCTCCCCGATTTGTCTCCCCTTGCTTGCGCTGCCCCGCCGGTTTATTCGCGGGGCCGCGTCGACTTGGCGGAAATTCGTCCCCAAGCCCAAACCAAAGCCATTTGTTATATCACTAATCAAATTCATCAATGAAGACCGGCACAAACGTCGTTCAGTCGGAGACTGCTCGTCGTATAAATTGGCCGACACGAGACGCTCGACGAGCGACAATAGATTAATAGCGCCTGGGGGTGCGCGGCGAGTTTAGCAGCGTTGTCGCTCGACATGGCCCAGCGCCTGACCGATGAAACTGTCTCGATCGAGTTTCGGTCACCGATCAAATGCTGAAGGAGATTTTGAATTGTGAATTGCGAGGAAAACGACAATTAATACACAAGGCTATAAAAGCAAACCCAAGTGAAAGAACGAAAGAAACGAACCAAACGAAAGAGATTACGATGCGAGGCAAACGTGCGGTGACATTCGACGTTCTGAGGGGCGGCGGGTTCATCTGACCGGATTTGCAGGGGGAGGAGGGATGTTCAGCATGTGACCGCATCGGAACAGCTGTACTGGACACACATTTTCACCTTCGCAATAACCATGTCCAGAAGAAGATGGTTCCGATCAACAAGAGGAACATCATCCCTGTTGCAAAAACGAAAAAGTCAGTGACGGATTGAGATCACCGAGGAATTGAAGTCATTTCATCATCACGCACAGAGACACCATTGACCGCCCTGTCGTTTTGCCATCCTGCCCATTTTGCTCATGGTTCCACTCAGGAAACCACCTGTTTCTGCGTATTGATCGTTCTGGGGTGGTGAGAAGGAATACCCCAGGGGTGTTAGCACGTCAGCGCGGTGAGAACTTTGGCCTAGCCAAGGGGGGGGGGGGGGGGGGTACATTGCCTCGACTTACCATGTTGGAAAGTAGTTTTGTCGAGTCCCTCACTTCGTTTCCAATGTTGATCGTGATCTGCGGTCGGAAGGGTCGCATGAGGGTGAGTCAGGGTGCTACAGGCAACCCCATGAGGATTCGGGTGTGGAGAGGGGGAACGTACGTCCTTGAGCAATTTGACCTTTGCGCTCAATCCCTGGAGGTTGTCCTCGTTCTGCGACTCGAGGTCATCGGCTGTGCGACTCGCATTCGCGTATGGCCCTTGGAGATGCTTGGGGTAGTGTGTCGGCAGTGGCGAGTGCGACCGCGAGGACGGGTTCGACGACGCGAGCAACGCGGCTCGGTTCTCTCGGTGCGAGAGACCTTGTCTGTCGGATGACGTGGTGAGATGATCGGCGGTCAGCTTGCAGTACGCGGCATGTGAGCCGAGACCTCTGACTTCCGAGCACACTCACCTTTCTGCTCCGTACATTCTGCTCGACACGACGAAGATCTGGCAATGAAACGAGAGCCGAACCGAGGCGTGTCGCGTTATTCAAGATTCAAGCGTGGCCTAACATGGCGCTTATTGGTCGGTCACATGGTCACAGCCGGTCACCGCCTCGGAAGCCAGCCGCACACGCTGCCAGATTACTAATGCCCATTTGCGCGTTAGGCGGCTTCAGGCGTGGGCCGGTGACGTGGTTTCCCAATGCGGAGACGTTTTGTCTCATCCTCGGCTCCGGACCCTCTGTCGCGATCGACCATACCGCGCTCTACTCTGTTCTCTCTTCGTCAAGGGATCTGCTGCCAACACAAACTTCAGCTTTCCAGACCATGTCGTCAGATTCCGAAGCTACGGCCCAAGGCGACGACGCGACTCGTCGACCAACGTTGAACGAAACCAGCCCGAAGATTCAACAGGATGCCTCGACCTTGAGTGACAAAATGTCCGATTTATCGATCCAACAACATGCTTCATCTATAAAAACTGTCGAGGAGGTAAGCCCATCGCACACTGTCCCCACCAGCTAAGCGAGCCCTGCTGGCCGATGGGGCCGTCGCCCTGACGTTCCACTCTTATCATACTCTCCTACTGCAGACTGCTCGACAGCCAAGCCAATCCTTACAATCTTCTGAGGCTACCGTTCGACCTCTTCCTCCTTTGCCGGCATCGGTCGATCCGCCCGCGACACCGCTTAAGAATGAACCAGGACTTAACTCGCCGTTCCCTCCGCCGGCAAGCCCTTCGTCCACAATAGCATTGACTTCACCAGATTCGACAGAAGCACGCTCGCTCTCGGTCGACCGAGATGCAAGTGCACCCAAACAGATCTCACCGCCGCCACCTCCGATGTCGGCGGCGAGGAAGCCAATCGCGAAACTGCCTCCACCTCCACCGATGTCGGCTGCAAAATTATCCTCGGTGCCACCGCCTCCCCTAGCTTCGTCGAACCCGGCCCTTCAGCGCTTACCTGCACCCGGATTTGGAGCTGGAGCACCACCACCGCTACGAGCAGCATCTTCGGCAACAGCATCCTCACCCCTTGCACCGCCGCCACCCGGAGGAGCGAGGTCGTACGCCGTCATCGGGCCAGACCAAGGATGGAACGACGCCCCCGAACTGGATGGAGTGGCGCCTCGGACCGCAGCTGCAGCTCGCAACACGGCTTCGAGGATGCGTGCGAGTCGGCGGGTATACCCTGGCAGTGGAGCATCGATTTCACTGCCCCCTGCGGCAGTGTCACCAGCGATACCGAGTCCTGCTGTCTTTGGCGCCGTCGGAGGCGCTGCACCGAGCGCTTATGGAACTCCGGCACCTGCCCCTACATCTTTGTCGGATTACGACACCGCAATCGCATCAATCACATCTTCATCCACCGCTTTGCCCCAGCTCTCACCTCCGCTGCCCGCAAGTGGGCCGGCGCTCGAACAGCAGCAGCAGCAGTCGAGCGAACAAGTCTTGTTCAGTGGTCGGTCATAAGCCCCCTTATGCATTGCTCCGACGACGTGCATTCAGGAGCTGAGTCGTATGTCTTCATACTTTTCAATGGACACGCACTCGATCGTTCCGGCTGTGTTGGGCGTTCGCTGGTGCTTCAGTCAAAGCTTTGTACGAGTATTCGAGCGGGGTGGCGGGGGATCTGAGTTTTGGGGCGGGGGATGTGCTGCAGGTGACGGCCGTGGAGGTAAATGGTTCTCTAGCTCGACTTCTCTTAGACGGTGTGCTAATATCTGGCCGCTCTGGTCGTCCTTGTTCATGTAGGAGAGCGGGTGGTGGAAAGGCCGATCCGGTTCGTCACAGCTTTTTAACGACGTAGTTTCGACGACACGAGCTCATCGGACTGACACTCACAGGAGCCGTCGGACCAAGTCTCTCCATTCCTTCAAAGTAAGCGGAACGGAGCCCATCCTCGGCTGCGAAGAGTGTTTGTGTTGACATCCTTTGCACGACCACCACCAGCTACGTCCAAGTCGTACTGCCAGAATTCGAACCCAGCCTCTCTCTCAGCGATACATCCACCCCCTTCACCTTGTCGCCCTTCTCCGACCCTTCACCATCCACAACATCCACTACGCTTTCATCCCATTCCCCCGACCTTTCACCCCCAGCATTACCCATCTTGTCCTCCTTTACCGAAACGCAACTCTTAGAAAAGCTCGTCAAACGCCAAGCCGTGTCTTCATTTCAATCATCAACTGCAAGCACTACAACATCCAGCATAGGTCCTGTACGACCCGGCGCAACAACGACGACAACAACAATGTCCACCGCAGCGAATCCTTATGCTCGCCCCTCAACGACGTCCAGCTCGACCGATCGACCAACATTGGAGGACATCATCCGCTTCATCCCCGACCCTTCGACGACATCGACCCCTACCCCGAAGAAGGGTAAATGGGTCTGCCGCCAATGCGAAGGCAAGGAGCTGGCCCCTGGGAAGACGAGAAGGATGGGCGAATGGGCGGGGTGGAAGGCTTCACCGAGTGGGATTTTGACCAAGGCTTGGGAACATTGGGACAAGTACCATGCTTTGACTGATTGAGCGCTAGTTCTTTGGGTTGGTATTTGCTGTGTTGTGATTGTGACCGTGGAGGGTGCTATCTTATCTTTGCTTTCGTGTTGTTCGTGACATGTGTGGGGCGTGAGAAGAGGCATTGCCTTCTCTTACGTTCCACTTACCCCGCTGATTCGAGCCTCTTCGAGAAGAAGGACCCAGAAGAAAGACTGTTCTTGACCATCAAAGAAGGACAGAAGACACCTGCCCGGTGTAATACTAACCCGGGGGGTTGAAACTCCGTATAGGCGAGCTTAGCTCAGCTCGGCATCGACAATTGGCCGGAACAGAGTGATCCGTAGATTCCGTCCGCGAATTTACGACCCCCGCCTGGATCCTTGTCAGGAGACCAGCACTAGTAGGGGCGGACCCAGCCCCAGCTTCGCACTCTCAAACAGGAAGCAATGGCAGAGTCAAAGAAGAACAATGTAGAATTACAAGAAGTAAGCAGAATCAGGGAGAGGGATAAAACAAAAGTAACGCACAAACAATGATATTAGGGGCCCGTGCCGGCGACAGCCTCTAGCCTGACAAAGAGGGAAAAAAGAACAAGCAGTGCGCGAGCGGTCGATAGGTATGTACAGGGGCGAGCACGACCTGGGGGGAGATACTTCTACTTTGGACTCGATCCATAACTCGTGACGCCCAAGGATTCCAACACTTTGGTTGTAAGGGCGATCGGCGCCGGGACCGAACCTTGATCCGACGGATGCCTCGTCTCGCTGGCTCCACGCGACTTGGTCGGCGTCGACCCAAGTTCGCTCATCTCGTCGTCGTCCCATCGCTCACCACGACCGCTGGCGGAACCCGACCCTCCACCTGAAACGACATCCCAGCTGGCTTCATCGCTCGAGGAAGGGTTGATCGGCGACGACTTGGCCGTCTGGTCGGCCTTTCTCGCTATGACATCTTGGTGACCCGCCGAGTCGGTCGACTTGCGCTTCGACACGTGGGGAGGAGGCGGGATCAGAGATTTGGCGTACTCGAGATCGCGGTAGATGCACTCGATGGCGGTTCCGACACCGTCTTCCTTGCGGATCTGCTGGCCCGCCAACTTGGCACGGTCGATCTGCTTTTCGTCTGTGACGGCCTTGTGAATGGCACTGGCGAGGGTTTCGACCGTGAGGTGTCGGACTGCCGTTCCCACTCCCAAGGTCTGAACACGATCGGCGTAAAAGTGTTGGTCGCCGAACCAAGGCTTGATGATGGTGGGCAAGCCAGCGCGGAGGGACGCTCCCGTCGTGCCCGCACCACCGTGGTGCACGGCCGCGTGGATCTTGGGGAACAGCCAGTCGTGCGGAATTGACTTGATCTTGTAGATGAAAGGCTTGTTAAGGACCTCGGCCTGCTTCTTCTCCTGCTCCTTGAGCCGCTGCTTCTCCTCCTCGCTGTCGTGTTTGCTCGCCGCACGCTCGGACCATCCTTTGGCGACGATCGCGTACACCCCAGCCTTCTGGACCGCGGCTGTGATCGTGCGCGTCATCCCTTCCGGATCGGGGATGATGATCGAACCGAAGCCGATGAAAACAATCTTCTTGTTCTTTTCCTTGGCTTCATTCATGAAGTCCAGCAGGTCTTGGGGTGGTTCCCAGCGCGAGGAGCTCGAATCGTCGGGATTGTCGAGAATCCAATAGCCTGTCACGTGAATATTCTCACGCCAATCAAGGGGAGGCGGCATGATGACGGGACTGTTGTTGTACAAAAAGGGGATCTTGTGTTGTTGCATCGCTTCGAGGCTGGTCGGACCGAGCTTGAGCGTCTTCCGTCGCCAGCGGTTGATCTGCGACGCCGTGGCTCGCCAGAAAATTTGATCAAACATTGTGTAGGTCTGAAATGCGTATGCAAGGTATGCCGATGCAACCAAGGTCAGTCTCTAAAGGAAGCCAGTTGGAAGAAGCCAACAAGACAAATCATTTACCATGTAGTTGTAACTGCCACCCATCTTGTGGTCGGGCACCGCAAAGGCGTGAGGATAGGCTCGTGTCCTTGACCACGGCATCGTGAATGCTCTGCACGCCGAAGGGGCCCGAACGGTCAGTCACTCGGATGCATCAACACGACTCAAGCATATTCGAAGACGTACCGATAGTAAGGAATACGCAGAGCCTCTGCTACATGATAACCCGCGAAAGTGCTCGGCGATTCGATCAGGACATCGGCTCCTTGGCACGCCTTCCAAGCCGTCTCGAGCAGGTCGTCGAGCCAACCTCGGAATTTGCCGACCGCTTCCTTCATGAAAGCGATGGTGAAAAAGTCGTGCGCAATCATGAGCTGCATCAACTCGGCGGGATCACCACCAATCTCCTCGTGCTCGATGCCGTGCCCTTCGACCCATTCTTTGAACTCGCCATGGGTCGCAATCTTGACTTTATGGCCTTCGGCCTTGAGACCTTTGCACAAAGCGATGTAAGGCTGAACGTCGCCTCGACTGCCGATCGTCATGCAGGTGAACTTAAGTGACTTCTCCGGTTTGAACGTGACAAAGTCGGACGTGGTCGAGTTAAACATAACGGGAGGTTGTCCTTCCTTGGACTCGGATTGGGGCCGAGGTTCACTCGAGTCGGACGCTTTCGAGGCCGCCAGGTCCATCAGTGTCAAGTGCTCCCGGTACGCGAGCGTATCGCCGGGTGTCTTGCCCTCCGAGAGCTCCTTGCGAATGAACTCGACTTGGGATTCGATCGCTTGCATGCACGTGTCTCGGCGCTTCGAGGTGTGCAGCTCAAAGAAGAGCTCTTCGTGGCCCTTGATGGTGACGACCATGCCCGAATAACCGATGCGATACGACCGATGGTGCGAGACCCCAATGACCTCGGCCAGCGGCAAGCACATCTTCGCGTGGGCCAGCAAGCTGATCGACCGGAAGCACAAAAACGAGGTCGTGATGTACATCTTGCCGTAGATCGGAACTCCTCGGTAGAGGAACCCGGAGAAGTGAGCCAGTGTGTGCTCCTTCTCAGAGAGTCCAAAGGCCTTGCGCACCCTCTCGTCGCGTTTTTCGTCCTCGTCGTCCTCGTCGGCATTCGATGCATCCTCCGTCTCTTGGTGCTCCAGACCCAGACTATAATCGGCCTCGGGCCCGAGCGAGCTGGCTGACTTGGGTCCACGCGAGATCGTCTCGACAATCTTGCGGCACGGGTTCTTGTTGTTGCTCGCATTGCGCAAGGAGGGTGAGGTGGCCGCCTGGAGCAGAAGCCGAGGCGGCGCCTTGACCCACGACGACACGGACGAGAGCGAAGGCAACGACCAATTGTGCGGCGACTTGGCAGACTCGACCGAAGCGTTGGGCGACGGATAGGGAGGGTATCTGTGGTCGCTATCGCTGCTCTCGGAGCTCAGCCCTCGGGTGGGCGACATAGTTGTCTGCGCCGAGGTCTGACTGCCCCTGCTGTCGGCGGGCGACAATGGTGAAGGAGAGGGTCGATCCGAATGGTTCGACGAGGGAAACAATCGTAAACGAGAGCTCCGCATCGTCGACCAACTGCCTTGCCTGTGTTGCAACGAAATGCGGCTCAAACCGCTGGCGTTCGTCGTCTGCTCCTCCAGCTTGTCTCCAGCAGCCGCAGCGGCGGCTTCGACGGTGGTATCGGCAATCGACTGGGGCTCACCGTATAGCAATCGTTCGGGGTGTGCCTTGCGGAACGTTTCCAAAACCTCCTTCATCTTGTCGAGCGCGAGGTGGATGTCAGAAAAGTACGCCAGCCAATAGTCGTCGAGCGCATAGCCCTCGTTCGAGTCGTACACTCGGACCCGGATCGTTTCGGCGAACTCGAGGTTGTTTGAAAACTCGATGTCGACGACCGTCTCCAAAGGAATACAGATCTTGACGCTCTCGCCTTCGTTCTGGCAGCGGAACACGGCCTTTTTGAGCGTCTTGACCCACTCGTCACGCGAGGCCTCGCTATCGGCGCTGAAATGCCACCTCTTCTCGGCCGTAGCGACCTTGAAGTGCGTGGCGTGCTTTGACGACTCGACGGAGGTGCAATAGTGCAGGTCGATGTGTCCATCAGGGAAGAACGGGTCGGTAGAGCTTGGGTACCAACTCAGGACCGAATCCTTGAGGATGAACCAGTGTTTGTAATATCGGCGCGTGCGAGCGGTGCGGACCGACAAGCCTCCGGAACGAATGACGGCACCCTCTTTAGCCTGGAGGTACGCATAGAAGCAGATATGGCCCGAAGTAAGGTAGAGGAAGCCTTGCAATAGAACCGAACGGAACAGCCAGCAAGGGTACTCTGTAGTTTTGGAGAAGAGAAGCAGCGTCAGCGAGGCGCATAGCCGGTTGCAGACTGATGAGACAACGCTTGCACTCACCGGCAATGACCTCCTCAGAGTCGAGCAACCCAAAGATATCGGTCAGCTTATCGGCAAGTTGCTTCTTACGGGCGACGCTCCCGCCGCTAACGACCGTGCTGCTGCGGCTGCTCCTCGTCTTGATGAGGGCAGCCCCTTGGTCCAAGTTCGATGAATGCTCGTCGTGTTCTTCGTCGGAATGATCTTCTGAAATGGATTGCGACTCCTCGCCCTGATGAGCGTACACGCCATCTTTGATGGCCTCGCCGGCTTCGCCGGTGAAGGTGCGTCGCTGAGCAGCGATGGGTCGGTGGATGGCGTAGATCGAGGATGTCATGTTCTCGTCCGCGCCGCGTGAGATAGTCGGCCCCCTCTCCCGGGCGTTCGCGACGGACAAGAATGACGAGGTAGGGTCCTCATCTGACGGATCGCGTTCGGGCGAAGCAGACGTGTCCGCAACTTTGCTGGCGGTGGCCGTCCTTCTCGAAGCATCGCTGGCTCGTCGATCGTTGAAAAGTTGAGGGTCCGCCTCGCCCTCGGGATGGTCTTTATCGTCTTCGGAGGCGCTTTCTTCCGAGGTCGATTCTTCGATCGAACGTTGGTCGATCAAGCCGGGGTGTTGCAAGGACGATCCTCCATCGGATGTAGCCTCGTCGGAGGACATATCCTGCTCGTCGGCTGCCAAGGCGTTGATCATCCTGTAGTGACAGTGGGCGGTCCAAGGCCGCATGTCAGTCGCTGCGCTCCGCTCTCTCAACCCGGCTCATCGGATGGACGTACTGGACCAGAGTGGCATTCGGATCGCCTGGGATGGTGTGACTACGGCTCCTGCTCTCAAAGACACTCTGACTCTGGGCGCGGTTGGAAGCGAACGTGGGGGAGGTCTCTTCATCGTCGTCTGAACGGAAGCCCATCTCAGCCATACCACCAAAACGACCGGGGCCCCTATCTCTTCCGGAGAGACTGGGTGAGGACGCGGCCAGTCTCTCGTCGGATCGTTTGCTGCCGGTCTCGGTCTTGGTCGAGCCTTGTGGGGAGGGCGCGTCGGAGGCCGAGGTGGTATTGTCGCCCAAGTCCGAGGCAGGGGTGGGCGATGCGACCGATAAGGAAGCGAACGCCTTGGAGAAGGGGGAGTCGGCGGCGGCCATGCTCGAACCCAGGTCTTGAGATGACTGGTGCGCGACTATGCACGACCACGTGCGAGTGGAAGGTCGCGGTGGGTGGTGGGGAGCGCGAGGTCGGTCTTGTCTGCGAGGGAGGCGTGTCGCATAGAATATGTAGCACGTGGCCCAAGTCAGCCCAGAACTCTCGAGGAATGGGAAGAAACCTTATTGGGATGCACGGAGAGTGGCACGGGCTTCGTTGCGGTTACCAACCGTGCCAGATTAACGGACCGGCCGGTCGCGAGGCCGAGCTTTTGCGAAGGGCGATATCAAAGGCTTGCGACGCATGCCAAGTCCATCACACCAGCGCAAGTGCATCAATAGAGGATAGTTGTACAACATTCACCTTTTTTCCTGGTGGGAGACTGAGAGACCGAGCACGCAAGGCTGAGTCAGGCCCTCGCAAGTCGCGGCCTTGAGGGACGCTTCGAACGCGGACGGGAGTGGTTCTCTGCTGCGGGCGTGACACGTGATAGTTGGGAGGGGAGAACCAAAACGAAAAACAGGTGGAGGCTGATACCGTCTGACGGCTCAGTATTCGGTGGGGTCGAGGGCCACGTCAACGTGCGCAGAATCAAACAGGATGAGGCCGAGAGGCACTCGGAAGCAGGCTAGCGGCGGGGCGAGACAGGGCGAGACACTCGGGCCAGCCTGCCAGGACGGTCTCAGGCGCCAGCGCGCCGGCGACGATCCAGACTGGGAATTACTCATTACGTGACGGCAGCGGTCGCGCCCGTCCAACCGCACTCCCCGACACCAGCCACTTCAAGTTGTCCGCTGCCTGTTGAGTCTTCCCCGTCCCCGAGCGCACGGAACTTGGGCCGGTAAAAATTCCCCATATAGACCATCGGCTTCAGGTGCACAAACTAGAGATAATGTCAAAAAGTCTGCCGTGGATGGGTTCGGACCTCGGCGAGGAAGCGACTTATTATATAAGCTACTACGCGCTGCTAGGGGGGACCCACTGCACAGGCTCTACCGAGAAGTTTTCATCGGCTCCCAACGGACGCGATCAAACCTCGACCACATACCTTCGACACCAAGGTTTGATTCACGCAAACAAATGCTTTGACTCTCACACCACTACCGTTCCTCGACTAAAGCGTCCCGGAGTAAAGGCACTGCGCCGCCGCATACTCCGAAATGCGCTGTGATCTGATTCAACAGGGGGTCATCATCTGAGCTGCCACGTATGTCATGCTCAAAAACTAGGGAGCTGAAGTTCACCGTTCTATCAAAAATGGGAACCCCCTGGTCCGCGCTGCATTGGTCCGTGTCCGAGCGGCGAGCCTCGAGGGGGCCCTTTCCTGATTCAACGCGGCAGTAACGCGGCACGTCCAGCCTCGTCCAGCCTCGTCCAGCCAACTCCTTCCCTACCTTGTCTGCGCCGGGCTCGCTCGAGTCGACGCTACACAAGCACACTCGCTTGTAGCACGATCATATCGTCCTCGTCAGTATCAAGTCTGACGGCCTTCGTCCCCCACGCGTTGCCGTCCATTCCGCAGCGCCTCCTGCTGGCTGCCTCCCTCACTCGCGGACATACGTCCGTCTTGAAGCTTGAAGGCCTCTCTACGTAGCGTCCTGTAGCGTCCCGCGTCATAGCGCGGCATCAGCCTGCCGAGTCGCGTGGGGCGCACGTCTCACCTCTCACCCTTTCACTCTTCCGCTGCCTCCGTCTTGCCCAAAAGAACGAGTGAACGGTACCTTCGGGAATAACAGTTCGGTCTGAAGCCAGGACTTGGCCGTCATGTAAGCATGACTACCCTCGAGACGATGGCTAGTCTTGCGGTCGCAGCCCCCCACGCTGGCTCGGAGGCTGATCCTACGATGATCCCGCCCCTGACTCGCACCGCCAATGACTTCGTCTCTCTATCTACAGGGGCCGTCCAATACCTATTGATGGTAAGCTTCACTCTCGAGAAAAAGATCTCGCCTGCGCCTCGGTGGATGCTAACCATCCCTGGCCTCTCCAGTGGCAGTCGTCGATCTCCGACAGCCGCCGTCAGCCAACTCCGAAGCGAGCCTGCTGCAGCCGGAGCCACAACTGCGATCTCCGGCCTCGCCGAGGCCCGCACCTCGTCCTCGACCAGCCATGCCCACCGTATCTGCATTTGCATCCGCACTGTTCGACGAGGATGGAAACGCCAACCTCGCCGAAAATGTCAGCTTACCCCGTCTGCCCGAGATGAGCTCCACGAGTCCAACCACCGGGGCTGTTCCACGCATCTCCGAGTCGTCCCATGCGTTCGCTCTCGAACCCACCTATACACCGGGCACGGAGCCGTCTTCATCTCGGTGGTCAGGCCCTCGTATGAGAACGCTCGAGACCCCTTCGCTACGGCCCTTTCACCTCGATGCTCGACCTTTGCGTTCCCTGTCATCGCAAGTTGCGAGTTCACCGGACGCTGTTGGATCCATCGACCCCCGGATTGCTCGGTCCTCCTCTATTCACCCAAGCGGCCGATCTTCCGACGGTCCCGCGATCTATCCGAATATATCTGGAAATAATGTATCGACCAATGAGGAGCCCAATGCGTTTCCGTCCTCCGTCACCCTGCTCCGACGAGCGCCTACGCCGGCATTACCGATGGCTACCACTTCGACGGGAGACGAGCTGCTCTTCAACCTCGGCAATACGGCCGCAACGTCGTCAACGCATTACGACCCGTCAGAGCTCTTGACGTCCACGGTCACGCCTTGGCGAGAATTTTCGGCATTTCGTTCGTCCGTTCACAGCGCGAGGGAAGCGGTTGAGCCTCTGACCATGATCGGTCGGCCTGCCAATACTTTCGACTCATTCAGTGCGGGGCTCGCAGGCCACAACGAAACGGGGACATCGACAACGGATACCTCTCGCCTCAGTGACACGCAGAGGGTCCTCAGAGGTGCACAGCAAGCACTCAGAACAGCGGTAGCTTTTGCACAGCGGTAGGTCTCCGAAACTCAAGGTGTTTGCGCACGGGCCTCGCTGATCATCTCGAGCTATTGTTGCACACGAACCAGACTCGAGCAAGTGACTCAAAGCATCTCGTCCGCCGATCAGCATGGGTATATCGGTGGACCCGAGTTACCGACAACACGGACCGACCGATGGACACCAGCACGACTCTCGGATGGTGCCCCGACCACGACCACCAACTTGCGTTCTAGTAGCATCATGGCGCCACCGGCAATGTTGTCATTGCAAAGGTCCATCGTCCAGCTTCGAGCTGCATCGCTGCGGATCGACATTCTATTGCAGGAATTCCCTGATTTCGTTCGTGCTGCTGCTCACGACGAAGCGTCGCCTTCACCATCAGACGCATTCAACGTCGGCGCCGAAGTCTCGCCGGAGGAGCATCGAGCTCGCTTCTACCACCATTACAATACGAGTCCTTCTACCTCCTCGACTTCCGTATCCAGTCTTGCGCCCACCGGTGATACAAGGACATTGGCGAGCTCAAGTTCCGATAATATCGATAGCCGGTTAGAGCTCGCTCGCTCGAGGCTTCGACACGCGCAAATGACGCTCGATTCCATGTCTCGCATCCGAGATCAACAAGATCGATACGTGCAACAGCAAATGCAGCCTGGATCATTGAGCGGAGATGTTCCGACTTTGATGCCCGCTTCAGCTTCTCAGGAATTCCCTTCGTGGGAAGAAGCGCGAAGGGCACGACCCGAATGGCAGTTCGTTCCCACAACGTCGACGCTCGCACAAGAGCAGAACCCACCCCGAACAGCCACAGAGATCGAGGCTATAACGCCTGGACCCGCACCCGCACCCACTTCCGCACCCGCACCGATGAACCCTTCCTTGCTCGCGAGGTGGAGAATGTCCTCGCAACGCTCACCCCTGACGAGAGGTACACAGGCGAGCAATACAGGAAGGGCAACGAGAAGGGCGTTCCCCATCAAGTTGGATCGGAATGGAGTGGAGATTCAAGATGAGAGTGGTGACGAACAATCCGACCAAGAGGATGATGTGGGACCGAGGCAGTTCATTGGGGGTTTGTTCGGGGGGAGGGAGGAGAGGCGGCCTTCTTTGAGGAGGAAGTGGAGTAGGGAGTTGTGTGGGAGGTGAAAAGGCCGGGGGAGTGGGAGTTGAGATGGCGTCCGTTCTCCTTTGCATACTCTCGTTTTGTGTCCACTTATTGCATTTGTTATATCATCGTCTCTCGTTTTGCAAGCACGGTTTTGGCGCGAGGATTTCACGCGTCCCGAGTGGCGAACTATGCGACGACCACTGACAGGGCACCTGCATGGTCTAAATGGGATGATTGGTTTATTATTTATTGAAATGCCACTACAATAACTCCCTTTTTGCAGAATGCGATGGGGTTGATACAGGGAACGAGACGATGAGGAGCGCCACACGCGTTCTTCAGAAGTCGGTCGCACGGCCTCCATACGACCAATCGCCTGAGGTACGAAAAGAAGTGAACGTGTTAGTGATGAAGTGTAGGCACACTCGAGCACCTTGCATCTACTGACCATGGACCAAAGGTTCTCGCTTAGGCCCACCAACCTCGCCCGTCTCGGGGTTGGTATCGCCTTGGAACGTCGGTTCCGGTGTCTTCCGATAATCAGGATGCATCGTCAAGTCCTCCTCTGTGCCCGTGACCGTTTGCGCGAGTTCAGCTTGAGCTTCGAGGTCCTGCTGGGCTTGTTGGGATGCGGGAGCATTGACTCGACGTTGTAAATCCTCGAATTCCTTTTGGTCCGATCTTGGGAGAGGGGGCGGGGACGGCCTTGAGAAGGAGTTGTTGAATGGGGTGTGAGATGTGCTGAGGTGGCGTGGCTGGAAGTTCACACTCTGCATCAAAGTCCATCGAAATGAAAGCGAGGATGAGGACGAAGAGGACGAAGCCAGGCCTCGGGCGAGAGAGAAGGCTGAGGATCGCAATGACATGGCCAGATTGAAGTCGGAATGGACCTCGGACGATCAGACGAGGGTGGTGCTTTGGAAGTTGTGGAGCGCGCAAAGTCGGGTTTACCGAGTTGTACCGAGTTGTACCGAGTCGAGAAATACTTGAAACTGTTCGCCGAGTCTCTTCTAGTGCAGATGATGAAGTGTCGATGGAGAAGTCCAAAACTGTCGATGGTCGCCCGCTCGCTACGGCGCGCTACGGCGAGCCGCGCCAGACTCGCTCTATAACGCTCTAACTCGCTTTCGAGTAAGATCCATTTGACGGGGCACACACCCGTTATTCGCAACTTATGATATGTTACAGGCCCCACCCTGACTCGGTCTACTGGCGCGCGTGTATCTCTGTTTTTGTCCATGGTTCTCGATTTTTCTTGAAATTTTTGACGCTGTTTGGGAGCCCTCCCGAACGGATTGTAAGATTACCTTGCAACCCCTGTGCGCGCTTAGCACTAAGAAAGTCACGCGTAGGCATCGAACGCCGGGAACGCCGGGGGAGTTCCTGGACCGTTCGATTGGGCCTGCATTTTGTCGACATCTGTCCTCCTTAGCATACACTCTACGACAGGTGTGATTGCAGGAACTCAAGGCACCCATTGAGGAACAAATACTTTCCAAGAGTCTTGGCTATCATGATATCTCTATCCACGGTTTCCCGAAAAACAATGACAGCCGAGGCACCGCACTGGGCCAAATTGGATTTGGACTATTCCCGAGGCCGTGCTCCGTGGAGCTAGGGGCAATTCGCTCCAGCGGCGCTGTGATCTCCAGGGGACACGCGGCAGTGGTGTTTGATTCCAGATCATCGAGAGGCATCAAGCGGGCTGGACGTCGGGAACTGGGCCTTGTTTGCCAAGGTCCGTACTACTCCGTGTATATCCGGAAACTTGGGCGAGCCAGGCTACCTAGTACCAAGCTTAACCCCTCAATGCCTCAGGCTGTCGATGGCGATTAGCTGAGCCTATACGTTTCGACCCGATCTAGTACCACCTCAAAATGTGCAATACGAGGGGTGTCGTCGGATTGAGTGAAAGTAGCAATGAAAATATTTCACTCATAATGTCCGAAGCTCTTTGGAGCTGAAGGTTTGCTTTCGAAAACTGGGGAGGTCCCGGCCCTAAAATGCAAGTTCTCAACGCCCTCACTATAGCCCCCACTCGCCCTCACTCGCCCTCATCAGGTCGCAGGGCCTAGATCGACTCGAAGCAAGATCTTTGGAAGCCTCGTCCTGGCATCGACCCGAGGCCATTGCGAGCGGTACGGGGACCGCTAGCCTCCCACTACTGGGGTAATCACTTTGTCGTCCTTCACGGGGCGATATATCATTGCACATACTCTGGACCAGGCTTGCGTGCATCGACTCGGCGGAGGGCTCGCAATGAGCGAGTCGAACGGTGGCGGCCGAGTCGTCGTCGAGGGCGGCCGAGTCGTCGTCGAGGGTGGCCGAGCGCTCAGTGGAGGCAAGCAACAAGCCGTAGACGTCTACGATGACTCTGCCATTCCATTAGATGTGAGTTCAGCACGAAGAGGAATCAATCGCGTGTGCATCCCATGTAGCCGATGCTGACGGGCTGTCTGTCCCCGCGTTCTCACTTGCCTCCGTCGTCAACCCGTGCCAGCAGACGAGCCTGGGATCGCCTGCCTCAGCGTCTTCGGCCTCTCGCGAGTCGCTGGTACCCATCACGAAATCACACCTCCTACGTGTAGGCGCGCTTGGGATCCCTCTTTCGGATGACGAGGACTTTGCCGACGACGATGCCGAGCTCGACTCACGCCCCTCGACTCGTTCCGACCTTGGGTCCGTACTCGTCAATCCGGCCTCGCCTGGGTTGCCACCTCGAGTGACTCCCGATCATGGCCACGAAGGGACTATGAGACTTCAAGAAGTAAACCATTTGACGTCCGGCTCGGTGTATAGCGGCAAGGGAGCCATGAGCGCGATAGGGAAGGAGCAGGAACGGTTTTCCCATGCCGGAGCCAATTCGGCACTGTCCGAAGGAAGCTTCCGGGACATTGTACGTGAACAGACTACTAATGGTGTCGACCAGAATCCGAGCTTGCAGCTCACATTATTCCTCCTTCGTATACAGGTCGACGACTTGACCATCGAGAGTGCGTCCAAGTGAAAAGTAGGGAGTTGACTTGCTTCGCGACTGACTTCAGTGGCGGTTGGCTGCACAGATCGGAAACTGAAGGGTCGATTGCGACGATTCGAGGCATCGAGTGTACCTGCAAGTATGGAACAAGACCGCTTGTTCGAAGTTCGGTTCTTTGACGGTTTCCCTCCGTAAGTGGTGTTACGCGGACCGCTTTCACAACGAGCAACTCGAAAGATGTGGCTGACAACATTCCTAATCCTTTCTGTCTTCTTCACAGTTCGAGACGGCAAGAACTCGAGTCGTTCCTTACACACTATGTGCAGCAAATCCAATCCGAGGATGGCGAAGAAATTCAAGGCGGGCCTCCCCCATTGACGAGCGTCGCGAAACCTTGTCGCGATCCTCGAGCCGATCAAGAATCGGCAACATTGGGTACCGACACGACCTCTTCGATCGGTGTGACGCTTCGGTCCCTGCGCTCGTCCGAAAAGGAAGAGCTAAGCAAGCGATTGAACGTGGGCTGGCCCGAGGAGGGCAGTGGTAGCGGCAGTGGCAGCGGGAGCGCTGACCGTCTTTCGAGGAAGAGCGGTCGACCGCCCTTGTCGACTGAAAACGTCGAACGCGTCAAGTCGGAATCTGACATCGCTGTTCCTCCGTCCCTTCCCGCTAACGTCCGCGAAGGCTCTCACGAACGCGCCATGGTCGTGAACTCCTCGGGCCTGGCACCACTGCAAGGGGAACCATCGGCCGAAGCTCAGGACGTCGTCCACCCGTACGACGGCGAGCAGAGTTGGCTCGCAGCTCCTTCTTTCTCTGGTATCGAGCCTCAATCTGCAAGTGGAACCGGAACGGGGATGCGCATCTCGAACCCCCAGCGACGCGAAGCACGCAACAGACCAGCCGCGAAAATTCCTTTCCCGTCCATCTCACGGCGACAGTCGCATTCGGCGATCGCTGCCGCCAACGCTGCAGAGGAAGTCAAGGGCGAGAGTTCGGCGGAAGAGTCGGAGGAGTCTCCGCCACCGCACAACGTCGGTACTGCAGGCTCAGATGATTCCGGCTCGGACGAGATGACGACATCACTCACGACGGCCGAGCCTTTGGCCAAGATCGTGGTCGAACTCGTAGAGCGGCTGTTTGCGGGCGCTTGGTTGAGCTCCCCGATGGATGACCCGTCACTCAACCCGCTCCTGTCCGAGCCCTCGCCGCTTCCGCCGACGTCGTCGAGCAATACACGGTATCTTCGAACGATGCTCGACTCGGAGGAGACCAAGCGAGGTGGCGGTTGGGTCTATCTGAACCTGATCCTTACCATGGCGGGAGTCCATCGACTTAATCTGAGTATCGATTTCCTTCGCTGGTCGCTCAAGCGTCGCAGTCATCGCATTGAGGTAAGCAAGGATGGGAGCAAGGTGCGGTGGCGCGGAGAGGCACGCAAGCGCAACGAGGTCGAATCGGCCATTGCCAGCGCCGAGGGTGTCGACGCCAACGATGCGACGATGGACGATGGCGCCGTCGAAGCCGTCGAGCAACGCCGCCAGACCAACAACCTCGTCGTGTCGACAAGCCTGCGCGCCCCGGCGACCGACTCTAATATCTATCTCCCGCGGGAAGCCGACACCGCCTCGTCCGATAGTTGCCTGCGGCGCGTTGCTGCCCCTGAGGACGACATGCAGAGCGGCTCGGTGCCCACTACCCTGTCCTCGATCAAGGATTCGAATACGACCTCGAAGAACTCAAACTCGACCGGTGCAACCTCAATTCCAACCGGTGGTTCCGGCTCGGGCCGGTCCAAGAACGACAGCAACAGTTTGCGCGACGAGTCGGGTCGATCGACGCGGTCGGGTGTCAGCCGGGCGAGCATCAGCGGCACGGCGACGAACAGTCTTACCAACAGCCAGCCCTCGGATGCGCTGCGTAAAGCCTTGCAAAAGGAGCTGTTGGATGCGAGGGGCGTGCCGGACTATACGCTGCACGACGGAACCATTTTCGTGGTCCCTTTGGGTGGCGACGACGACTCCACGGGCACGGATACAGAAGGCATTACGCGTCGCAACCCATCCGTGGCACCTTATAGGCCGATGTTCGCCAAACGTCAGTTCGAGGATGACGAAAGCGATTACTTTGCCCGATCCGATGACGGGTCGTCGAGCGGCCACGGCGAAGATTCGATGCTGCACTCGACAGAGGGCGGCGCACATTCGACGGAGGCAAGAGGCAGAGCACCTGCTCGCAAGCGCAGCAGGCGGCATGGTGCATCCGACGGCGGCCTCGTCTTTTTCCGGTCCGACGTCTTCTGTTCGGACCTTGCAGGCAACGCCCATGTCCGGGATCGGCTCGAGAGATCCCCTTCGGCCGACTCGGACGCTGTCGACCGCGCGCGCATCTCTCGTAGCGATGGCGAAGACGACGCTGGCGACAACTCTCCGAACGCATCTCTCTTCGTTTCTACGCCATCCTCGCCCACGCACGAGTCCGAAACTTCGGGGCAAGTCGTCGAATTGAGTGACACGACGTCGAAAGCGTTGGTGTGGCCGTCTTGGGAAACCGAGACGTTCTCGCAGATGGACGTAGAGAGCGAGACGTCGGGACTGCCCTCTCTATCGCTATCGGGAATGACCAACGTCGTTCCTATGGACCATTTCACTATCCGCATCAAGTCGGAGTTGGTCTGCGATCCATCGGTCACTCCTCCCCCTAACCTGCGTCAGCGTCACGCACGCGCGGTCATCGCTTCCCTTGCCTCGCTCTTGCCGTCAAGGCCAACAAGTAGTGCTCCACCGAAACCTTTGCATACGACTAGGATTTTGGAGGAACGCATTGTGACGCACTTGCCGTCGTCACAGGTGCGGTTCCCGCGCTTAAGGATGCGTCGCCAAGGTAGTGACTCGGACGACGACTCGTCGGGCGAAGAGGTGTTCTGGCGCCGAGCTTTGGTCGAACCACCTGCGGATTATCTGCTGTCGCTTGGGATCCCGTTCCACGGATGGGCCCCCGAAACACGTCGTGATGGCGGTAGTGAGGCCGTGGCTTCCAGCTTTGATCCGGACAACGAACCCATCTCACTCGATTGATGTCTCGTATGGTTATGCCACGCGTTTGTAACCCCGTGTATCCGGTTATCCTTCCGTGTTTCATTTCTGTGTCGGTATCTACGTATATTTTATCAGTTGGGGGGGTCTTCGAGATGTGCTTTTGTCCGTATTTGAGATGTGTTTTCGCATTCTGTTCGCTCGCGCATGTACACACAGTTTCTCCGGCTGACTTGGTCGGCGAAGTTTCCTTCGGATTAGTACTTGAACAAAACCCTTTTTTGATTTACCTTTTGTGTACTTACTTGTTTGCCTGTTTTCTGTTTTGCAAGCGAACTGAGTGCACGGATGCTCCCAGGCAGAGAAACTGACTTGCGTGAAGTCAAGCGACCCGCTCGGGCTGCGCTGGCGGCGGCTGACGCTGACGCGAACTGACGCAGACTGACGCAGGCTGACGCGCTGACGGTCGGGGCGTCTCTGTCGCGCCGAGTGAACGGTGCTGCCCTCGTCATCCTCCCGCTCTCAACAGTTTCATCCCATCGCCAACACATAGCCGACTACCCGCTCGCACCAGGTGAGCCAGACCCTGTGATCTCTACCTCAACCATGCGGATCGACCCGATGATGGCTCGTACGAGCGTCTGGGGCTGCGTCGTTTACCGGACGCAGTACTGCCTACACTGCCTTGGCGAGACAAAGGATCAGCGCTCGATCCACCAGCGGCAGCGGCGTCACCTGGGCTGCTGTACGGGACGCTGAGCGCTGATCGCCTGCGTTGGACCTCTACAGCTCCAAGGCCGGAACAAGCACCCTCTCCGTAGTCTCCGTGAGGATCGCAATCCATTGGAAATACACGTAGGTCCTCTTGCGTAGCTCTGGCGTCCAGAGCATGCGTTGCAGTTGCTGCACGTGAGGCTGACGTTGGGCGCCATCATCCCCGACGCACTGCCTCACCTCCGCCTCTATTGGAATGCGGCCTCGCTCTACTCACCATCCCATACACGACAACCGTGGACGACGACCCGTACGACTTGTAGTCATAGACCCTCCGCATTATACTGCCTCAGGAAGCTTTAGCACATCATGTCGTGGGCAGGATTGAAGAAGGCCACCGCTCGGGCCACGACCTCGGTCATGATGAAGACCGGCCAGGTCGAGAAGACGAACGACGCCGAGTTCCAGAGGGAAGACCAGATGTATCGCACGTGAGCCATCAGCTTGGTTGTGGAATTACGCGGTCTGCGCTCATCGTTTTGGGAGAATGAGCGTCGGCATCCCGTGGGGGGGGGGGGGGGGCATTGCTGCGCCTGACTGCGAGGCCGGCATACTCATCAGACCCGCTGCATGCCATCCACAGACTGGAAAAGAACTCGAACGCATTGCAAAAGGAAGCCAAGGCCTACCTCGACAGCGTACGACAGGTCTCAGCCTCGTCGACCCGAATCGCCGGCACGCTCGACCTCTTCTTCGGCTCGGATGCGGGAGAATCCGCCATGTCCGCCAACGCGTACAAGAGGGCCACGGAAGAGATGGAGGGAGCCGTCGCGAGGGACATTGATGCACCGTACCGCGCGACCGTGATGGACCCGATAGGCAAACTGTGCTCCCATTGGCCCGAGGTGAACAAGACGATCGAGAAGCGGAACAAGAAGGTCAGGCCCGATCCGAGGGTGGTCCCCAATACCAGAGGAGTGTAGCGCTGACAGTGTTTGCTCGACTCAATCAACCCGTCACAGTTGATTGACTATGATGCTGCGAGGTCGAAAGCCAAGAAACTCTCTGACAAGCCATCGGATGATCCGACAAAGTTGCGAATCGTACGTTCCGGCGAATCTAGGCATGCGCTCCGTACGCGTCGAGTGTACAGCCACTGACTCTTGCTTTTCTCTACTCTCCGCAGGCCGAGCAGGAAGCCGAGACAGCAAAAGAGATTTTCGAGGTGCTCGACCAACAGGTCCGAAACGATCTGCCCCAGCTTCTCGATCTGCGTGTGCCGTACCTCGATCCGTCTTTCGAATGCATGGTGGGTTGAGATCGAGATGTAGCATGTTAATCCATCTTCAATTGCGCTGATAGATCCGATCTCGACGACACAGGTTCGAGTGCAAGCTCACTTTGCTTCGGACGGTTATGAGAAGCTCGGGGGCGTGCAGCGATATTTTGCCGACACAGTGCGAGACGACTATGCCTCGGGCCAATTGGACGCACAGGTCAGCATTCCGCAGATAACCTTGTATTTCAGGCTCCCCGGAATGTGTGTGTGTTGACCCTACTCTCGCGTCCATTTCGATCTCACAGGTCGAAGGGTGTTTGCAGGAAATGCGAGAGCTTTCGATCTGCGGTCTCAACGCCTAGCCTTTCTAGTTTTGGTTTTCATGCCATTGTGTATGGAATATTGTACAACCTTGATCCTTGCTATATGACTCTCCGGACGTTTCCGCCTCTTAGCCCGCATACACGCAGCCGAGCGAGCTAAAAGCTTTCGGATGTCCATGCCTTGTTCGCTCTTGGGTGAATCTTGATCGGCTCCTCCTGAGCTTCCTCGGCATCGTTTCTTTCGTCGGCTCGGGCATCTCTCCCTTCTCCTCCGACGAGCCACCCTTGCCGGAAGTGATTGCCGCGATGTCTCCAGCCGAACTGCCGAATAGAAGCCTCATTCGGGGATCAGCTCAAAGTCACTTGTTTGCCATGCCACCCCAAAAACCCGAAGGAAGTCCCGATTTCGCATTTGCTTTCCAACTTGCCCTAAAAACGGCCGTTCCCAGTCCCATCGCAGCAGCTATTGAACGACGAATGCAATACCCTGTCAGCCTCGTCCCCTCTCACTCACGTCGAAGAAGTCGATCTCCCCCTCTCAGACTGACCGACAGGGATGCTCGGTACAAGCAGAGCCCCAGCGACGGGCACGATGGACCCGATCGCTGTTCCAGCCAATGCTGCTGTTCCTGCAGCTATCAAAGTGTACTTGACTGTGCGGATAGGCGAGTCATTTCACGGTCAGCTGAGTTGTGGGGTGAAACGACGTCATCGGCCTCCGTCGCGATCGAAACGACAAGAAGGTATCGCCCGGCCCGACGGTGTATCTTCTCAAGTGGGGACCCCTAGCTCACAGTATCTTAACAGTCTCCAGAAAATGAACTTGACGACATATCGAGTAGATCGAAGCGCCGTTCGCAGCGTCAAACTCGCCGGACGAGCTCCACCCGCTTGCGGACCTCGAACGAGGTAAGACAGGTTCGTCTTGGCCGTCTGCAGCGACGTCTTGGAATTCGGGGAGGGGATGGGGTGAGATGGGGTGGCTGCTGGTGGAACTGTGGTAGATGACATTGTTGCTGCGCTCTGTGCGTCAATCCACGGGTGCAGTCTTGCGAAGCCTAGTCGTAGAAGTGACAGGCTTGCGCGGCGATCAGACTGGCTCGAGCGCGATCGTCGATCGAAGGTCTGATCAGGTCTGATCGCTCGGCGATTAGCGAGAAACTCTAGCAGAAGAACAGAAGCGGTGTGCATAACCCAAATAAAGGCGCGAAAAATTCGAGAAGAAATGAAAACCTATGAGATGACCTAAATTTTAACCTAAATGCTGACAACAGATCGCGCAGTGACCAAAGCGTCGGTAGGTGATCGACAAACTACACGGGAGCAGCACATCCGAACGAGGAAGCTGCACCGGCCTTGCGCGTTTGAGCTAGAGCCGTTCCCGTACCCCACATGCCGAGACCTCCGGTACCGAGGGCGCCAATGAAGAAGACGATGTTGAAAAGTCTGTTTGGCGCGATGCGGCGTCGATCAGTGTCTGAACCTGGGCTCGACGGAAAAGGTGTCACTGATAGTGAGACTCACTTGAAGAGAAGACGCTTGTTGCCACCGGCTAACAAACCACGCTTCCAGCGAGACTGTAGAGAGAGAGATGCCAAGCAATGTCGGTCCAGCACTCTTCATAACTAAGCAAAGCTTTGCTTGCGACGGTTTGGAAAACTCACGAAGTTGCTCCAGCTGTCAATGCGCTTGGGGGCGACGCCAGGAGTCGTGAAGGGCTCATCGGCTAGAGAGGCGTCGATACCCATCGTGAGACCGAGGATTAGGAACGGAGGGAACGTGTACGTAAATTGGAAGATCGCGACGGCACCGACGAGACCAGTCAGGGCACCGAGACCCGGCAATCCCGTTCCGATTACCCAAGCCAGGGTCCACCAAACGATGAGCATGGGGATCCAAATCATTTGACCCTTCCTCGACATGACCGAAGGACCCTTGAAGAGACCCTCAACGATGTTGGAATAGACGACCTTGAGACCGACATTTGCGTAGAGTCCAGCGGCAACGGTTACGGTGGCGAGAGCGATTCCATTGCCGACGCATTGCCAAGCGTACTTGGAAACACCTTGGTAGGCAAGCGGCAAGGTATATTGGCCCTGGGAGCAGTAGATGAAGGTTCCGTAGAAGAGGTAGACGGTGAAGATGAAGATCTGGGCGCACGCAATACCCTTAATGGCGTCGTAGGGTCGTCGCATCTCGGCGATAATCTCGGGAAAGATCATGCTGCCGCCGTAGGCGAAGACCATGTTGAACGCGCCGTTCACTTGGTTGAACACGCTACCGCCGACGACTGCCTTGATCACAACGGGACCCGTGCCGATCGAATCGCCGTACGCCGCGATCGCACCAGCGATGTTGGGAGGCGAGTGGGCGACAAAAGCCATCGACAAGATCATGATCAAGACGTTGAGCCACACGGAAAAGTTTGCAAACACCGAGAACATGTGCAGTTCTCGGACCATGCTGATGGCAGCACCGACGACAGCCCAGATCAAAATTGTGATCGTGAAGCAGAGCTTTCCTTGAACGATTTGGGACAGGCCGCCTCAGTTACCGAGAATAACGATGGCGCAGTTGAAAAGAAGTTGGACGGTAACAAGAACGTTACAGACATGGCGAGCCCAGGGACCGTACTGAGTGAAGGTGAAGGATCCTCAGGAGTTTGTTACAGACGGGCGAGAACGCGGCAACGGAAAGACTCACGATGCGCTCAGCAAGATCGCCATAATGCTTCACCGGGAATCGCACAGAATCGAGCTGGCAGAACATCTTCCAGATCATGAAACCAGTAAAGCCAGCTGCAAGACCGAACAGTGTATCTGCGAGGTCCCCAGCCCACTCAGAATCAGCAACGCCGCCGGTGGAACACAATTGCGCAGTTGGACCTCTCCTCGTTCTCGACCTCTTTCCCTTGTTACTCACAGAGACAGATTCCGGGAGCCAAACCAATTGTACTAATCGCAAAAGGTGCATTGAAGGGTCCAAGTATATCCGCTGTAATGAGAAAGAAAACGGTGGCCCATCCTGCTTGTCGAAGCAAACGACGTGCGTTTGAGAGCTCCTATTTTGATCGCACGCGCGATGGGGATCCGAGAGTCGCTAGCGTTAGCAATCTAGCCTAATGGCGCCAATGGAAACGCCAAGATCAAATGCATAGTAGACAGTGTATCTGCCTCACGGTTTGATGTTCAGAGAGGCCTTGCATTTGTTCCAATTCGGCTTCCATTCGGCGATGCGCCTCGTCATCAATTCCTGGTGTGTCACCCCTCTTTTCCATTTGCTTGGCGATGAATTTTCCTAGAGGTCCGAGACCACCAGTTTTGACCGGGCTATATGAATTTGAGGGTGTAGGCGAGTAGATCATGGCGTGGTTAGCGAAGCGGCACTTGTAAATCTAACGAATCCCGAGCCGAGTCGCGCTCGCGATATCCCCGACATGCGACTCCGGCACAGCGCGCCGTTACCCGGGCTGCCCTGACTCTGCGCACGATTCGCGATAACACGCCGGTTGCGTGCAGTAGGCATGACGGGTTTGGTACGCCTACCAGCCCGGTGAAAGAAGACTTTCAAGATACAGAAGGATACTCACGTCGTATCCCGAGCTTCGATCTCGCGTTGGATCTTGGCCCAGTGGAGGTATTCGACGAGTGAGACAGGGTGCGCGTCGGCGGGGGCGGCGATGTAGGCATTTACCGTGACATCTTTTTCGCCCATTGAGCCGTTGTCGGATTTCTCGTGCATCATGGTGTGAGGTGCTCCTTGAGTGGAAATCGAGAAGAACAGGTGAGGGGTGATGATGACTCGAGCAAAGCAAGCCTAAAGTCTAATCGTGAAGGGAAAGGGGCGACCGAGAAGGAGGAGAGTAAGGGGCAATCGGAGGTGGGGGCTTTGGGACTGGAGATGAGTCGAGCCAACAGAAGACAACAGATAAGTGGGTTTCACGTTGGTGCGCGCCTATAGATAGCTATAGATCGGTCACTAGAGATCCGTCTTATCCAATCATGTACCGAGTCACCTTGAAGAAAAGTGTGGAGAGAGCGCTATGATCGTCGGAGATTGCCAGCCAGAGAAGTCGATCGCGCACGACGTGAGCGCGCCGGCCGTTTCTTTTGCCCATTTCCGCTCGCGATAAGAAGCGCCCCTGCAAGCGCCCGGCCAAACACCGTCACCGTACGCCGTAACAATTATCTTTCGAACGATTCCAGTGTACCCACTAACGTAAGACGGTACATTGCTTTGAATAACTACAAGTAGACTAGGGATTGGCCGGAACTTGGCCGCGCCCTTACTAGTAACATGTAACATGTAATGATCAGTGTAGTCGTCAAGTGGTGATGCTCGGACTCCCGTCCAACGCGACCCACTTGAGCTTCATGATGGACACTTACGAGCTCACTTTGGCGATCGGAACTGGCCGGTTGCTGGACTCGTATGACCAGTGCTTCACGTGACTGGCAAATGAGCCGGCATACCCCACCGGAAATCGGCCTCTCGACGGCCGCCGGTCCACGGTGGACGCTCTTGGGGTCCTACCTTGATACTTACTATCGCGGAGGAGTTTAACCTTAGATACCTTTTTGCTCCACCGCCTGTACCTTCTCTACCTCTCGGCCCCTGTGTGGGGATGAGTACCCGGGTAGTGCCGTCAGTCACACTCAATTGGCGTGACTGCACGTCGCTCTCCGGAACTCCCGAATAGGACGCCAACAAAGGATGGGTGTGAAGCAGAATCATTATACAGTGCAATAAAATATACTCGTAAATCGAAAATGATTGACCACGACCGTAGACTCATCAAAATCATGCCGCCTCTATAAAAATTTGCGGGCGATTTGGCGCCTTTCCCGCCGAGATCTTTAAATAACACGGGTTGCAGGTGTCGGTAACCCCATCCTTAGACGGGTGCGGCACATCCGAAAGAAGAAGCTGCTCCGGCCTTGATCGTCTGAGCAAGAGCCGTTCCCGTCCCCCACATGCCGAGACCCCCAGTGGCGAGAGCGCCGATGAAGAAGAAGACGTTGAAGATCCTGCAGCGCGTGCGGATCGAAGGCATGATGAGCTCAAGTACGAGCTTCGATGATGAGTCCTAGTTCGACTTACTTGTATGCGAGACGCTTGCTTCCACCGGCCGCGAAACCACGCTTCCAGCGCGACTGCGAAGCAGATAAGCTCTCAGCGAGGGGCTCCTTGAGCACGAGAGAACCACTGCGGCAACTTACGAAATCACGCCACGTGTCGATACGCTTGGGGGCTACACCGGGAGTGGTAAAGGGCTCATCGGCGAGCGAGGCGTCCATACCCACGGTGAGGCCCAGTATGAGGAAAGGCGGGAACGTGTAGGAGAACTGGAAGATGGCGACGGCTCCGACGAGGCCGGTGAGGGCACCCAAACCGGGGAGACCGGTTCCGATGACCCAGGCGACCACCCACCAAATGATGACCATAGGAAGCCAAATCATTTGACCCTTCCTCGACATGAGCGAAGGCCCCTTGAACACGCCCTCGACAATGTTGGTGTAGACGACCTTGAGACCGACGTTGGCATAGAGACCCGCGGCGACAGTGACCGTAACGAGCGAGATGCCGTTGCCGATGCATTGCCAAGCATACTTGGAAACACCTTGGTAGGCAAGCGGCAAGGTATATTGGCCCTGGGAGCAGTAGATGAAGGTTCCGTAGAAGAGGTAGACGGTGAAGATGAAGATCTGGGCGCACGCAATACCCTTAATGGCGTCGTAGGGTCGTCGCATCTCGGCGATAATCTCGGGAAAGATCATGCTGCCGCCGTAGGCGAAGACCATGTTGAACGCGCCGTTCACTTGGTTGAACACGCTACCGCCGACGACTGCCTTGATCACAACGGGACCCGTGCCGATCGAATCGCCGTACGCCGCGATCGCACCAGCGATGTTGGGAGGCGAGTGGGCGACAAAAGCCATCGACAAGATCATGATCAAGATGTTCAGCCAGACCGAGAAGTTGCCGAAGGCCGAAAAGGCGTGCAACTTGCGGACGAAACTGATTACCGCTCCCACCACGGCCCAAATGACGATCGAGACGGTAAAGCAAATGTTGCCCTTAACGATCTGAGTTAGAGCTTGCCCATTTCCGAGGATGACGATACCGCAGTTGAACAAGAGTTGGAGGGTGACGAGGACGTTGCACACATGACGAGCCCAGGGGCCGTAAATGCGCTCGGCCAAATCGCCGTAGTGTCGAACGGGGAATCGCACCGAGTCGAGCTGGCAAAACATCTTCCATATCATGTATCCGGTGAAGCCAGCTGCTGCACCAAACAATGCATCTGCGGAGCCACCACAACCAGGACAAGTTCAGCGCGCCGCTCGGAAACAACGCGCACAGTGGGGTCCGCTTCCTCTCGCTCTTCTTCGCCGTTGTCCACCATACTCACACAGACAGATACCGGGAACCAGTCCAATTGTACTAATCGCATATGCTGAGTTGTAAGGACCAAGGATATCGATCGTGATCAGGAAGAAAACCGTGGCCCATCCGGCTTGACGCAACATGCGACGCGCGTTCGAGAGCTCCTGAAGGCCGAACGCGCAAAAAGAATAGGGGCTCTTGTGTCAGCGCGATGATGCCCAGAGCCATTATCCAGGTGACCTACGATGTTCATCGTACCTGATGATGGGGTGAGAAGCCCTGCATCTGCTCTAGCTCGGCCTCCATGCGCTGCTGAATCTCAGGGCTGACGGTCATTCCCTCCCCGCCGGTCTTGTCCATCTTTTGCGCAATGATCTTCCCCAAGGGACCCAAGCCGCCGGTCTTAACCTGACTATGGATGAACGTTTCGAAAAGATGGTTAATGTCAAGATATTTTGGCGAGCCAGATCCACCAGTCAGGGCCACGAGTCGCCCCTCGGGTTGAGCTTAGGCACAGAATCGGAACCGCTTAGATCGAGCCCACTTACGTCGTGTCACGCGCCTCGATCTCTCGCTGGATCTTGGCCCAGTGGATGTACTCGACAAGTGAAACAGGTTGCGAGTCCATGGGGCCAGCAACCAATCGGTTGGAGACGTCGACGTCGGTTTTCTTGTCGCCGATAGAGTGACTCTTGTCATCGATGGCGTGCTTTTCAACCGACATGTCGTGAAGGCAACTTCGTGTGTGTTTGGGTCGAAGTACGTGGACGGTGGAGAGGCGGAGAAATATGAGAGGCAGGAGGACAAGAACTTGTAGGGGAAAGTAGTTTGCTTATCCACTTCGATCCGTTCGGTTGCACGGAACGAGCTTACGAACGAGGGAAAGAATTTAGCGTACTAAATCGGGGCGTAACCTCGAGTTCGGCGTTAGCGATTGGCGACCGCATGCACAGGTGCTTACCAATTCGGGTAAGCGCTTGATACGAACGCTCCCCTTCAGTCAGGGCCTTGTCGCAGGTAGGGGCTTGTAGGAGCAGCTCCTGACCACTATCAGCGACAATTTCCGCTACACGGCAACTTCCGCTATGGTCTTCTTTTTCTGGTAACAGGGTAGAGCACTAACTCATACGTAGGCACTATGTACCACTTCTCTCTGTACCTCCTAGATGTTCGTACATTGCCCGGCCGTAGGACATCCGAGCCGCCGTGCTCCAACACGTCAGCGCCCCGGAAGTTGAAATTTTGGCCAGCACGTGACGTTGTTAGGCACCGAGGAAGTAGTGGTGCCCAAATTTGGATCGCGAGACGTGTGGCGACTTTGGCGAGGTCTGTTTTTGGATCCCGGTTCCGACTCGTTCAGGCGTAATTCCGCCTTACCTGTTGCACGGAGCGCGCGAGCCGTTCTTCAAGACGACCCCGCTGGCAATGAACATTGACTAGTGAACATTGAAATGCAGCGAACGCTCAATGGATCAACTTCTAGTGGCCCGGGTTCCACGCGGTAAGCCGGTGACAATTTACCACTTCGCCGGCTGGCTCTTGACGTGCGCGCGATATAAGCCGAAAGTTCGTGGGGTCCCCACCCTCGAGAAGACAGGCTCTGCCAGCTAGAATTTTTGATCGAGTTTCTTGCCTACACTTCGTTCGTTCGCTCGCTCCCATGGAGACCTTCGTAAAACACTTCCCCTGCTCACGATCGGCCGAAAGAAGCCGCCGGTCCACGGGTGGCTCGCTCCGGAGACGGCAAACCGCGAAAATGAGGCATTTTCAAACCTTTCATCGGGGACACGAGTTTCGCTCTGGCAAGGAACTGCCTACCTAGGCAGAAAAGCTCAAGGAGGTAGCAATCAGGTACTTACCACTGCCGGTCGTCGGATGGAGCTCAGACGGTTACTGATAGCGGGGAGATTCTGGTCTCGACTGCACGAAAGTTGTCTCCCTCCCCTTGAAACAGGCGGGTCGACCTAAGAGTTCCAAAGCCACGAAAATCCATTACAACAAGTGAGACACCAGATTATACATAAGAAAAGAACAGAAGCCCGTAGAATGAGCGACCTTTCGACTGACTGACACCACACGATTATCTCGGTGGCAGAGGAGGTGGTGGTCCACTTGAGCCTCCGGTGTGGGACGCGGTAGCATCAGAAGCTTGTTCCAACCCGAGATCAAAGTCCGACATCTTCAGAGCGCCCAAGACGTCTTCCCCACCCTTCCCACTCAACGAGTTGTTCGTTCCCGACCCCGCTCCAACCCATCCCATCGAATTGGGCGCCGCCAGACCGGATCCACTCGTCCCCGGGAATGAAGTTCGAGCACTATGCGCTTCGATCGACAAACTTCCTCCCGAAGGACCCGGTGCATTCTCGTCGACCCCAAAGATATTGTCCCAAAACGCCTTCTTGAAGTCGCCAAAGTCGGTGCGCATCATGACGAAGGGCCGCAGGAGACGATTTTCAATCCGTGCAAGGTAGGATTCGTTGAGGTACGATTTGAGGATCTCGGGTTGGACGATGAAGACGTTACCGAGTTGGCGCAGCATCTCGAAGCGGTCGTTCAGCGGTGTGAGGGAGAAGCTGGTAATGGTGTCTTGGTACAGGGCTAGATCCTTGGTGAGCATCAGTCCACCGGTCGCCGAGATGGGGAATTTTTTCAGGTGCTCGAGGAGTAATCTGCGTCACAACCGATTGACGCCGTGTCAGCTACGACACGCCGTCGAGACAGCATCATCAGGTGATACTCACGTATGGAACGTCACCCCAACCTCTGTCAAGAATACCTCGCAATTGCGCCCGCTCAGACTCGCCACGGCGGCCTCACGAACCTTGACCAAGAAATCGCACACGAGCAAGCAAGGCTCGGTGTTGATCTTGGAAAAGGCTTCGTTGTCGTTGCGAGGTTTGAAATCGAGCTTCTTTTGCTTCGAGAGTAGATGCGACAACCACGAGACGATACCTGATCGGTGATCGCAAATAGATCATCAATTTTGTCGTCTCTGCTACACCGAGACGGAAAGTTCTTACCGTCCGTCGTGCGCTGCACGATCGTATTGATCTTCTGCTCGATCCTCACCGAGACATGATTGTTGAAGATATTCATCTCACGACGAACGGTCACACTCGTCCCCGCAAGAGGTACCAACGCCGTGGTGATGTAGCGTTGCCAAAGGTGCATGATCATATCGGCCAAGCGACAGACGGACATGGGGCCGAGGTCCGGTTCGGTCTTGGCGTCGTACGACGAGAGCTGGTGCGTCGCCGTGTCGAGAGCGGTTTCAACGTAGGCTTTGCCGAACGAGTCGGCGAGGACCTTGAGCAAGGTGAAAGCGTTCTTGGATCTATGCGCATATTGTCGATATCATAGCAGGTCAGCCATGATGCGTTTGCATTACTTCGAACCGGTCTCTCATGGCAAACTCACACGTCGCCCAGAACCGAGAGCTCAACCATCCTCCCGACCGCCTCAGCATGCCACTTGAGCATGCTCTCAGCAACCCCCAGATCCAACTCGCCATCCCCCTCCTCAAACATCTGCTCAGGGTGAATCTCCTCGCCGTCCTTCATCTTATCCTTGGCCAAGTTCGACAATCCAGAAAGCTTCATCAGTCGATCGAGTCGAGAGAGGTCCGAGTGCTCGTGCATCGACGAGCGATCGGGGACGATGTTTTGCGAGGCTTGGTTCGCCGCCGCCGTTAACTGGTTCACCATGCGATCAAAGATGGTGTTGCTCGGTTTGGCTTTGTTCATCGCTCGCTATTAAGCGTTCGCAAGCAGCTCATCAGTGACCTAGACTCGAAGAGGGGTTTGTTGTTTACACTCACATGCCAGTTCGTGAACCGCAGCAGTTTGCCTGCATATAGCTCGGTCAAACTCTTCCCTTCCCGGTCGAGGTACCGATTCCCCTCCATGTACGGCACGAATAGCTCTTCCATCGCCTGATCGAGCATCATCGACACGGCCGCGACCCCAACAGCTCCAGCACCGACGACGATGGACGTTCCGTTTGCGCCATGACCAGAGGTTCGATCACCAGCTTGACTACCGAACGTCGCCGAAACCGGGCCTGTGACCGTCGCGTTCGTCGAAGCTAGCGATGAGGACGATGCGCGGAAGAACTCGTGGGTCTTGAGATCCTCGATCAATGTGTTGGTCGTCGATCGTGCTAGATGGAGGATTCGGAGGTAGGCGAGCGACGAGGACGACGATGCCGTTTCCACGAGCGTTTCAATGTAAGCTTGAATCTGCGGGTGAGCCATCCCACTCATTCAACCTCTGTTGCGGTCCATTTGACAGCGCATGAAGACCACTCACGACCTGGGCAAAAACGCGCTGCAAGAATACCTGCATGACGATCGGCGGATTCGGAAAGACGGCGGTGATGATTTGAGCCTCTTGCCCAACCGTCACCCGGATCTCATCATAAAGGCTGTTCAGGCCCGGCTCATTGCGTGGTGCGAGTGCGTCAGGGTCTGGCAAAAGCTCCCAACTGTATGACGTCGTAAGCAAAGTTCGGTCAGCACAGTACGAGTCGCGGATGAGGGGTCCGTTTGACTCACATTGCTCCGCCCACAAAATTCCCTGCCGACTCTTGAACCCTTTCCTTTGAGATGAAGAAGTCGTGCTGATTGACGTAGATCTGTATGCAAGACTGTCCGCCGTTGAAGTCTTGCAAGGTCTTGGCGCAGTGCTGCGGGAGAATTATAGAACGAGACCACGTCAGAAACCACTTCCCGACAGGACGAGTCATTTTAAGCTCTGAGCACTGACGGCCATGGCCTTTGGGTCTCCTTTGCGATAATAGCGATCGAACAACTTGAGCATGTCCTTTTCGAAGCGCTCGCAGTACTTTTCGATCGTATCTCGGGTCTGCCGGAGCCACCAGGGTTCAGTGAACGAAGACCTCGGCAACTGCTCACCGGTGACTGCTCACCTGTTCGGCCCCGTCAACACCTTCTACCTCTCTGGCCAAGCTCATCAACCGCCTCGCTGCGACGGCGACCTTGGCCCGACCTTCCCTTCCACCGTCCTTTCGCATCATCTCGAGTCTGTCGGGGAGGGAGAAAGGTTATGGCCGGATGAGGATTCATTGCTGTCGAGATGGCATGTTGGGTACGCATATGGACGCACCGAGAGGTATCTCCCAGAGCTGTCTCGTTGTAGTAGAGAATGAGATCGTGTGCCTCGGAAGCACGTTGTCTGAGCCGGTCGATGCTCTCCAGCTGTTCACCTGACGAGATGGGACGAGACGGGGACGAGTCAGGGAAGAGCCTCGGGTACTGGCAAGAGGTCGAGGCGCCGGCTTACCTATCCGAACAGCGCCTCTGCCTACATTTGTAATCTTGGAATCGAGGGCCTGGAATTGAGTGTTGACGGTCTGCTCGAAATCGCAGTTTGTCTAACGGGTCAGCGGCCGCCTACACCGAGGAAGGCTCGCCCCCCCGTCGCTGGACTCGAGGACTGACTTCGAATCCAGCCTTGGCGCCTCGAACGTCGTTCCTGTAAGCCCTCTCTGCGGCAGCGACGGCCTTTTCGAGTTCAGCGGTCTTGGTCGCGTTCGCCTTGCGAAGAGGGAGCAGCACCGACAGCGCTTGCTCGAGTGTCTTGATGTGGGGTTGAGGGTCGAACGCTGGCGTGCAAGGGATGTGAACCAGCGTCAGCACATGGTGCATGCTCGGTGCACTCGTTCTCGACTATCGCGCTATTCCGACTCGACACTGCCCTGGAGCATGTAACGCCCATCATCATCGAGCCAACACCCGTAGCCTACACGGCCCTACACTGCCCTACACTGCCCTACACTGCCCTACACTCGGGCCTTCCACGTCGCGTGACCCGCATGCGCACGCACCTCCTCCATCAGCTCTGGCCTGCTTGACATCGTCCTCCATCAGACTCTCGACCAGTCGGGCGACGTTGAAGTTGTCCTGCTTGAACGCGTCGAGCGTAAGCAACGAGCGCGCATGGGCCACGCTCGACGACGACGACGAGATGCCGCCCAGAGTCGAACCCGGGTCGTTGTTGCTCGTCGAGGGGTGCGGTGGACCATCGGAGGAGTAGGAAGGGGCCATCGTTCGATTCGTGAGGGCGGGGTGTGTTACGGCGCCTCCTCGAGAGCCGAGCGTGCGGCGGGGTGATCGGGACTCGCGCGGGGGGAGGAGCCAAAGGCCGAGTCTTATTAGTGAAGGGCAGCGGAGAGAAGCGAGATGAGCAGTGGAAGCGCACCGAGGCGCACGGTGGAAGCGCCACAGGAAGCGCCTCGCAACTCAGATTCGACCTTCTTTGGGCTCAGCACATCCTCCCCTGTCTACGCATCAGCAATAGCTCACACGTGGAGCAACATGGTCAGTCTAGGCGACACAGCAACCTCGGCGTGCCTTCGTCTGCGGACCCCCTTCCTCACCCTACTTGCGAGACGATCTCGGATGTCCTACAGAACGTCCGCCACGCGACCGTCGCCGACCTCATGGAGATGCAGAATGCGAACCTGCACAACCTTCCGGAGAACTACCAAATGAAATACTGTGAGCTCCGTCCGTAGAGCCAGATCCCTCGCATGAAGCGACGCTCGACCCTCAGCTCCCTCTTCGCTCCCTATTCCCCCGTAGACCTCTACCACGCCCTGACCTGGCCCCAAGTCTCGTTCGTAGCGGAGGATCACAAAGGTCGGATCGTAGGCTACATACTCGCCAAGATGTACGCACCCTGGCCCTCCTCCCACGTTCTCGCCTCTCGAGAGAATCCCCACCAACAATCTTCGCCCGTCCGTTTTCACTTCCTACAGGGACGAGGAAGCGACAACCGACCCTCATGGTCACGTCACATCCATTTCGGTCTTGCGCAACTACCGGCGATTAGGCCTCGCCAACAAACTCATGCAATTATCCCGTGCGTCTCTTCCCAACCCCTTCAAATCTTCATTTCCCCGGAAACTGATCCCTCCCCTTTTCTCTTCCGTCTCACAACAGAACAAGCCATGAAGTCGACCTTCAACGCTTCCTACATCTCTTTACACGTGCGCAAGACGAATCGCGCCGCATTGGGTTTGTACAGGGATACGCTCGGGTTCGAGATCGTCGAGATCGAGAGCAGTTATTGTCAGTTTCAGTTTCCTCTTCTCTTCTCTGGACCCTCGAGCGCGACTTTGGGATGCTCGGCAAAAATGGGGGGGAAAGGAACGTTGAGCTGATTCTCTTCTCGTGGCTTTTGGCTTTCCTGGACCCGCACCTTATCCTCATCCAGATGCCGACGGAGAAGTAAGCTCTTCTTTTCACCTCCGACCAGGGCTTCCCCCAAGAAATTTCGTCACTAATACTACGTCTTCGCCTCCGTTTCGAGCAAACAGGATGCCTACTCGATGCGACTCAACATTTGAATGCTCGAACATCATACCTTTAGAAATACATGTATCAGCACTGCAATACTTACTCACACGCACCTCTGAACCCAGAGCCCACCTCGTCATTCACGCGAATACCTTGGCGTAGGGCCTGCGTAACTTGATGCACCCCAGCACTTTCCCGGACCAAACAAGGGTAAAACTCCTCTGGAACCCCATCTTTCTCTCTCATCCTTCAAGAGCTTGAAAGAAAACGATCCCCAACCCCAACCACCTCCCGAGTTCTCCGTCCGGAACAACCCGAAAGCACCCACACGTACAAAGATCACGACGACGACGACACGACGGGTTATCCGACACATGGCACAGCGTTGCAAAAAAAAACGAAGAGTAAGGGGAATATCTATGAAGCGGTGAACTAGGGATAGAAGAAATGAGGATCACAAGAGGGAAAGAAATAGAGAAAAATCAGTTTTTGACATTTCCCCCAATAGAGACCCGGCCAAAATAACTCCGAAGCGAGACCCGTTCGGTGGCTCAGAGTGGAACGTACACGCAGGATAAAGTTGATGATGATGGCGGATAGAAGCGCGAGGCACAAGACGGTCGGCCCGAGTCGGTCATCGTAAGGGCCCGAACCACGCTTGCGGATCGCGTTCGCGCGCCAGTGATATGTGATCAGACTATAAATTGGGATTTTTAGATGGATTCGGTATGTCTCGTTAGATAGATCCCATATCCGCCAGGCAGAGACTTACGCGTAAATCATGATGGACATGGCTGCTCGGGGAGAATTCCCATCCGTGTCGGTAAAGCACGGCAGGGCATGAATTGGAGAGGCGCAAGATGTCAGTCAACACAGCTCTTTACGGAGAATGCCCACAACGGACTGACCAACGACGGTGAACATGCCCGCAGCGATCTTGCCGACGCGATCACCAAAGTTGAGCAAGCCGACGGCGAGACCCCCTGCAAGCGAACCGACGGAGAAGGGAAAGATGTCCGACGACGGATGGAAACCCGCGGTGGGTGAGCACACAACCCCTACGTAGGGAGACGCTTCTTCGATCGAACGAGGGTGTCACGCACCGAGAACGACGGTGAAGCTGTAGAGGTGAACACCATCGGATCAGTTCTAGTGGTCCCACCCTGACGGAGCGGCCACCGACGACGAGGAGCTGCGACGGCGGACTCACTTGAGCCATGAGAGGAACGTTCGCTCGTTGGCGAAGAAGACCTTGGGCTCCTATTGAGGGCAAGGAGATCTGGCGTTGATCAGCACCCCCACATCCCACAACTGCAGTGTTCATCACGCCGCAGGGCCCAGCCGGCAGCCGGGCGACGAGCGGAAATCGGGCGGCGTCCACGACCTCGACGAGGACAACCAGCACGTGCGCATGCTCTCCGGCGCGCCGCGGACGTTTATGATTGGGCGTCGATTGGCGGCGCTTCTTGAAGCCGACGGCAGCCACGGCAAGGCGCGCGACAGGAGGCGGGAAAGCAGGTGGAGGATAGGTGTAGAACATACCACTCGCACAGGCAGGGCGATGCGCTTGTTCGGAGCACGTTGTAATAACGGTTGCGACGACATGGCTTTCAACGACGACGGCGGAGGCGGGTGCGAATGCGGGAGAGCCAAGCGTGGAACCGCAACAGCTCGCGCAAGACATCGATCGTGCCAGATCGTGCCAGATCGTGCCCGGCCCCAAGCAGCCGCCTACAGCCGCGAGCCAACGCAGGCCAAAGCCTTCTCTCGGGCGGCCGGTTGAAGGTAACTGCAGTATTTTGCGCCTGCTTCGGAACAGGGGTCACCCCCCGCCGTCGGAGAGCTAGGACGCGAGAACTCGACAACCGTAAGAGGTACGAGCCCGTACTCGGGATCTTACACAGCGCTGGCCTCGGCTATTATCATGCTCGGGATTTTTCTCCGGGCTCCCTCCTCCTGAACTGCCGCTCGTCAAAAAACATGTGCTCGTTAGTATTTCTCATGGGGGACAACTACGTGAAAGAGACGCGCGCAAAACAGAAAACATCCTGAGTCAAGAATCCGACACTTTTTTCCGCCCTGCAGCCTACAATCCAACCTCCTCCATCCCATCACTGGCTTTCGTCGAGGTGCTTTCCTCGTTCCCCGCCTTGGGATCCTCCTCCTTTGTCGATTCCTCAATAGGGTTACCCTCCTCCACAGGCTTGACGTCCCCAACAAAGGTCGCATCATCCTCATCAGGCGGGTTCTCCGGTTCCTCCAACGCTTCTTCTTCCGCCACGGTTTCCTCAATCTTGACCTTGCTCGTCTCGCGTACGAGCGCATCGACCTTGGCCGGATCGATATCTTGCGACGGTGCGATGACGTGCAGTCTTGGTGGTTTGGGATTCGAGACCCGTCGGTTCTCCAACCCTTCCGCCGTAGGTACGATTCCGTTCAAGCCTCTCTCATCGCCGGGCGGACCCTCGGGCTCCTCTTCCGCGAGCGCACTCGCCCCCTTCGTCGAAGCGGTCGGTGCGACGGCCGGAACGGGTGCGGACGAAGACGAACCCTCTTCAGCGATGGGTGTGGTCGTTGTCGCTCGGCGTGTGCTAGGTTTGGAGGATGGGATAGCGCCTGTCGAGGTGACGAGCTGAGCCGAGGAGATGGACGCGGCGTGGTTGACGGTGCCGATGTAATAATTAGAGATGGGCACCATCGTTTGCCCCTTTTGGCATGCGATGACCCACTCGGGGCTGACGACGGGCTGTGATGCGAGGAGGTACATAATTCAGATCAGTTTGTGTCGCTGCCACTGAAAGGCGCGTCCACCAAAGCAGCCCGTCAGGGGTGGGACCTACGATGCTCAGTTGCAGCGCCTTCTGGTACTCGACGCTCGGCCCACCCGTCGGGTTGCTCGCACTCGCCGGACTCGTCGCGACGAAATGGGTCGTATCGATCTGGATCTTGTCCGAATACTTGGCCTTCATCGCCGCAAGCGCACTCTTAGCCTCGACCAACTTGGCTTCCGGTTCGATCAGGCCGAAACAGACCGAGATGCCCGAGGTATCGGTGATGGTGTGTGTCCGCGTCTTGACCGTCGGGGACGTATAAGTACCTGCCGATGTCTTGAGCACCAGGTGGAAGTTGTAGTCGGTGTCGAGCGCGAGACCGGACAGTTTGGTGCTCGTGTTGGATTGAGGGTTCGGAATCGTGGTCAATCGTTGCCCGTTGCGCCATACGGAAAGCTGCAGCAGTTTTGCGCTAGCCAACTCGAGCTTGTCCCATTCTAGTGTGACCTGTGTGATCAACAACAAAGATATGTATACACGATGAACAACCTTGTATCCCTCTTCAGAGACGCCATTCAGAACTAGCGTTACATGACGGTGAACGTACACTCGTCTGGGTGGTGTTACGGACTCGGAGCGTCGGCGCCTTGGGTTCCTTGGCCCCAAACTCTGCGTAGATGTCCCGTTGCAGACTCCAGAAGGATTCGTAGGCTTCCTTCTCCGCGGCAAAGTTCCTCGTGCACGCGATGTTGACGATCGAACCGGGCCCGACGCCAGCGGGTAGCAGCAGTGACGGGAACTCGATCAAGTGGACGGACTGCAAACGGAAGAGGTCGGCTCGATCAGTAAAGAGCCGCGTTTAAGATATAACAACAGTGTACTTACGTCCGATATGAGAACCGCAATACCAGCTGTCGAACGGCGAGGGCGAGCGTGCATGAGACCGATGACGCGCTGGTCAGTTTGAAGGAGACACTGCACCACACAAAACCACTACTGCACTGACCATCGATCTTGCCAATCACAAATCGCTGTGTTCCATTGCTCGAGTCCACCATCTGAGCCATCGCGCTGAGGAGGGTGTGGGGTAGCGGTTATTCCAGGAGGGTGAGTCTGAGGTTGTGTGTTGCCCGTGGACGTGTTCGCACCCGGGCGCCGAGGCAAGATCTGCCGGCTGAATTTGGCAAGATGGCATCCGATACCGTGACCTGGTCCTATATTTCAGGCATACTAAGTTGGACGTCGGAACCCAGAAGTGTGCTCGGCGAAGTGTGCGAAGGGGGGCGAAGAGAGCATGTATTGGTCTTTAGCTAGGTGTAAAGAGGGGTATTTAGTGACGCACCACCGAACACTGTCATAGTGCAGGTACAATCGTCACGGTGTATCTGTTCGAGGTCAGAAGAAGTTTCGGCCCGGAAGAGGTCAGCGCCGAGCGCTCCATGCCAAGCGGTACACCTGCAAGGGCCACCGAACCACGAAGCGGAACGGACCCACGCATCGTCTCTCAACTGTCTGTAATGCACAAAAGGATAACACAGTGAGATGCGTAATCAGCGAGTCGAAGACCAGGTAGTAGCAAGTCCAATCTTATTCTCGGCCTGGATCCGGGAGGAAAGTTTGCAACGCCGACAGCGCTCGAGGTGACGCTGCTGGAGTGAGCGCCGAGGCAAGGGTTCCCTTCCGAGGGGTGTCTTTGACGTAGGATAGGTACCCGGACCGAGCTACGGATCTGTCGCGCTTGACCCGATGCAAGGGGTAGAGGGCACAGAGACTGAATGGGTTCGCCCGATTGGCGAGCGAAGCCGGCCCGCGGATTATTTTGACAAGGTTGCCTCCTCGAACCTGTGGGAGCCATGGCTCATCGGAGGTGGTCAAAGCGGCCTGCGATCTGCGAACAGTATCTGCGATAGGTAGGTCTCTACCTCGGCAAGACATGAACACCCGCGAGGGCCCGGGAGCGAGCTGAGGCGTAACGACCCGGGTCTGCCCTCGGCCCGAACAGTCGTGAGCATTTTGGGTCCGTGCCGTCTCCCGATTCCCGAAGCACAACCAGGCTCGGCGATCGACAGCGCGCGCGCCCATCGACAATGAATGAGACGCGTGCCCACTGCCCAGGCTTGCCCAGGGCGATCCTTCCTACAATGGATTGCTCGCGCGCTGACTCACACCGTTCCGCTCCGCGGACGAGAGGGCGTACGAGCGTCGACCGTAGGGCACGGGGACGGCACCTCGGGATCGACTCAGGGTGGTCAGCACGTGCAGATCTGTTCGTAGCTAAGTGCTGAGCCTTTTGTAGCCTTTCGAGCTGAGTCGTCGTCCTGATGATCCGGTGACAGGCGCTGCCGACCTGATCGCCCAATGCCCATGACTGGCTAGCTCGGCAAGCCGCCTAGAGGGTTCCACCCTCAGCACCCTGCAGGGTCATCGCCAGCTAGGGGAGGGGGCAAGCGAATAGAGCGAGAGAAGCAGAGATCGATACATTCCGAGGGATCATTGACATGGTACAACAACATGACCCTAAGGGAGGTGAGAGCATGAAATGCGGGTACTACGAATTTATGCGAGGTGGAAGTTGCGAGCGGTCAAGTCTAGGTTTGACGCGACGGATTGAGCCCGGTAAAAGAGCGGTGAGACCCGGCGGCGGAGACGGAGAAGGCGGTGTGCGACGGGCGATGTGTGCCTGCGAGGCTATCCACGCTAGCACGTGTTTCCTTGACTTGTACCCGTAAAGGATGTCGAGCGAGTTGGTCAGGCTCTTGTGATGGTGGGCGGCTGCTGTGGAGGCATCGCGTGTTGCGGTGGCGCACGGTCGATCGAAAGCAGTTTGCCCTCAGCGGCATGCGCTCCGAAGCGCAATCATGAGATGGTGCAGCACCCGGCCTTGTTCGCATCCGCATCTTTGATGTTCCGCGATCCATCTGTCAATCAAAGCGTTGACGAGGATAGAAAGCAATCGGTCAGTAACTACGCCGCAGATCGCGAGAGATGGGCAGGCACGGACGAGACCCGACGACTCACGATCACGAGAGAGGGTGCGACCTTTGCCATCGAACTTGGCCGTCGAGGAGAAGGTAGAAGACGTCGACTGGCTCTGAGTGCCAGCCTCGTAGCCATCATCCCAGATGTCGTTGAGGTGGACGAAGAAGCGGCGCTGTTCGGCTGTGGATCTGGCCGCAACGTCGATGGCTTCGGGCGACGACGGCGACGGCGGCGCATCGCTCTTGGCTGGCACGGGCGATCGCTCGATCCGTGTTGTCGTCGCGACTTGCATCGAGGGTAGGTGTAAGTGCAAGCAGATGGGCAAGTGATTCGAGTAGGTAGGTAGAGGTAGGTACACGTAGTCGAGAGATGACAAGAGACCTGGGGAGCAAGGGAAGCTCGCGGCGCGGTGCTAGAAGACGAGGACGGACGGAGAAGGGGAACGGGAAGGGAGCGGCCCTTCAGGAAGGCCAAGCACGCGAGAGAGCACGCGCGGTCGGAAGCGATCCTCATTCCTCAGGCTCAGCGCGGCAGGCGGGGTGCTGGGCAAGACGGCAAGGCCTGGCACGGCACCGACGCGGCCACGACTTGGCTGCGCGAGATCGCCAGACAAATCGGGATTCTGATCTTCCTGCCCGGTTTGACCATCGCCCCTACACGCGCGACCCTCGCTCGTACGGATAACATGAGTCCGTGTCCAGTACGCGTTCCTTATGAAACCCTTCTGCAAAACTTAGATTTTGGTACTCTGGAATCCATATGTATGGAATGTAAAAACCTTACAGCATCAGCTCACTAGCGGTTGCTATGAATGGAGTAGATGTTAAGCATCCCCAAACAGTTGATCAACCGTCTGCAATAGGTTTCATGCGCTCAGAAAATGACAATCTCAACTTCTTCTCGTGTCCACCGTGAAATTCGTATGATCCAGCACCGCGAAGCTAGCGCGAGTCAGACCCTGCGGAAACCAGGAGCGGATCCGTGCGAAATCCCCATTCCAAAGGGCTGGCCGTGTAGTCGACATCCGAACTCTGGTCTGCTTGATGGGAATTCTTACGAGCCCCGAGCCCCTCAAGACCCACCTCTGAATACCCATGGTGAGTATCTCATTCAGTCAGTCCAGAGATTTCCGAGTACCACGCCGGTAGCGTCGTACCGTGTACGCCATGTGATCACCGACCACGCCTTGCATAATTTAAGGGTCAAATATTTGAACTGTCAGCGGCGATGAGGGACGGGGCGACGGTCGAACGCCGTGCGACCGCGGGTTCCGTCCGCCCACATCTTGGCCGAGGGTCAGCAAAGGTACGCGATCTGCGTCATGTCACGCGCCAAGCCGACGAAGAAGCGGTCGGCAATTCGTAAAACGCACATGGCAGGATAAAGAGCACATTCCGATGGAGGTGTTCAGTAGTGGTGCAATCATTTGATTAGCTACATAGATATGAAAATCCCCACACTGATGATCGCCCTTGCACGGGTCGGAAGGCCCTTTGCCTCCATGAGCGCGCTCGCTTCGCCTGCGCGAAAATCTCGCTGCGCATGTGCCCTACAAGGTGATCTTTGCCGGAAAGATTTGCTCTACTTTCTCTTTCGAGGGCCAACGATGGGTGTCAACTTCACCACCTAGGACCATGTAGGTATCACTCTTACCCCTCGAGGGCCTACTGAACCATGCCATTTCTCGATCCGGCAAGTTTTCAGCGGCCAGAAGCCACCGCGAAGACTAATCAATGTCTTGCGGGTGGGCTTGCACAGCGAAACAACGTTCCGCTTCAACAACAGGTGGTCTGGAAAATTCAGTGCATGATACTTTGACTAATTGACTGTAGGAAGTGATGCATATGACCGCAATATGCTCAGTGCTCCAACAAATTCGGCACAGTTGGTGTTGGAATAATTGTACATAGGCAGAGTCGGATGCAAAACGTCGGACGGGCATTGCACCGAAAAGCACTGGTATACCAGCAATCCTCGCATCTGGTCGCTTGAACTTTGCACTAGCCCATCCGAGCTGATGAACAATCGCGGTAATGCGAGCTCACGTTCCAAAACGGAAGGGATCGCCACGGAAGCTTGTTTGGGCGGCGCCCCTCGTTGGTTCTTTGGTGCACTGGCGAGCCCCTACGCTTGTCACGTGTCTACAGTGTACCTCACCTCGGGCACATTCAAAGGGGCTGATCTTATTAATCGCGCCGCGCAGTGGCAAAAAAAGCCGATCGGATCGGCAGCCTCCTCGGCCGGTAGCAAGTTTGGTCCGGCAACAGCCGAAACGTCCTGTTCGAGTCCGTTTCGACTATTACATTTGATCCGCCCGCTGTAGAAGGCTGTATGTATTTCTGGCGGGAGAAAATGATTATATCTTGACATCATAATCTTATGAGAAACGAGAAATCTGCTTTCAATGTTGACCATTTTGGGACGACGAGTCGCTGAATGAGCAAGCTCGCTCGAGCTGAGCTCAAGGAGCACGTGATCTGTCGCTGACAGCATGTCGCTTTGTCGCCGGTTCTGCAGCTCTTCGATCCTCTGCTGCTTCTCACATTGCACTCACGCATCATCGTCGATAACTCGTTTTGCGGGACACACACTCTACGACATCGACCAGCTTTCTTGAAATGGACTACCTCGCGTCTGCTCGAAGGCTCTGATTCCCAGAGGGGCAGCAGAGACGTCGGCAACGTGAGTGAGCTGAGCAGTAGCTGAGCGCGCCGCCAGCGAGGCTGCTCTACTAGCTGCTCGCGCACCTCCTCCGCACAACCCGACTCCCACTCTAATCGCACAGGGCCGCCGCCGCCAACAACCTCGAACAATGGCAGATCCAAAGCTCAGCGGCAACGACGCCTTCGCGAGAAGCAGCAGCGCAAGATCGATCAACACGACGTCGCGCAAACTGGATTGTCAAGTTAGTTTGCACAGGCAGCAGGCAGTCTCAGTGTCGCTCGGCAAGTGCGACGGGCCCGCAGTTCTTCACCTCGGGGCTTGAGATTCGTTCGTCCACGCTTTGAAGCAGTTCCAGACCTCTCGCGCGTCGCCGGCTCAAGTACAGACGCAACTGCGACTTCAGCCAATGCTGTCGTCGATCGACGATCCGCGGCGCAGCGTCAACGACGCCAACGCGAAAGAGAGCGATCGAGCCAGACCGTTCCAACTGCGCTGCTGCCGTTGCCAGAAGGGTCTTTTCCCCGGCACAATCTTGGATCAATGACGTTGCAATGTCCGATCTGTTCGGCTCTGCACTGGGAGTTCGAAAGATCACCGACCCCAGGCAGCGCCACACCGTTTAAAATCTGTTGCGAGGACGGCAAGTTCGATTGCCCGGGATCGAAAAGCCCCACCGAGAGCTGCTCGCGCTTCTGACTGACGATGGCCCAGGTTAGTACACGTCGATTCGTTCAACCTGCTAGATTGAGTACAGCGGACTAACGGCCTTGCTGACTATCCGTGAAACAGTTGAGAAGATCTTCCGGGAGTGCATTCTTGCATTCAATGAAAACCTTGCTACGGCACGCGAGCAAAGGCCATGGTATCATCAGCGGCTCCGGGCCACCATCTTTCTACCTGAGCGAAAGCGAAGTGGTATTTCACCGTATCGGCACGCTAGCACCAGCCCCAGCAGACGACCCAGTCTTTGCCCAGATTCTATTTCTGGCTCCGACGAAACGCATTGAAGCCCGACGAAGATTCAACGGACCGCCTGAAGAAGTTCGACGTCTGGACTCAGCGTATCAGCAGATTGTTCCTGTACTCGACGGCATGCTACGACTCCACAAAAGGCGTGTCAAACTGTTCTTGACAGCACAAGAATTCATGAACAGTGATGCGTCTCACATGTACCAGCTGCGTTTACTTGCACCGCGCAATCGAGATCCGAGAACCTACAACTTACCGACCCAAGACGAGGTGGCCGTCATTCTACCCGGAGAAGTACCGATCTTCAACAAGAGATCGTCGTCCGGTTACGTCACTGATGGTCACCCTGCACTCATGCCACGAAATGGGTATGTGAGTGCCATGAGTGCAGGGTGACCATCATGAATGAGTTGAATTCTGCGGCTGTTATTGTTTGGCGAGTGATGTAAAGATCGGTACTTGTTGTTCTCGGGGCCGATGATCTCGAAGTGGTCCGCGTGTAAGGCTTTATACTTAGACTGGGGGGGATCCGATAGGAGTGGATAGTACCCGTCGGGTCTAAGTCTGGCACTCCTATCGGATCCCCCCCAGTCTAAGTATGAAGCCTTACACACGGACTACTCCGAGATAATCGGTCCGGATAACGTTATCCAATAGACCACCAAGATACATGCCCTTATAAACCACAAAACACGCCGTGAGTGGAGCGGAGCGTTCTTCGCAGTTCCCCGACGAGTCCAGCTCCGGACGCGCCCTTTCTTGAACCATGCAGGTCCGACTACGTTCACGTCCCCACTGGTCGACGAAAACGGCAATCCGTGGCCCCGCCTGTTCGCACGTTTCACGGACACGAAAGAGAGCGACGTCGTACGATATGTTCACTTGGCGATTGAGGCACAGCGACACTCGGGTAAAGTCAGTTTCGACGTTGTCGAGCGACTCCCCGGAGGATGCGATTCTCCAGGCGGTACAAGCCCACCTCGACAAGCACTTCGAAGACATGATCGACGTTCCTACCGGATCATGCATCTCCATCCCCACCGATTCAAGCACACTTCATGATCAGTGCAAGGTCCTGGAAGCGATTCGATAGGCAAGCTCCAACATGGTAGGTAAGATTACAGCCAAGGATCGGTCAACGTTCAGCGCAAAGATCAACGTGACTATGCGCTCCACGTCTCGTCTAGCCCCACGATTAAACTCGCAAACGCGTTGTTCACGGTTGTAGCGTCGGCATCTTTGGAGCATTGTGGGCGAGTTGTTGTTGTTGTAAGATGGGATTCGCGCTTTGGATCTGCAGGTTCGATTGGTGGACAGTTGGGCTGATTCAACAGCTGCGCGTCCTTGGCTGCCTGTCTCGTCCCTACAAACTCCCTGCTTATGAGGATGTGGTGTTACGGACTGTCAGACTTGGGGTGGGGACAAAGCGCAGGTCCCGAATACCATGACCTTAAGCAGAAGCTTGAAGGGGCGAGACAGGCAGCCAAGGACGCGCAGCTTTCGTATCAGCAAACTCTTCAACAATCGAATCTGGCCATCCAAAACGCTAATCCCGTCTTCCAACAACAACAACTCGCCTACAATGCTCCAACGACGCCGACGCTAACACCACGAACCGCACGTTTGTGAGAGAGCATGATGACGAACCTGAAGGCTCGCCGAGCAAACGTGGACGTCAGGAACCCCGCCAACGCGCCGGCGATGGAGAGGAAATCCCGACACCAGGCGTACAGAACCCACGCCGGGACGAGGAGCAGAGGATGCATATTGTGAGTATTTGGCTGGAGCTTCAAACTCCTCGAGGCGCATCTGACGACGCATTACTACTCATTAATGCAGGATTCATGAACGAAGACTCCGAGTACCGAAGACACCGTCCTCCTCATTTTCTCAGTACACTCAGCAAATGCTTTCTTCTTGCAATGACGAGTATTTTCCGTCACATACCAGTCCCAACAAGAAGTGCCATACTGCTTGTTACCCTCGCGTTGAATACCCATCAAGTCGACGCGGCAGCTCCGATCTCGGTTGCAAGCCTCAACGTAAATGAACTCGCAGACCCAGTCAAGCTACAAGAAATTCAACAATCCTTCATAGACTTGGTTCATCATGTCATTGGTCTTACTGAGTTAACGTCTCGAGCGGACACACAGCTCCCTCTCGACGTAGCCGGATTTGAACCGAATCTCGCCCTCCGTTCGCGCCGGCTCGGCGGAGCCTCGTAGCGAGGGTATAGTCCCTGCTTCAGCTTGACACATAGCACCCTGAAAGGGGTTCTCGTCCCCAGTGGCCTCGCTCTTCTTGTTCATGCTCGTCCTCGGCGAGTACTTTGCGATTCTTGGGTTGTGACATACGTTGCTCGGGCAGTTGCGATAACGGGGGTAGCGGTGAGCCGAGGTTCTAGGCCGCGACAGAGCAGGGTTCACGGGGTGGGTCGTCGTCGGTCTCCGCGCCCGACGTTGCCGAGAGCGCCATGATTCGTTCCGGGTTTTGACACAAGTCGCGAGCGTGTAATTTCAACAGGATGCCTATTGTATCCCAAAAGAAAGTCATCAGGGATGCGACTTGGATCAATGAAGGCCACGGAAGTGGCGGTCGTGTCGTCGTGAACTGACCCATGGCGACGAGCGCCGAATCCTCGAAAGCTCGATCCGCATTCCTCCACTCCTTCTTCCATCCGACCACTTTCTGCGACGTCGACAGCGGATTGGCGCGCAACGCCTTCTTAAACTTTTTCCACTGTCTTTCGCTGGCCATTTCAAAGCAGCGTTCCTCGGACGCAAACTCGTCGGCGTGAAGCTCCTCAAAGTGTTGTAGCACCGACGGAGACTGAAAGGGCTCGTCGACGGTGAGAGGCAGGACGATGTTGTACGATGCGGCAAGCCGGCGAGAGACGTGAGAATGGATGCTCGAGAGAAGAGACTGTAGCCAAGAGGAAGCGGTGGCCTTGTGTGTCAGCGATCGCAATATATCAGTCCAACGCCAGTGGGGCTGTTGTGGCCTACCCCTGATGGAAAATCTTGAGCGGACGGGCAAGAGTTTCAATCGGTCGTCAGCTGCGGCACGTCTGCTCCGAGTCTGGTGTGCCAAGGCTCACCTGGCGGTACTCGGACATTCACATCGTCCACCTTGGGCACATTGGGAATCGCCAGTCTCCTTCTTTTGCTCCAGGTCCGCGCCTGGGGCTTGGCTCTCTTGCGCGCCTTCTCTGGGGACCCGACGCCGCTGGATGGCGCTGCTGTATCGGATTGTTCGTCGCCCCCATCGCGCGCTTCGGTTTCATCGTTCCTGCTCAACCCATCCTCGTCGGTCTCGTTCTCCCTCGAGGTTCCACTTCGCGTGCGCGCATACTTTGGGGCGCTCTTGCGCACGGCCGAGTGGATTTGGTGCAATCGCTTGGCCTCTGCCTCGAGGTGCCGCGTCAAAGCATCCGCCGCGGGTCCGATGTCCAACACGCGGGCAAGGTGCTCGAGCTTGCGCATTTCAGTGCTGCGTTCGTGCTTGCTGGAGAGCGTCTGGATCGCCGGTGCGAGTTGAGGCAAGGAGGGGAGAAGCTCGTAGATGGACGGGATCGGGGGTGGGGCATCGCGATTTCGCTTGCGCTCGTTGGGAGGACGCCATACATCACGAGACTGTGATGGGCTTGGGACGTGATCGTCGCCCGATGTATTAGACATGGTACATAGTTTGATGCAGTCCCGCCAAGGCACGCGAGGGGATGAATGGTCGGAGCGAGCAAGAGGGAGAGAGGGAGCAAGGCCGGCCGGGCATCACGTGGGGGCCACTCCCGAGGGCGATCGGGGGCGATTAGACAGGATTAGACTAGATTAGGCTACTATTAGGCTGCGAAGAGGCGAGTCCGGGTCCATGCTCGTCGCCTCCGCGCTTTCGCTCTCAGCTCATCACACCTCCGTCAACCCCTCCAGCCTGCGCTACAGCATGTCGATCGAGAACGAAGCCAACGACGCCTCGGCTGGACCGTCGTCCTTGACTCCGGCACTCTTCAAGCGACTGCACCCCAAGCCGTACCTCGAGCGCTTCCTGCAGGAACGACTGCGCCCCGATGGGCGACCGCTTGATGACGAACATGCAGCATGGAGGGATGCGAGCATCAATATCGGTAAAGATGTTATGGATATACGCTTGGTCTAGCCAGTCTCGAGTCTGGCGAAGGAGCGTACTAGCCGAGCCGGCTCATCCGGAACGAGCTCAGGGGCATCGAATGGACTGGAATCCGGAGACCAATGGATCATGTCTGGGATCAAACGCTCGAATTCAGTCGCTCATCTCACTCCAACCGACTATCTTTTCTTTTTCGCAGGCTCGATCGCAACAGCGCCTTCCTCGGCCCTGGTCCGACTCGGCAAGACGACGGTCGTGTGTGGCATCACACTCGAAATCGCACCGCCCGACATGGCCACACCAACACATGGATTCATAGGTGGGTCAAGACAAGATCGAAGGGAGTGCTCCTATTTGCTACGGTGCTCAACTTACCGCTCGTATCCTTTTCCGAAAATTTCAGTGCCGAATATCGATCTGCCTCCCCTGTGTTCGTCCCTCTTCCGACCGGGACCGCCAGCCGATGAAGCTCAAGTGCTTTCTTCACGACTACGTGACACCCTTTTATCGTGAGTAGATATTCCCTTCGTTTCCTCGCTTTGTGAAGTGTAACTCACGCGCATACATTTGGCCGCCGCCCACCAGGTCAAACTATGTTCCGCTCGACTCGCTCTGCATCGAACCTTCCAAAGCCGCCTGGGTCATCTACCTCGACCTCATCTGCCTCAACTACGACGGCAGCGTACTGGATGCCAGCGTACTAGCCGCCGTAGCGGCAATACGGAATCGTACGCTCCTTCATCCGCACCGTTCTTTACCCGTGACGACGCCCATTTTTTGACATTTGAGTTCGACCTTTACGCGACAGTGAAACTCCCTCAAGCTACGTGGGATGTGGATACCTTGAGCACGATATGCGAACCCATCTCGGATGAACAGCCTGGGCGTGCACTCCAGCTGGCAGAGACAATACCCTTGACACTCTCTTTCGGTCTCTATGAAGAGTTAGTCCCGGTTCTGCGACAGCGGTTGTCGGATCCACAAAAGCTCACGGAAAAGCCCCTCCACACCGACAGTGACCTCCTTCCCGACCCTACACTATTCGAATCGCAGCTGTGCACATCCCAAATCTCCATCACCGTCTCGTCATCGTCGTTGCGGCTACTGCAAGTGCAACAAAGTGGTGCGACGGGGTCAAAGTCGTCGGTCGAGATTCTCAAAGCGTCCTTGGGCCAAGCGAGGACAAGAGCGAAACAGCTGCTCGTATTGCTCAATTCTTCGTAGTACCAAAATCATGTTGCCGAATCAAAATAAAGCCCTCCATGGAACTATACAAAAAGAAGACGAAGAAGGGACAGATCCTATCTACAATGTGCGATTCGCGATTCGACGTTTGCGATCCTTGACGATCTTGGCGAGCGAGAGCTGTCCTGCCGGCGGAAGCCACGGACCAGAGCTAGGTTGGGTTCGAATGTCGACAAAGGTCAGAGGCAGCTTGTTACTGGGTGGGGCGGAGGAGACCAAGCACAACTCACTTGATGACCAACACTTTCATCGTAGGATGGTATTGCAGATCCGGGAGAAGCCTGCGGGAGAGAACACCATCTCTGGTCAGCTCTTCTGGCAAAGTGAGACCGAAACGCGGTCGACGCAAGACTGACTTTGGTGTGAGCAAAAAGTACTGCCCGACATCCGGCTTCGACGTCGTCCTGACGAGCGCATTGTGGACGTTTCGCTCCACGCGCTGATCCATACCTTGATTGATCTCGTCGACGAGGGCGAAAGGGGCCTTGGCGAGCTCGGCAAGCGACATAAGGTACATGACCGTCGTCAAGGCGCGTTCTCCTCCCGACTGACGATGCGCCGTCAAAACCTTGAGCGGCTCATTGTCTCGGAACGAGACGAGGATCTCGATGCCCCACTTGGCGTAGTCGTCGTCCTTGGCGAGGCGAACTTCTCCCAACAAGCCGAGGTTATCGAACGCGGCGCGGAAGCCCGTGCAGATGCGTTCGACGAGCTCCTCGAGCGCCGGCAGCCACACCTCGTGGACGGCTTGGAGTCGCTCGGTCGAGGTGGCGAGGCTCGCCTGGCTGCCCTCGAGCGTCGAGCGCAGTCGCTCCACCTCGGCCTTGCCCTCCTTGTATCGCTTCACAATCTCGGGACTGATGGCGACCGTCACGTTGAGCTTGGCCTCGGCTTCGGCGTGGCGCGTCATTAGTTGCTCCGTCTCGATCTGTCCCTTTTGGCGTGCTTCATCAACCGCCAGCTTAATGTCCTCGCTGGCGGCTTCCAGGTCGCGGTCGGCAGCTGCATGCATAGCTTTGGCGGATCGGTACAGCTCCCTCACCCGGGCTTTGACTGCGTTTCGGAACGAGAGTGCCGGACCAAATCAATGCTTAGTTCCGCTGTATCGGTGATCGCCTCTACGGGGCTCGTAGCCATTTATCGTTTCATCGTTAGACTTACGTTCATCAACCTCCTGTCGCTTCTCTGTCAATGCGACATCCTGGGCGTTGGCCGAATCATTCATCGCCTTTAAGTCGTTGTCGACCTGCATCTGGCGGATCGCAAGGCCTGCCGCTGCGACTTGCGAGCTAACGAGCTTCGTCGTCCACATGTTGTGCTTCGACACGGCGGCAAGGTGCTTCTCAATCTGCTCCGACATTCTGCCGCGCAGCTGCGCCCGTTTCTGTTCGCTCGTCGGCTTGGCCTTTTCACGCTTGAGCTGGCTGACGAGCACCTCTGTACAAAGAAAATGCGATGCCGCGCTGTAAGCAGGGGAACACTTGTATGTGCGCCGAGCCATAAGGCCGACGTACCTCGCTTTGCCACGAGCTTGGCCCGTTGCTTCTTTTTGTCCTCCATCTTGGTCTTTTGACCCTGCAATGCTTTCTGTGGACATGCAAAGAAACAAGGTCAGCCAGACCAAAAAAAAAAAACCCTCAAGCGAAACAAGGCCGATCGCACAGTCACTAACCCTTTCTTCATCCAGAGTATGACGCTGCCGATCAAGATCAGCGAGTTTGGCGTTAATCTTGGCGAGGCTGCGAATTGCCTCATCGCGTCGGCTTGTGGCATCAGCCGTGCGGGCAGTGATTTCCTGAACACCCGACGTGTCGCCTATATTAAAATTGGGGGCACATCAACAACAACCTCTTTTCCTCGAAGGCGCAAACGGACACAGAGCTCGCTCGACTTACTTGCGCCAATCAAAACCTTCGCGGTGCCGAGGCTGCGTTGCTCGATCTGCGATTCCCTGCGGCCGTACCTCGAGTGCATGATGGTGAAAGAGCCTTCTTGCGTTACCCACTTGCGACACTGGTATTTTCGAGCTGCTTCGTGGCTGATGTCGCGCTTCGTGAGTTGAATGGGCTGTTCGCGCCGGCATATCGAGCAGGGTCATCAGCTAGAATACTCGACAAGGAAGGTCATATTTTTGCAAGTGCTGTGAGCACGTACGATGGAACCGTAGCCGAGATCCTTCGACAGCCATGTAAGAACAGCTTCGGGTCCTTCAAGAAGATCGGTGGTGAAGGCGTCAAAGCCCATTTCGGCCAGCTGCATATGGCAGCGCGGGATTTCAACGGATCAGAGATGCCAGACTTCGGTGTATGAAGGCATAGTGCGGGGCCGCATACCTGCTCCTTGTTGAACTGCGCGGGGTATCTCTCGCGAGTGTAGTCCTTGCCGATCTCCTGACCGTTCGCTTGGATTCGGGTACCGTTCGCCTGAACCTTGTCATTGACCTCGCGCATGAAGTAGTCGTAGTCCTCTCGTTCCTCAAACAAAAAGTTCTGGGCGACGCGGTGCAAGTAGCAAAGTCAGCGACTTCGTGTGGTCGGGTGAGCAACACAGGCGACATCTTCGCCGCCGATTGGGGACCGACCTTGAACACATGCAAAGCAATCGGCTCCTCGATCAAGTTGGCGTGTTGTTCATGGCCATGTTTGATGAAAAGAGTGAGGCGGGGCGGCTCGTACACTTTACCCTTGAACTTGTGTTGGGTCGCACGGAGCCATTCGACCGCCTTCCAGGTGTCGGGTTCATATTTCCTCAAAGCTTCCTCGCGTTGATTCTTGATGTTGTTCAAGTTCTTCAATCTAGAAGAGACCACGAGGTTACGGAAGGAGGAAGAGAGGAAATAAGCTGGTCGCTCAGGGACCACGCGCACTGGGCGGCAGTATTGGAACGGACTTTTTATCTTGTAGAGCGATCTCCCTATCGCATTGATGAACCTGTCGCTCGAAGTCGTCTTTGGGCGCGTCGGCCTGGGCGGCTCGGTCCTTGATCTCGTTGATCTCGTTGCGCTTCTCAACCTGGTCAAGCCGAAGCAGACGTCATCTCAGCCCGTCTGCGCAAGACCAACTCGGCCAGCCTGCCCTTCACTAGCCACTTACGAGCTTTGCATCGATCTCGGAGAAGTCGACGGCCTCCTCCGGTTTTTCGAGTTCGCGATCGATCTTGTTGATGTCCTTCTCAGTTCGGAGGATGGTCGACTTGCGCGTGCGGTCGTCAGCGCGCAGATTGTCGAGTTCTTCCTTCGTTTTGACGAGAGTCTTCGCCTGCACGACGCGCCCGATCGAATACTACGTCAGCGCAGCCTAAACAGTATCATGTCAAGTTCAGAGACGTACTGCTTTATCAACCAAACCCATGCTATCCTTAATTTTCTTCTCGAGCTTGCGCTTCTTCGTCTGAGCCATTTCGCCTAGCTTTCCGTACTCGGCAATCGCGCTCATCAGAGCTCTGTCGGAGAAGGCCCATGGGGGCAGCGTCAGCGCAGCGCAGCCCATTAAGATCTTATACCTGATCGAACGCACTCTTGGCTGTCCTTGAAGGGGCGGTTCTGCTCGATCAGCTCCGCCAGCTCGCCTTCAGCCTGGTTGCGGTTCTCCTTGACTTGACCCCACTGCGAGTACGTGTCGTTGTAGTGGGCGTACTGAAGCAACAGCGAGATGACGGCGAGCTCCTGTTCGACTCGCTCGCGCTCCTCAAACTGTCGCACCTCCTTTTCGTTCTCGGCTTGCTTTGACTCTTTGCGCTTTAGCACTTCGCCGTGTCGGTCGACCTCCTATACACGAGGTAGAATACCTCGTTAGCAGAGAAACGACTGCAAAGAAAGCGGTCTGGTGAGGCCCCATTGCGACGCTCAAGAACGCACGGATAGCAGCTTCTTTTGATTGGCGTACTCCTCAACCAGAAGATCGTGCCAGTCGCTCAGTTGATCATCCCCCGCTGCTTTCTCTGTCTCGCGCAGCAACTCGACGCTGGTCATCTGTGAGAAGGCGGCGACACGGTCTTGCGGCAGGAAGGTACTGCGGATGCCACGGTCGAAACAGCGGTCAGCGCTCGACTCCGAAACGCATGTATCGTCTTTGGGACTTGCCAAAGATTGCCGATCTGCACTCCAAGGTTGCTCATACGCTCATTGACCTCCTTTGCCGTCGTTTCACTCCCTGATGAGCAGGACACCACATGCGAGTGAGCAATGGTCAGAAAACGGCTTACGCGAGGATAGCGATTTCTTTCATCTAGGACTCACCATTGATCTGGAAACTGGAGCGCTCATCGGTGCGACTCAGGTATCGACGGATGACAAGGTTCCTCGAGCCCTTGGGAGCCTTGAGCTCGATTTCAATCCACGTGTCTTTGCTGGAGTCCTTCTTGCAGAACTCGGACAACTTTGACGCACGACCGAGCACCTAGAGAGACCGCGATGGGAATGTTCAGTGCCTCCGAGCCCGTCGCGCAAACGGCGAGTCTCTCGTGTACGCACTTTTGCTGGGAATCCAAGCCCAATGGCAATCGCACATGCGATCGTACTCTTTCCGGTTCCGTTTGGGCCTGTGGGATTTCCGCACGGTGAGAGGCAATGAGCGATATTCCTGCAGGAGCTCAATCGTGAATGCGCGCATTCGCAGCAAGGCGGGTTTGGACTTGCCGAGGATCATGTTGAGTGCTGGTCCTGGACGGAATTCGACAGAGTCGTACGTGACGAAGGCCTGGCACTTGATGCGAACGATCGAGCCGACCACGTAGCTGTGAGCAGGAGGTCAGAATAGGAGGTCAGCTCGAGCAGGATCTCGCCAGCAGGTACAACCCCCCACGATCGTAAGGACGCGCAGGAAGCTACGCGAAACATGAAGTCCGATAATGGGGATGCAGCCGATAGGTGGTCTAGCCTGCTCTCTCATTCTGCGTGTGGTGCGACGCGTGACGGTGGAGTCTGAGTGGACCGTGTCAAACTCACCCAGCATCGTCCGTCTCCGACGTCTTCTCGGACTTGACGCCGTTGCGTAGAGGCTTCTTGCCCTCCTCTTCATCACCTCGATGTTGCGCGTCCTCCTCACCAGCGTCCGTAGCTCCTACACGAGCGCGCTTCCTGGCCTTTGGACACTCGTTCGGCGACGGTCCAGCATCGGGCGTGTCTTGCTCCTCTTCGGACTCGACGGCGCGGGCCTTGGAGGTACGGGCGCGTGCTTTGGATGAGCCCGGTTCGGGTTTGATGACGGGTGCCATCGGCGTCGGCTCGAATGGGAATGTCGAGGTGTGGTGTGGTCGATGTCAAGAGAGCGCGCGTCCCGTCCCGTCGTGAGGCGCGTCGCCACACGCGTCGATGCGGCAGGATGCGGTCAACGCAGGTCAACGCGCCCGCGCCCAGATTACTGTCTCGGGCAACCCATGGGCAGGCTCATGCCGCTGCATTGGCGAACGAGTCGAGGAATGCGTTCGCAGCTCGTCATGCTACGGCCTCAAACATTACAGATTATACAAAGGCAATAACTTGGACAAAGCAATCGACTGTCGGCACAACGGGCATTCCGGCTGCAAGAGCATACAAGTCGAATCATTTAGTTGACTCAAACTCGACAACAAAAAAACGGGGGTTTCGGCTCACCTTTTCCCGAGCCCAGCCCACGACACATTCCCAACAGACTGATACAGAGACACCATGAAGACTTCATGAGCTTCACGTGTCCAAGGTCGAGCTTGCCATAGAACAAGGTTCCAAGTGCCACTCACAGACATGACCACACTCGGTCGCCGTCGGATCCCTCCTCGTTCCCAGGCAGAGCGTACACCTCCGATCCCTCGCATCCGCCCCTTCTTCATCGTCGGGATAAGGTGATGCTTGTTCCGGGTCGTCGGGATCGAACACGAGGCTCGACAAGGGTCGTCCATCGACCAAGAACCGCTTCTTCGTCGCTTCCTTCTGCTGCTTCTCTCGTTCCTTTCGCTCGGGCGACTTCTTGATCTGCAAATCTTGAGCGGCTCGACGTCGTCGAATAGCGAGCAGCGTTCGTACAACCAGCTGGACGGCCATCAACACGCCGAGCACTTCGTACGAGGTCGGCACTGCGCCGCCGCTCGCACTTTGGCCTGTTGGTCGCGATTGCGTTGAGATCTGCAATCGAGAACAGGGCAGGCTCAGTATGCATTGTATATGAAGTCAAGATGATACTGAGATAACAGTACTGACGAATCGAATACCGGCGCCCCGCTTGCTCAAGTTATAGTACCGCCCAAACAGATAAAATACGGCAAGGTGCACGCTTCGAAGATAGTCCTCGGTCAACGTCTCAAATGACGGCATCTCGGCCGCAAGAGCCGCGATCGACTCTATCATCCGCTTGTATAGAGACTTCTTGAGTGGTGGTAGTGCCTCGCCGGACGAAAAGAGGTCATCGAGCGAATCCTCCTGCGCTCGAGCGGCAAGAATGGATTCGTGCCGAGCGATTAGTCGCCGCCGAGCTGCGGAGTACAAGCGAGCGGCCACGTAAGGAAAGACGATGTGGAGCGAGATCAACACGCCACGTTTCTGAAGTGAGGAAGAAATCACGGAGCTGTCAGTTTGTTGTGGCCTTCGAAGCTCGACCGATGTGCCCGACGGAACTGACTCGAGGAGAAGCCGGTTTGCGCGTTTTGACATCGTACTGCAAGATGTCGCAGTACTCTTCACCGAGAGTTTGAGAGCCTGAATATCGATTATGACATGATCAGCATGCGTGCCTCCTCCCTCGCGTAGTCCATCCTTGACCGACCTAGCAATGTCGTTAGCCCAAAGTAGGCCAATCGACTGCCATGCTGCAGCTCCTTATTCCAATTCTGCAGCCACCGTGTACCTGTGGGATCTCGATCATCAGCTGCCTGTCCTGTCAGCCATACCGGGATGCTCCAGTCCTCACCCAGCAATGATCTTGCAACATCCTCGAAGCGCTCCGTTAATTGGGAAAGATAGTACAAGTCCTTCTGATTCGCTCGCACTGAAGGAGCGGGCAAAACACTTCAAAGTCAGTTATGCCATTGAATCTAGTAGTCTTTCATGCCAGTCACTGACCTATCTCAGGCTGAGCAGCACTAGCAAAGAACGGGACTTTGAAAGCCGACGAGGGCCCAGCCGCTCGTCGCGCTGAAGCAGCTACCTCGGAGGGTCGAGGCTGAGGCCGAGGGGGTACAGCTGGTGCCAGGTTCGATGGCGCTGATAAAGTTGAAGTTCCCGCCACCGAAACAGCGCTTGAGTCTGTTGCAGACGGTCTCGGTTCTGCCATCGATCGTCGGCCCTTGCTGTCTTCGCTCGGGGAGCTAGAAAGCCGGTCGCCGCCAAAGTCCCGTGACTTGGGACTGGAGCTCACTTCACATTTTTTTTTTGTCCCTTTCTGAGCACAACGATTCAGGCAGCTGTTACACGTCACACCGATACTTCAGACAGCACATTCTATTCTTACCGTATCTATATGAGGTTTGCTACAAAGTATAGGATATCAATATCCCGTCTTACCACGTCATCGTCGAGCGTACGAAGCGCCCCAGTCAGGCCAGTCGTGATCGACCGGAGATCGAGCGCCGTACGAGGGGTCGACATAGCGCCTTTCGTCGCCGGCGGAACGAGTGTAACTCGAATCGGGAGCATGGCTACGAAAGGTGCACAAAGAAGCGTAGCCCACAATCAGCCAAGTCGGAATGAGCCAGCTCGACATCTAGCGCTCCAAGCTGCTACTCACGGGACAGGGGTGCCAACCGCGCCAAACGGCGAGTCGCGGACCGTCGAGGTGGATGGATTCAGCGACAGATGCGAGGGAAGAGGGGGGAGCGAGCGACCATACGGCTGGTAGCGAGCAGCGTCCCGAGCATAGTCCCTCACAGGGCCGGCTCGCGCATCGTGGCGACCTTCTTCCCGATCGCGGTGAGGCAATGCCTGGGTCAGACCCGTCGGCAGGTACGCATGACTCTCATACGGGTGCGACGCAGCAGGTCGGCGGGGGTCGTAGTGATCAAAGCCATCGTGATCTCGAAGAGGGGGATATTCGGGCTCTTGGTAAGAGTATTGCCGAGACGCTGGGGGTTCCCTGGGATGATCGCGTGCCGGCGGGGGTCCCGCGTAGTAAGCGGCTGACGGCGGAGGTGAACGTGCTCGCAAAGGAGTCGGCAGCGGATTGGATCGCGAAGAGAATCGAAGGTTGTCTGGAGTGGGAGGGTAGGGAATAGTATCAAGGGCTGGGGCTGAGAGTGCGCGATCGTAGCTGTAAATGGACTCGGGGAGAGGGTTGCGATCGTAGGAAGACACCGGGGGCTGGGACGGCTGCTGATACGGGTTCGCATCGAGATTCGCTCGGTAGGCGTACCCGAGTGCACGAGGGGTAGAAGCGGTTGAAGTACGAAGATCGGCGTAAGAGTCTGGTCGATGGTCGAAGCGAGGGACTGGCCCAGGATTATACGCAGGTGCGGGAGGATACGCCTCGGGATGGACGGAAGTGAAGGCAGCGCGGACTTCGTCGGCGCTGCCGACCGTTCGGGCATGGGGCACAGGAGGCGCAGCACCAGGTAGCTGAGGTACGTAACGGTCACTTCGCTCGTACACGCCCGGCGAGATCTGCGGTGGCATCGAAACAGCCTGTGCTGGAGGCCCGACGTGGCTCATCACAAAGCGCAGAGGGGGCAAGGTTTCGATGGGCTCCAGCGTTGCTGCCGCAATAGGCGCCGGCTTGGCTTTGGGAGTTGGTTCCGACGTATCCTTACCCCTGATAAAATAGAAAGCAGAAGGCCTTGTAAGGAAAATAAAAACCCTGAGCGTTGAGGTATGTGTTCACAGGCCGGATAGTACTTGCTTGGTGCGACTGCCGAGCGGCTTGTCCGACGCCGCCGGTCGGCTCGTAGGGGCTGGCAGACCTTGAGATGATTTGGTCGGCGAAGGAGGCGTGCGAGTATTTTTGCTGTTGTCCGACTTTTTGCCGAGGTAGATCCTCTCGTGGGAGAGCTGCACGGTGATTTGCGACCCGAGAAAGTGACCCTGGTGGTACTTGGCCACGGCGGCCTTGGCATGCTCGGGGCTGGCAAATTCCTAGGGCGAGCAGAAAATGACACGGTAAGCTGCAGAGACATCTGAGTTGAACAACCAGATAGCCCAGCGTTGACGAGAAGGGCGTGATCGGGGCATGTACTCACGGCGAAACCGAAGCCACGTTTGATCGCGCAAGTGCAAGGGCCAAACTGGCCAAAGCAGTCCTCCAGATCGGCCAGCGTCGCCGACTGGGGCAGATTTCCGATATAGATCTTTTGCGGGTTGACGCCTCCTGTCAAGATCTGGCCTCCTGCCGCGGCGGTGCCAGGTACGACCGGTTTGTTCGTCGCTGGTGAGCCCTCTTCGGCTTGCGGACCGGTCGAGGTCGAGGTCGAGGTCGAGGTCGAGGTCGAGGTCGAGGTCGGAGCGATACCAGGTTTTGATATCGATGGCGAGATATTCTGGTCCGGAGCGCGAGCCTTGATGGCGTTTGGAGATGCAAGGCGCTGCAGCAGACTTGCTCTTTCGTCGACCGGTTCCGCCTTGACGGTCTGGGCCGCCTTGGCCGACGAGGCGACCATGGCAAGGCACCACCCTTCTCAAGGGATGCACCGACGACAGAGCCGCTCTGGGGAGAGAAACGCTCCTTATCGGAGCAAGCAAAATCGAACGTGAAATATGAGTCGGACGTGGAAGGAAGGGAAGACGAGTGCGGAGGGCAGCGGCGCACTTAGGCGCGCAAGGCGAAGGCGCGCGAAAAGGTGGGGGGGGGGGGGGGGGAGGGGCGGGGGCGCGTGCAGCTGGCAGGCGCTTGCGATCGCCAGAGTCAGGTCAGAGTCAGAACGTGAGCGAGTCGTTACCCCCCAGATGACTTACCGACTTGTCACGTTCATCCCTAATCTATATACCCACACTTTCGCATAGACTCGGCAAGTATGGCATCCAAAGCTATCCCTTCGCTTCGGACTACGGTTCGACCTCTACAACGCACCGCGCAACCCATACAAATCCGATCGCTCTTCGGCTTTCCGTCCCCGTTCGTATCGTCATCGTCGTCGTCTTCAACCGGCGCAGCTTCGCTCGCAAAAGGGACTTTGACCAAGAGTGGCTCGCTTTCCATCTATGAGGAGTCTCGGGAAATGGGGTGCGTCTCACTGCTGCGTGCACAAGCTCTAGCGAACCCGTCCAGACCTTGCTTCGTTCGAGGCCGCTCGGCACCGTCGCCAGTCTCCTTCATCGGGCGCTGACGTCGCGGATGACCGAAACCGAATCTGCCGCCGCTATCTCGTAAATCAGGTATGACCCCCAACAGCTCTATTCGATCATCGCCGATGTCGATGCCTACAAGTCATTTCTTCCTTTCACGACCGAGTCCCGCATCTTGTCCGCTTCAATTACCCCACCCCCGAGCTCGAATCTCGGCGCGCAGGCTCGTCCTGTCGAGACTAAGGAATGGCTTCGAGGCGGTGAGCCTGGGGAGGTGTGGGACCTTCAAGGCGAGCTACAGGTTGGCGCAATGGGGTACCAAGAGGCTTATGTTTCGCATATCAGAGCGAAGAAGTGGAATTTGGTCTCTGTACGTTCTTGGTCCTGAACATGGCGAAGAATATGTCCGATCGGACCGAGACATTTACCGCAACGAAACCCTCCGACCGACTTGATTAGGCCACCGCAAACAACTCGAACATCTTCAAGCACTTGGAAACAGAATGGTCTCTCACACCGCTACCGACTCGAAGAGATGTGCCTCGAACCAAGGTCGATCTTTACATTGCCTACTCGTTCATCTCGCCCTTCCACGCCGCTGCAGTCAGCGCGCTATGGGAGAAGGTCAGTGGTCTGATGATTGATGGGTTCGAGAAGAGGGTCAAGACCGTATACGGCCCGAGTCGACCGGCTTGAACTCTTGGATGTATGGATGCCCTCCCCACTGGTACCTCCGACGATTGTGCGCTTGCCCATAGACTGTTGTACTTGCTATACCTACCTGACCTCGACGACCTAACTCGCCTGCCTAGTCCGGACAGAAGGTTACTCCAAGAGTGAAGACTAGCCTTTAGACCGAGACCGAACTTGCGACCGCACATCCCAGGTGCCTGTGCAGTGTGCACTCGGGTCGAGCAGCGAGTGCCCAGCTCAGCCTTTGACTTTCTGTCACGGGTCTCCTCTCCGTCGTTCAAGTCGCGCGCGCACATCCCTTCTATTCAGCTCCTTCCCCCCCACACACCCTTAACCTCCACCTGTCTTTCACCGGCATCAGTTTTCAACCTCCAGCATAAGCACCGGCCGAAGGACCGAGCAGGAAAAAATTGTCTTCATGAGGTAGTGCACTCACGTTGTTGCCGGGGAACGCCTGGCTCGAGATGAGGTATCGCGAGCTCGAGGAGCCCATGGGTAAAATTGCACACTGCGTGACATCTTGGTTCTACAAGGCCTTGGGTTTGTACCTCCCGGTTAGTATCCTCTCTTTTATCCTCCTGAACAGCTAGGGTGCGGTCGACGATTCAGCTTTGTGTCGTCGCTCAAGCACCCTGCAATGCTCGCTGGACGACAGCGCTCGTCGACACTCGTGCATGCAGTCTATGTAGCAGATGCTGATTCAGTCTTCTTGTTGCTATTCACAGGATGCAGAGCAAGCGGTTAGCGAGCTGAACACTGTTCCGGCATGTGGTAGCCGATGAGCTGGCCCCCCTCCCCTGCCTCGATCGCATCTCCTGTTCGACAGCCGGCGTGACTGGAGGTTCATCGATCGGCGGAGGTTCAGGTTCATTCGGTCACAGCGCCTACGCGCGTCGCACGAACACTCGCGCCGACTCACTTGACGCGTTTCAAGAGCTGACCCGTTGGCCGAGACTTAATATCCGTCGGTGCAGTATGTTCGTCCACCTCGTCCGAAGGACCCTAGTCGCTTTGCTCCTTAAGGGAGAATATTAGCCTTTCTTTCTCGCGGGTGAAGATAGGGGGGGGGGGGCGTTTCGAAGAGGATGTGCTTCGGCACGGAGTGCTTGCGCTCCCCGAGTGAAAAGTGAGCGACTGTTTGAAATAGGACAAGCGTCGAGTCGTGGATCAATCTGGGTAGAAACATGCAGCTGCAATATAATATTTATCCAACTATGGTCGTAAGGGAGAGCAAGAATACATAGACAACGATGATATCGTCAACAGAAATCCGAGGTCGTCAAGACGGGAGTCAAGTGGCACTGCTGTCCACGGTCATAACCTCGATCCCGCCGGCTATGAGATCGACCGGGCTGGAATGACTCGGCTCGTCGAAAAGATGGCGTTTTGAAAAACTGTGGTGCATTGTAGAGATCCGGTCAGCATACCTTCCGTCCGCCCGTTCTCGGAGGACCGCCGAGCCGAACCAAAGATCGCTGCTACTTACGTCCATTCTCTGCTGGACCGTTTGTCTATTGGTTGATCCCAACTCTCGGGCACCTCGATCCCAGGCAGGTACATCCGACAGCTCTCGCTGTACTTTTTGAATGCCTGCAAGTCCTCCGCTGCCTGGCGGACCTCCTCCGGCGTGCAGAGCGAGAAGTCGGTCTGCTCGTTGCCGCTCCGGGCAAGAATCGATGCTGGAAGCTCGTCGCTCGCATTCCGGGCCAGTTTGGCTACGACACTGAGCGCGTAAGGTCGATCAAGAGGCACTGGCTCCGAAGAGAACTTGGGATGTCGTTCCAAAAACGGCATCCATTCTTCTTTGATCTGCGGCCAGTGCGTGAGCAGCATCGAATGGGGCGCGCCTCGGATTAACCGCCAGGTGATCTCGTGGGCGCCGACGAGATTGTCGACGATGTCGCGTTGAATCACTGCTGGTGGAAAGCAGAGATCGGAGGTGCCATGGAGCAGCAGAAGTGGATGCCGGAAGTCGGCGAGGTCGGCGGGCGAGATACGACACGGCCTCAGATTGACCCGAGCCACCTGGGGGCGAACTTGTTCAGTGAGCCGGGGCGTGGCGAAGGGCGCACTCTCCCGGGGTTTCTCACCTCATGGGCCTTCAAGAGCATATACGGATTATACCGTCGTATCATTGTCCCGATCATGCGATCCTTGAGCGCGACCAATTCGGGAGTTTCGTCCCACTCGTCGCTACTTAGCAGCATTTGGGACATCGCATCCATCGCTTCGAAGAAATCGCTCGGATCTTGCGGCTGAAAACAACAAGTAGGGATAAATTCAGTGATTCGGTCCTTCAGTATGCGCGTCGCTCAGGCGACTCACGAAGAACCAAAAATCTATGACCTCTTTGAAAATTTTGACGTCTTCCCGCGGTGAGAAAAGCGGACCGACGCCAGCCTGAGTGTAAGAGAGCACTTGGTTCGGGAACATCTTGCACAACTTGAGTGCAACTGGAGAAGCCATTCAAGAACCAAAGCGTCATCAGCACGCTGACGACGAAGGTTGTCGTCGTTCGTGACGCAGGGGCCGCCGCCCCCACCTAGGAATAGGGGTTACTGACTTCGAAACCCCGCAAAACCGTTGGCAAAGACATGACTCGGCGGTACGCGAAGAATCTCCTGTTGGGGTTTACGGCCCGGTTCCTCGCTGTTAGCGCGCCGGTCCAACTTGTAGCTCATCTGCGGCCCAAGCGCGTGCTAAAACTCACCATAGCGAAGGCTGACGAGCGGTCAAGTACAGATGGGCAACGTGAACGGAACCAGCATAGAATGCAGCAGGAAAAAAAGGGAAGCAGTTCGAGCAGTTCAGCATATGGTGCCGCATCTCCGAGACGCCGAATCTTCCGAGAGACGCCACCGAGTGACCGAGCGAACGCGCGTCGCGAGCCTCACCAATATCCGCAGCGGCGGTAGCGCAATCATAGCGGGGGCTCTTTTGTGCCTGAAATGTTCTCCCATGCGACCGAAGTTCGAACGCGACAATGTTGTACATCGGCGACATGTCCTCGATCATGTTGGAAAGGTAGGTGCAGTCGAGCCAGATGGGCGTGAGAACGACGATCGTGGCCGCGGTGGGGTTCAGCCCGAGTTCATTCAGCGGTCGATCCGGGCTTGCACGAGTGCCACGCCCCGCCGTGTGAACCTCGTAGTACATCTCCACTCCCCCGGGAAGCTCGACTATCGCCATCTTGATAGAACCCCGGTTTGGCGAGAATGGAAAGGTGACGCAGCAGTGGAAGCACCGTGAGGAGAATCGACGAGTGGCTTAACAAGATAAGAGTCGCCGGTGGGCCAGACGCACAGCAGCTCTCGTAGTCTCCACGATTCGACAGGATTCGACTCCCGAGTCGGCGCCGCGGTGGGCAATCGCGTGTACCAATTACGAGCCCTAGTTTCAATAATAACCGCCGAAGCTGTCAAAGGCGTCGTTAGCCTGCGTAGTTTAATTAGGCTGCCCGCCGCAGCCCGCCGCACTGTAAGGGGATGCCTTACAGAACAGCCCCATAAGTAGCCTCTGAGTAGCTAGAACTGTCGAGTTCTAGTTACGACTTGCTCTTAGCCTAGCGGTCAAGAACGACAGATTGTATTTTATGCACATCAGAGGCGCATACCTTACACGCACGGTCCAAAACGATCGGCCTCGCCACATTATGTACCCATTTAGGCCAGGCGCGTCGGTCACGCGATCCCCCACAATGCAGTTAGAAAGGGTCCCAGCTCACACCAGACGATGCCCAATTGGTCTGCCACCGGGTAGGAGAATATCCGCGGTGATAGGTGGGTGGGCCGGTAGGTGGATACGCACTTAGGAGACACCAGCGGGGCCCGTTAAATTAACGGGAATATGATTCCAAATAGCAGGAGAATCGAACGGTATAATGACGAAAGACAGCAGAGAAACTATTTTTCGTCGCGGCCAAGACTTGGCGAGGTTGCGATGGCCCTCCGTAATGACACTGACAACCAGCTCGGGCAGACATAAAAAGTACGCCTCAACAGGCGCGCGCGCAGCGCCCTCCCACGCGCCTTCCAAGCCACAATCCCGGCGGGTTGCAACCTTGCTACCCCAGGTAGCAGATTAGGCCCAGGTTGCGCCCAACTCCCTGCTTCGAGTCGATTCTGTGTACACACAACACTCTCACAGCTGCTAGATTGATAAAGAAAGTGCGTAGTAGATGCATTCCTTCCTTCATCTTTTTCTCGCATCTTTCGGATGTCGTCAATGTCACGTGTCCGAAGCGGTCGCGCGCCGGGATTTCGGTCCCGAGATCGAAGGGTCCGAGCACACGCGTTGGCTGCAGCTGGCCACGCGCGAGGGACCTTCCACTTGACTTGCCGCCTTACCTCGTTGCTTCCGCTACAGCTCATTGTAGCGTCGCCATTGACCGTACAGGCCCCATGGCTCGCGTTCGTCCTCTTGCTCATGCACTTGAGTTGGCGTCGCCATGCCGCCGAAGAGAAGATACAAGTCCAAACCGTTGGTCTACAAACTGCAGGTCACCCTCTGTGCCTCCGAGTCGCGGTGTGCTAAGGACGTCGAACGCTTGGCCCAACTAGGGTTCATCTCTTCGACCGCTTCAATGCCGATGACCGCCTTCTCATTTCGACTGGTCGAGCAGACCCACGCGAGCTGGAGGGTCACCCCCCGCGCTCTCACCGGCTATGTGGACGGCCTCAAAGAGTATTACTCCCGTTGTGGGTGGGTTCGGGGTCACTATACAGGACATCCTTGGGTCAGTTTGGACGCCGCCATCGTTTCAGGGGCAGATGCTTAAAGCCTGCCTTCCGCGCATGCAGGACAAAGACCTTCGGAAGCAACGCGATCGACGAGTACCGCGCTCTCGAAACATGCGAGCAGGACAGCGGGGACCTTCTCGTAGGCACCGTCGATTCGTTCCAACAAGGGTCCCGCGTGCTTCGGGCCAACGTGACTTAATCAACCTTGTCACGACGTCCCATTGGATTGCGTGCTTGCATACGACGGCAACTTTCGGCAAACGCGTAACAAAACTTCGAAGCACGACCAGATCGTTCCGGACATTTTCTTGGGTGAGGAAGAGGTTCAGGCGATGAAGGCCGAGGTTGAAGCTTCGGTGCGGCCGACCAAAAAGGTGAGTAATGCCGCTCTTTGCATTTGCCTTAATGGGATCGCTTACCTCTACACCCACCCAACCCTCGTAGGCGTGCACAGAGTCGTGGAAGGCTGCCGACGACGGAGCTGGCTCAACCTCGTCACGAGTAGTCGACACTGGACTCGTTGCCTGCGTATGCCGTCATGATGTAAACCTGAAAATGGTCAATCTTGAGAGGTCTGGTGAAAAGTGAGCGCAGAGCTGTCTGGTTGGGACGTAGTCGCTTCCGCTTTCCTCTCCCAGTACTAATGCGCATATTCCCCTCCGACCGCTCAGATTATACTATGCGCTTGCCATCCTCAAGTGCATCTCAGAGCGCCTTCCTGAAAACGCCAAGATTGGAGTCTTATACGACATTGCTTGTAACTTCAAGCACCACATTGAAAAGGTATGCTTCGATCACGACGCGTCCCTTCCTCCTCAGTCTCGTTGGCACAGACCAAATGCGCCTACTTTCCTATCATTTGTCACCCGAGGCAGCTCCTGCCAAAGCTTTTCAAGCGACTGGAGTTCGCCACGAGCGTCTTCCATGCATACGCCCATATCTGGTCCTGCCAAGTCGAGTTCAACCCCCGCCTCATTCCGAACTTCGGGTTGACTGATGGAGAGGGCTGTGAGCGATTGTGGAGCGGGCTACGGTCGCTCATTCCGAGGAGTAGCAGCTGTGCGCGCCAAGGCTCGAGTCGGTGAGGAGGAAGCGCGGATCGGCGCCGAGGTGCGGCAAGCTTTGGCTTGGATCGAAGATGAAAAGACTCGTATCACTAGTTGCCAAACACTTTAGACTAAAGTGTCGGGTAAGTTTTCGATACAGCGTGCTCCATATCACCTCTTATGTCGCCCTGACATCTTTCAAACCATCCCAACAGATACCCTTTCTGAATCGATCGACCCAGCTGATGCCAAGTCCATATTCGGCACTGAAGATGTTGAAGAGATCCGAGACCGCGCGCTCATTTTACTGGATCGCCGGATGGAGCTTCTTCAGTTGCGCGAATGTTCTTGGTCCCAGAACGACCATTTCTTCGATGTTTGGCTCGACACTCGCGGGCAGTCAGAGGGCGATTCCGAGCCCATGCCTCCTGCACTGTCAGAATTTCGTGGTTTACATCAACGATTGAACGCGACGGGAAGAAGTGTCAAGAAGGCGAAACATCACCAGCTACCTGCACATAATCGATCGGGAACACGCGGTCCTATGGAGACATCTGGCTCGACGACTCGGCGCGGCCTCCATCGCTGGCCCGTGACGTTCAGCAAGTGCGGGGCATTCAGGCGCAGATGGATATGAGCGACGAGGCTCAACTCGCAAAGGAGGTGGGGCCTTTCTCCGCATAACTCCTCGAGCAGGACGGTGAGATGGGCAGCTCTTCGGATGAAAGCTACGGCGATGACTTTGCTGGTCAGGAAGACGAATACTTCTCGGGCGTTTAGACCAGCTTCTGATTTAGATTGAATTGGTGGAGCAAGTTAATGTTGGAACAATGGACATGGTCTTTGAAAACTAAAGTCGTCTCAATTGCGGTGGGTGAGAGTAATATCACCGTCTCAGAGAGAAATATTGTCAGACCTAATCTCTGGGCTGCGCCTGCCTTACTACTGCCGGGTGACTTGCCGGGTGACGTTTCAGTTAAAGCGCATGCAAATGCTCGAGTACCTAGAATGTCTACCACATGAAAATGGGTGAGTGGGTTTGGTAAACATAGAGAATGTATCTCCTACCCTCGGACAGGGTTAAATAGCAAAGTTGGCATGTGCGTGTAAGCCCTTCTTCCGAACAAGATGGCTCGGCGGTTTCCCTTACCAGTGCCGGGTGACTTTTCAATCAAAGCGCATGCACCTGCTCGAGTACCTAGAATGTCAACCACGTGAAAATGGGTGAGTGGGTTTGGGCAGTATAGAGAATGTATCTCCTACCCTCGGACAGGGTTGAATAGCAAAGTTGGCATGTGCGTGCTGCAAGCCCTTCTTCCGAACAAGATGGCTCGGCGGCTCTCTCTCTGAGGATTCCCGCTCGAAGGATTCGACTTCCTGCCATGGCGCGGCCAAAGACCCTTTGGACCGATCCCGATCCCTGCTACTGAGCCTTGCGCCTGTTATAAGAAAAGCTTGGTGTCAAGATCTCAAGATCAAGTCTAGTCTATGCTTGACGGGGGCAGAAGTGCTGACAATTCATTTTAGTGCGGCGAATGCAAGAATTCTCTCTGCTTTGAGCACTCACCATGTGGCCTGAGGATTGGCGGCTTACCTCATTGATGAGAGGGAATGTTTATCAAGTAAAAGGTAGGTATGAGCGGCCATCGATCATGTCTCGGAGTCAAGTGAGGGTTTCGCTCCAAGAGCCTGTTACAAGCCTAAGCCTTCCATGTTTTCACCGAACCTATGATCGAGTTCGACCCACCTCTCATCAAGCACGTACTTTGTCGCTACTTCGCTACTTACGACTGATTACCTACGTGTTCCGCTCCGCTTGCGCGTTCAGGGGCTCAGATCAGTTCGCATTCTTCTGGGAGCGCGCGCCGCTTGAAGTCAGCCGGCCGGGGGTCGTCACCGTGGCCCAGCAGCTCTGATTGGCACTTTGGCGAAGACCGAGCCCGGCCAGATGTAACCCTTGCCCGTTCACTTTAGTGCTAATAGATCATAAAAAGATGCTAACATACACTGCAATTAGTGGAAGTGCGTTGCGAATTCTGTTCATTCATTCTTTGCTCAAAGAGTCACTTCCGGAAAGCAGACGCTCCGTCTGGACCACGGGTCAGGCAGCACTCCATTCTCACTAGGCAATTCAACTCTACATAATACTTCGAAAACAACCCAGAACAAGAGTAATAATGTTTGTGAGCAGGATTACGTCACTGGCACATCCCACGTCAACAAGGAGAGGTCGATCTCGAGCGGCCCAGGGGAAGATTAGGCACGAAGGGCAACGAACAATCACCCTCTCCGCCTTTAGTCACCAAGAGCCGGATGCATATGAAGCAAAATTTTGAAATAAATATTGTGGTGGCCTGTGTTGTCCAACGAATGTTGGCCCTTCAACAGCCAAGATCTCCGCACCGCATGCGCGTCGACGAGTCTGGCTGGCGCTGAGAGCTCGGCCATCGTCACCTCACTCGCTGTCCTCGTCGGAGCTCGTGTTCCGAGTCCGCCGGTCAGCATCGCTGTCGCCGCCTTCATCGCCGCCGGCCATTTTCTGTTCTGCACTTGACCCGATTACCTCTTCCTCCAGCCTGAAGCTCAGCTCGCCTGCACGCAGCAATGGGATGATCCGATCCAGGTCTGGTCCCAACAACTTAAGCTTGCCACTCGGGCTTCGGAAATCCGCTTTGCGAAGGAGCGCGCCGCGCTGAACAGTGATTCTGGCGTTGTCCCTGAGGGCCTTTACGTCATAGACGAACTTGGGCGATTGGATCTTCTCGCCGTCCAGCACGGAGCGTCGGCGCAGCGCGGACTCTGAAGACAGCGAGCCGGGTCAAAATTAGTCACCGTGTATGGAAGAGTAGGCAGGCTGCACATCTTGTACTCACGGAACAGTTCTTTGAGGATGATGCTGTACCATTGGAATTTGGTCTCAACGTTCTTGTCAGCCACGGGTGCGTTCCAAGCTGTGCGCAGGTATTCGCTGATACACCCCTCCCTCCTGATGCGCGGCCTCCCTCCTCGTCTTGGGAAACTTGTGCGGCCCGCGACTTTTGGCGATCGCGAGCGGAAGGTGCAGTATTTGGCAAACCTGCCGCGTCAAAGACAATACCCGTGCCGTCAGGATTGTTCCCTCCTTGTTCGACCATGTTTGCGAGATTGTTGCTTGCTGGCGGAGCTAGATACGGGCCATCGATGCGTCCAGGATGGGAACGTGGGACGGTAAACTGGTTGGTTGGACGAAGCAGATCCCGGAGAAGATTGATAGTTGTACGACGCAGGATTCGAGATGGCCGTTACGCCAGCGGAAGTGGACGCTGGATCGGGTGCACGACGGTGTAACGTCAGAACAGACCGATACTGTACGCGATCGACGCGACGGCCACCCACGGACCCGAATAGTCGTTATATGCGGACTGGTAGGGAGTCCAAGGCGAGGTGCATGACGTGCATGACTCGTACCCAGAGGCAGCATATGAACCTATGTGTCAGATGTGATCGTGAGCCGGTAGTCCAGTCAGAGCACCCGTGTCGATCGGCGGCAAACATACTGCTGTTCGTCGCCGGAGCGCCTGCGATTCGGGAGGTGGTTAAGTTGATTGGATTGACTCGTCATGATAGGAGCAGCAGAAGTATGACTAATCCGGTGTTTCGAAGTGGGCGTTCGTTTCAGACTGTCGCAAGACGGATGCTCGTTGTATAGTTCGTTACTTCGTATACGTAGTAGGGGGCGATTGGGCAAAGCAGAAGAATGGGCGGTATGCGCGAGCGCGACGCGTCGCCGCCATCTCCAGCGTCTCCGGAGTCGTGACGCGTCGACGTCCCGGCCATCCCGGCCCCAATTGTTCCGCGCGATCCGTGCCGAATCACGTGTTCGAGGTAGAGCGCCTGTTCAGCTTGCAGAGGACAACAATAACTCTCGAAAATTCTCCAAAAATCCGAATACACTATTGTTCGCTGACTGCGCCTTTGTTCCCAGGTCTTCGATGGAGTTGTAGTGGGAGTGAACGTCTCGGCAACTCGACATCGAGGAGGGCATACCTGACCTGGGCCTAATCTGCTACCTGGGGTAGCAAGGTTGCAACCCGCCGGGCTTGTGGCTTGGAAGGCGCGTGGGAGGGCGCTGCGCGCGCGCCTGTTGAGGCGTACTTTTTATGTCTGCCCGAGGTGTTTTGAAAAGCAAACGCGTTTGAGGCGCTTTCAAAAATCCGACCTCAACCTCGGATTTTGGGACAGATCTGTTCACTTTTCATTTTATTTCGTGATGTAGATTGTGAAGGTCACGTGAAACGCCGAGCGCCCGTGCCCCCTATTAAAAAGTTGTCGCGCTCATTTCGTGAAGTTCGCCCGTGTTGCCCCGCCGAGTACGCTCCGCCGAGTACGCCCCGCCGGATAGGGCCTTTCTTCCACCATGTCATCGTACACTACCTTACAGGTGAGCGCTCAACTCTAGCACGCGACGCGGAGATTGGCCGAAGCCAGATGTTGTTAGACGCGCTCGAGCTTCGCGCTTGGACCTCCTCTTCCAACGTTAGACTTCCCGAGGCCGCGATTAGCGCTGCAGCGCTGCTCACTTTCCTCTAATAAAGGCGAAATTGACGCTCTGCACGCCGAGTAGTACGAGCGGGGAGTGGGAAACGAAAATGCAAAAGGAGAAGACGTGCCGGAGGGATGTCGGAAAGGAACCCCTAAGCCAACGAGTCGCGGAAGGACGCGGCGACAGACGCTCCTATTCCGGTTTATCGCGTGACGCGTCTTCGTCTACATGTCAGATCACTTGCGCACGGACCGTCCGCCTCATTTTTGAAAGGCAGAAAAGGTTGCCGCACGTGAATTTGCAACGTCCGCAGAAACTCGACCATGACGAAAATCGCTTTCATTTATTTTCGAATTAGGCTTTCTCAGAAAATGGTTCGGCGCGCTTTCTCTACGGGGTTTTTGAGTGGGACTAGTAAGGTAGTAAAGACTCACCAGAGTGATAACACCCAGGTCTATTATGTTTAATCGGATTTGTACAATCTTACAATCTTCTACACGCTCTAACAAGTCTTTGTCGTAAGCAGTCGTCCGACCAACCTTCGCCAGTACATGGGTCGCGGATCGACACTTTTCTTTTACTACTAGTTAGGGTAATCCGACCAGCCCTCGCCAGCGTTATTTACGAACGAACAAACGAATGTCACCATTATCCTACACAGCGTTCAGCCACAATCAAGGGATTTGTGTCGAAGATCTCCCGGACAAATTCTTCCCTGGCAGCGGCGAAGAAAGATGCTCTCTTATTCTGATTGGGAGCAACGGTGATGCTGGCGTCTCGAAACGATCGGCGAGCACCGACACGGAGATTCCCTGAGAGTTCATCGGTTTTCGAGGGGCTTGAATTCGGTCGTCGAGGACGTGACGACGAGATATACTAAATGGATTGAGCAAAGCAACACGTGTCAGTATCTGTGAATTTCGGTCGATCGCAGTGGAGCCGAGAATCCGACTCACGTCCACTCTTCCTGACTGGACCTTCTGCCCTTCTTGGTCCGCACCGAGACATCCCAAGGATCGGCCGTGTACCGACCAGGGAACTGCAGTCGGCACACCTCGGCACCATATTGACTAAATTTCACGATCTGAGCGCGCGTCAAGTCCACCTCCAAGGGCGTCACGAGCGAAAAATCGTGTGGGTCGTCGCCGGAGCGTCGCAGGATGTCCTCTGGTGCGATCTCGCCGTTGGTATGCCGTGCCAAACCTGCAAGCACGTGAAGGGCATAGTCACGATCGAGCGGTATCCGAGTCGAGTCAAGAACGGAATGGCGAGCCAGAAACTTGGCCCAATAGTCATTCACGAGTTCGGGGTGGGTGAGCGCCAAAAGGTGGGGGGCGCCCTCGATGACGTGCCAATCGACCTCTTTCGAACTTTGTAGCCAAGTTGGGACCTCGCCCCTTACCGTATCGGCGGGGTAGCACTTGTCCAACCCTCCGTGTAAGAGCATAACCGGTTGCTTGACAACCGACAAGTCCTCGGTCCCTAGACACGGATGCCGATGATTCGGCCGGGTCACCTCGAGCGCGGAAGGCAGTCGATAGGGATTGTATCTCCGGATGAAGGTGTTGACGATCCGGTCCTTGAGCTCGATCGACGCGCTATCTTCCCGATTGTTGTAATCGCTGAGGAACATCTCGGAGAGGGCCTCTAGGGTCTCGTAGTAGTCCCCTTCATCGACGGGGAAGAACCAATACTGGTCGAGTTCTTCGAATCTGTCGGTGGCGATGAGCGGAGAGCTGATCAGCAAGCCATGTCGGCTCCTTCCCCAAAGAAGGGTGGACGTACATTTCGACATGATCTGGCGGAGCAAAGAGCTGTCCTGCTCCAACGATTGCAAGTGACAGGACTTGATTCGGGAACAGCAGGCACAGTTTGAGACCGACTGAGAAGAAGATAAGGTAAAGTCAGTACGTCGACCCACGTGGAGAGCGTAAAGCGTCCCAGATTTCTTACCTTGAAAAGCCAAAGCTCCTGAGCAGAACACGTGACTCGGTGGTACAGACAAAGCTTCCTGTAGGACAAAAAGTAGGGAAGATCAGACCACTCCGTTCAAATCTCGATCGAGCGCCGATTGAGATCACACGTCCGCTCACCATGGCGAAAGCTGCCGCCCACAGCGGATGGAAGCGCCTCGTCAGCTCTAACTCTCTACATCTCAGTCAAAGAGATCGTCTCAACGCACCGACGTCGGCAGCCGACACGAAGAAGTCGAACGAAGGCATGACCGGGCCCCTTGTTGATCGGCCATGGGACCGATTCTCCAGCGCGAAGATCTGGTATTGCGGCGCGAATCGATCGAAGAGCGACCGGCAATAGCTCAAGTCAAGCCAAATCGGCGCCAAGACAATCAAGGTCGGGATGTCCGTACGGAGGTCCAGCGAGCCATCCGGGTGGAGTTCGATGGATCGGTAGGAGGTCGAGGTCGAAGTCGATGGGCTCTGGGGTTCGGCCCACGCGGTGGCTGGCCCAGAAGGATCTTGTTCGTCTAGACGCGGCCCGTAGGCTTCCCAATACAGCTCGATCGAGCCGGGCAATGTCACGTAAGGCATAGCGTGTCGAACCAACTTATGGTCCTCTTAAGGAGACGAATGGAAGGACAGAAGCAAAGCGATAGCAGTAGGTAGTCGAAAGGACAATGGCTACGGCTGATTAGTCAGCGAAGTGCGTCACTTGAAAGTTTAAATAACCGCGATCGGTCGGCCGATCCGGAGATGGAGGGGCCGCCGTACGAGGAGTCACAACTCACGACATCAGCAAAACGGGCACGCGCGAAACCCTCGGTCAAAGAGCAGGGGGGTTAACGGCTTAACGCGGCCCGCGAGACCCTCGATTAAGCATTCGCAGCGGGGTTAACAGCTTCCTCCCGCTTAATGCGGCCCCGCTTACGGCGATTGGCAGTGAGCCAGCAGAACCCCGCGCTTCAGGTAAAAGTGGGCACTTCGTTGTTGCCCCCACCTTTCGAAACATCAAGTTGTACAAATCGTTTCAACGAGGGGATGTTTGAGACGATGAAGGTCAACACCCATGCTGACTTGGCGCAGGGTTCACAACTCAGATATTGGGAGTGTCGTCCCCTTCCCTCAAACCTTTTTAAAACCCTTGGTGCCTCGCCTCACCCCTGCCCTGCAGATCAATCGTCTCTCGAGTCTCGAGTCTCGAGTGCGTTGGCCCGTCGAGTCGCTGACGGTGGATTTCTGAAACACCAAGCCACGCACGTGAAGGTAGAAAGCCAAGAAACAGTTTGTTTTTCGGTCTTATCAAGTTTGATCTTCTATTTTGGTTGCCCACTGTTTTCCAAAAGAGCCAAAGAAAAAGAGGTCTCTCGTGTGGTGTCCGTGACTTTGAAACGATCAGAGTTTTCCCCGAGTTCACGACCGCCGATCAGGGGCACCAACTTCGATTTGCTGGCTGGCAGCGAGCGAGTTTAGGGGTCATGCAACACTGGGCTCTTGTGCAGAACAGATGGAGAGATCTAATTACAATTGAGCAAAATTGGACCAACGATAGAAGGCATCCATACCCGTCCTCAGAAATCGCCCGAAAAGAGCAGCCCAGCAGCTTGTTCGACGTGGCCATTCGTCAAATCGAGCAATTTGATCGCCTCGGGTCTCGAAACGCCCAAAGCAACAAGGTTAGAGATCTTGTCTTCGAAATGTTTGGAAGGGGGCTGTGGTGTCGTCGTCGAGGTCGAGGTTGATGTGGGGCCGGAGGAGGGGACGAATGAGGAGGAGGAGGAGGAGGACGGCCCTGTCAACGGGGCGGCTCGGTTCGGAGGCGCTCCCAAGGCTTGGCCCGATCCCGGGAAGGAGGAAGTCGACGCCGTTGGTGCTGATGCTGAACCGAGGCCTGAGCCGACTGCTGGCGTGGACAATGATTGCGATGTTCTGTGGGCGCTGACATACTCTTGTTAGGCAGTTGTTTCAACTCAATTCGACTTTGACCAGGAACCATCCGCTCACCCAGCTGGCTCATCCCCCATCGGCCCATTTTCGAAGCCATTCGGCAGTTCGTGCTCGGACAAGAACCTGATCTCCCTCCCTTGGATAACGAGCGCATCCTTCTGCAAGTCGATGCACGCCTGGTGTCGCTTCAGCATGTCCAGCCCAAACAACAAGTCAACGTCCTTGCCCTGTGCGGAGCCAAGCACAGGTAGAAATGGTCAACCGCTTTTTCCACAGCGCATCCAAGGGACATGATAGCCCCTCAACACCACACGCACCTCTAAGATTGTGAAACTGCATTGGAGGAAGAGGTCTTGGCCCATCTTGAGTTGAGCGCTGTGTACTCGTCCCAAGATCTTGGCCGTTCCCACACCTCGAGCCATGCCAGCGAAACGAGTGTCGAGCAAGCGCATGATACCACATCGTTCGGCACAATCGGGCGACACTGCAAAGGTATTGGGTAAATTCGTCAGTGTCTGCTGCGGTGGCAGCCTTCGACCGAGGGCTCCACTGACTGATCGTGGCTTGGGCTCCAGAATCGACGAATGCCTTGACCGAGTGCCCGTTGACCTCGACATTGACGTAAAGCATATGTACCTGCCCGAAACTAGTGCGAGAACCCAAAGGATGAGCAAGCTCTTCGCTCACGTCAGGCTCACGCGCATCAGCTCTGGACTCAACGCTTCGGGCATATTCTCCCAAGCCGTTTCCATGTTCTCCAACACTGCCTCTTGCCGAATCGCCTCCTCGATCTTGCGTTGCGCCTCGACGTTGTAAGGATCGCTACTGAGCAAGTCGGCCTCGTGCTGTTGGGTCAGTTGCGCGGATTGTTGCATCGCCGAAAACCTTGAGAGCATGTCGCGGAATCGGTCGGGGTTGTTGAGCGCTGCGTCGGCGAATTCGGGTTGCGTCTGTGATGCACGACACGCGAGATACGGTTTACTTTGCAAGTTTGAGGTGATGACCGCGAAGCTCGCGAGCAACTCACCCTCTGCAACTGCGACAGCAATTGAGGGTTCCCGATGAGTTGCTGGCGCATCGTCTCGGCATCGGTCTCGACATTACGCCCCGCGACCGAAGGTGCAGCGGCAGGTTCGTTGCTCTTTCTCCTCAAGAGAAGCATGTCGTCCTCTTTGATGTCGTAGCTCTGTGCGCCCCCGCTCAAAATCGAATGCCGTGAGTCTCGACTCTCGCAAGCGGTCCCAAGTTGGATCAGGAGGTTGACTCACCGCCAAAGAGTCCTTGTCCCCCAAGAGTTGTCGACCGGAGAAGAAAAGAAGTTGGTCTGCTGTGGGAACGTTGGACTGGATTCCGATGATTGTAGGAGAGCTGGTCAGCGCCTCCGTCAGAGTCTCGGATCGAGCGATGACGAAGCGCCCTCCATGTGGGGGGACGGGCGGGGGGAAAGCGGGAGTCCAACACCCAACAACACCGTCCACAGCTTCTGGTCCTGCGATCTTCGAACAACCGAGCGCGTACTCACCTCGGCTTCCAACAATGCCTTTACATTCTCGACCTCCATCGAGGGGTCGACGTCGAGGTTGATGAAGTGATCTCCTGCTTCGGAGGTGATGGTGATGCGCATGATCGGAGCAGACAAGGGGTCCGTGTATGAGTGGCGTCGAGTTTGGTCTGGTTTGGGTTCGGACCTTGATATGGGACTGCTCAGTGAATGGTTCGGGGTGTGTGGGGGTGGCGCAAGAGGGAGAAGGACCGATGACGAGAGGAACGAGAGGGACGAGCCAACTTGAAGTCCCCGAGCTCAGAATGACGAGCGGGGTCGATGCGCAGAACGAGTCATCAACGATCCAGTGAGCACTCGAACCGCGATACCTTCTTTCGGCCTCAAACAAAGCATATGTTTGCATTGCATTACTAGACTAGAAAAGATCCCCGAAGCACTAGTCGTCAGCAGGATCAACGACAGCAGAGCCCGTTCGGGAAAGCTCGACTGAAAGACCCCGTGCTCATTATGTAAAGGGAAAGGCGAAAAAGAAGAGGAGGGTACAAGAGAAAAGACAGAAAGATCTAGTCAAGTTGTTAGAAAGAAGAAGGTCCTGAACTGACAAAGCACCGATCAATCGTAGTAGCTCTTGACGACGCTCGAGATGGAATCGCGATTGGGAGCTGTGGGCAGCAAGGACAGTGACGTCAGTGGTCATGAAACACATGAAAAATCAAGCTCCTGGACTGACCTTTGAGCTTCTTTTTGTCCTCGACAAAGACATCGTTCGGCAACATGGCGATCTGAAACAAGCAAAACCCCGTCAGCTTCACATTTCGAAAGCGCCTCAAACGGGCAATCAGCCGCTTACAATCTCTCGATCCCCCCCGAACTTGAACGAATCCGCCACAATAGTATCCGAGAACCTCCTCAACGTATAATTCGCGACGTTCCCCTGCTTGACCTGTCTGAAATTCCAGGCGACGATGTAAGGCCCCGTCGAAGTGACGATCGTCCTCTCATCCGCTCCTAAACCGGCATTGAATTTCGCGGGCGTAAAGGAAACCCCTTCCCTCGATTGTTCTTGCATGTACGCGACATGTTCTGGTTTGAGTTGCAGGCGCTTGGGCATGGGTTTCTGGCCTGCAGGGAAGGAACGATCGAAGCCCGATGAACCACCGTAGCGCCCTGCGCCTTCGGGGATTTGCGTATCGATCAACAAGAGATACGTCCTGCATGTCGCGAGAACCCATCGCCCGTCGGCGGTCACGTCGATCCCGAGGATCGGGTCTCCCAACGCAGGTAGAGCCGTCTTGGCGTTCTTGCCGAGCTTGTCGAACAAGCGGATATCACCCTTGTTGGAAGCGACGGCCAGCCGACCCGATTCAGTCGTCGTTGCGACCGAGAAATCGTTCTTGGTCACGTATTGTTTGAATTCTTCGTTGACGAGCTTGCTTCCCGAGAGACGAGGGTCGATGCGGAAGACGCCGTTGTGCGAGAGACCGATGAAGGTCTGTTGTTGCGTCGTTTGGGCGAACTTGGAGTCGGGGAGGAAGGACTTGACCTGCACCTCATCCGAAACGTTGTACTCGTCGACGACTTGGCCCGTCGTGAGATCGAGGCGGTAGAGCGAGCCAGGCGCAAGAGGGTTTTGCAAGATCATCGATGTGTCTGGCGAAAGGGAATGTATTTCAACCTGGTCAGCTTCACTCAAGTCAACAGGACCCTATATACTTTGGGCACTCACCTTGGTTGTGCAGCATGACCTTTTGCGGTGTGAACGCCTTCTTGCCATTGGGTGTCGAGATGTTGACGATGCTCGTTACGAATTTGAGCTGTTACCCCCACGACCGCGGATCGTGTCAGATCTCAAACCTCTGAACGCCCTCGAAAGTTTAGGAATTAGCACAGCTTACCTTCTTGCCCCCATCGCGTTGCTGCTTGAACACGCCAATCATATCCCCCTGCACCACGAACGACAACGAGTCCTTGTAACCCACGGCCAACTGAGAATTCTTCGTCCGCGTCCCCTCTCCAAACTTGGGTCGCTCATCGTCATCCTCCCCTTCTTCCCCTTCCTCCTCTTCCTCATCCAGCTCATCGACCTCCTCCTGACTCTGACCCTGACCCTCTTCCTCTTCCTCCACCGCATCAAACATCTCCGCATCGTCGATGTAAGCCCGTCGTTGATAAGCCTGTTCATCCTCCTTCAACTTTTGCCACGTCCCGCTACCAAACTTGTCCTCGAACAACGCGGTCGTCACGGCCTGTTGGATGATCTCGAACGGCTTGCTCGTAGGGAACCTCACGAGCCAAGTGTAGACTTGGGATGACTCGTCCAACCCGTCTTCGGGTTCGGAACGATAGTTGAAGACCATGGATTTCTCCGCCTGCGGTTCGTTCCCCCCCCCATGTTCGACGTTAGCCCAATTTACTTCTGCGGAAACGATTCTAGTCCAGTTGGGAAAAGGACTGACCTCGCTGAACGTCGTTTCGGAATCGATGCCCTGACTGACCCACGGCCCCGTCTTGCCCTCGACGATGAGCCAGTACGCCTCCATCGTACGATGGATGCTCGCTTGGACCAAAGGTTCCTGCATCATGAACATCCCCGTCGCTCGATCGTAGAGGTACAGATCACCTTCGACGCTGACCAAGGCCTGCTTGACGACGCCGCCCGGGGTCGATCGTTTAGGCGGTTGTTCGGTCACGGTTTCGATCGGCTCCTTCGCCTTTGACTTTGTCCTCGAAGGCGTGGGGGCGGCAGAGGCTGGTGCAGACGTGGCCTTGGCTTTGCCCTTGGCGGTCGAGGAAGGGGTGAGGGTCGCCTTCTTCATCAGCGTCGCGGCCAGCTGGTTGCGTTCGTCGTCCGAGTCGTCCAAGTCGGCGGCGGTCAGCTTGCGTGCCGAAGGTGGGGGAGGACGAAAGTCTTCGGCGTCAGAGTCGGATTCGAGGGTCGCTGCTCGGAACAAGGGTTGCTTGGTTGAGGCTGACAATGCCTGAGGTGCGGTGCGTCTAGGCATCGTGCACGGTGGAGCAGAGGAGGAAGGATCACACGTCAGCCACGCTTAAATTGAATTCGGCATTGACCTCCTCTGCCCTCGTCGCGCCTCCATAGCACTTCACCGCCCGAGTCGCCAACGGCAGCCGACTCGGCCGAAAACGCGGTCGCACCAACGTGAACGTACTCGATCATGAACTGGTGCAACTCGTTCTCCTCGATCATCGCGACCTCCCTCGCATCCGTCGGCCAACTTCTGTTCGTCTTGTCCTCCCAGAGGCATCTCCAAACGAGCCTCTCAAACTCGTGGACCTGAGCGGTGATGTCGGGTGCGGGAGCGAGCACGAATTCAAACTCGTCTTCGGGGCCGTCGCCTTCGGGGTCGGCCCAGGCGATGGATGAGGGGGGTGGTGAGGCGGCGGAAGGGTCGAGGGTCGGTCCGACGGAGAGGAAGAGGTTCTCGTCGATCAGGAACGCTCGTTCGTCCGAGTCTGCGGGCAAGTGGGCGGGTACAAGGGGGTGTGAGGGCAAAAGACGACAAGATCATTGATACATGCAGAACTGACTCTCTGCATCCTCTTCGAGCAATTGCTCCTCGCCTTCTTGGAAGGTCCTGGTGACGACGAGTTGATAGGTATGCTCGTACGTGGTCCTTCGGATCGAGATGGACGCGTCGATGAAGCTGCGGGGATACAAACGAGTGTGTTAAGTGGGGTTTCACGTCGAAGAGGGTGGCGGCGTTGACGCGCGTTGACGGCGGACTGACATGCACTCCCTGCCGGCCTTGAGGCTGTCGGGTCGGACGAGATAAAGCCGTCCTTGGTCGATCACGGTCAACTCTTCTGCGCCGACGTTGGGCTTGTTCGTTCCCAGCACTGTGTGTGGGTGGTGTGAGAATGAGCGTGCATAGTGCAGAACGAGACGGGTACGCTGGGCACAGCCCGGGAGGCGGTCGAGTGGGGGGGGTCAAGCCGAGAACTACTGACGTCGGTTGACCTGTTGTTTGCAGCGGGACAGAAGGCTGGTCAGCGCCGAGGTAGGATGCGTGCAACTGTGAACATGAACGTACTAGAAACATGATGGCTGTGGTGCCCAAGTGGGAGGCTGCGTGGCTGCGTGGCTGCGTTCCGGTGGGCTCGGCTGCTCAGATTGAGGTGGACCGAGATAGGGACGGAGCTCGACCAGCGCGCCCGAATCTCGCGTGACTTCACATTCACGCGCTCGGGCTCAGAGTTACTGTGGGCTCAGGCGGTGCTAGATTTTTCGTCTTTATCCAAAACGAGTACAAGATCGACATCAAACTATTTTCGACGAGCGAGCAAAATATCACAAAAGCCCCTGACACCTGACTCGTGCCATGTCCCGTGCAGTGGTCCAAATCGAATATAACCCCCCCCCCGCGCCGGCCGGCCAGCAGTAACAGGCAGTAACGCTGTGCTGTACGGGTACCGCCGGCGTGTGCGATTCTGGCCGTTCTTGCTTTAGGCCCGCATCGTGCATCGTGCATCGTGCATCGTGCATCGTGCATCGTCGTCGTCGTCGTCGTCGCACCACTCGAAAGCTCTCGCAGCATGTTCGCCCGGATAGCCAGTCGGAGTCCAAGGGGTGAGTCCTGCACCGTATTTCACCAGAGCACAGTTTCGTCTCCACCTCCTTGACCTAGCACGTCCTCAACCGAATCGATCTACTCTCCCCCTTTCGCAGTCCTCGCCTCCACCTCCACGTCCACGTCCACTCTTCTACTCCCCACCACCTCCCACCCCCATCCGCTCCACTCCCACCCCTTCTCCAGCACCTCCCACGCCTGCGAATCCAAACGACTCCGCAAAGCCCGTCTGGTTCGCAAAGCGCACATCGAGAAGAAAGCGCTCCTGGTCCAATCCCACCTCCAGAACCAACCCGATCCCGTCCTCGGCTACAACAAGAAGATCGGCGGTGAAATTTGGGAACGTTGTCTGTTGAAACGGACCTTGTTGGATAGGGAGGTGTTGTGGGAAGCGGTCAAGCGGGGGGCCGCAGAGGAGGAGGAGGACGAGGGTAAAGAGCGCAAGCAGGAGCGGGCGACCGTCGAACGGCATTACAACTTTGGACTGAACGAACAGGACGTACACGTGCTCAGTCAATCGCTCCCCCATGTGTCGATGATGCGCGACGTCGTCACTGCGTCAGGTCGCTTGGCGTCGCAAGAATTGAACGAGAACCGGTTGGCCAAGGCCGAGGAGAGGGAGATCGACAAGAAGGACAAGTTGATGAGGATATTGGATCTGGGCAATGCGGACAGTAAAGGCATCCAAGTGGAGAATGTGAGGAGGATCGTCAAGGCGTTTGGCAAGGACGAGAACGATACGGGTAGTCCAGAGGTCGTCGGTGCGTTTCACCGCTCTTGCACATCTTGGCGTCGTTCCGAGATGGGGACTCACTCTTCAACGTTTGCTTTCACTGTCCCCAGCTGCCATTCTCACCGCCCGTATCCACTCCCTCTTGACGCATCTCATCTCGCAACCGCGCGATATCCACAACCGAAGATCGCTCCGAGCCATGATCCAAGACCGCGCCAAGGTGCTCAAGTACCTCAAAGTGACGGACGTGAGGAGGTACGAAGACTGCTTGCTCAATATTGGAGTCGAACCGAGGGCTGTCGAAGGGGAGGTCGTCATTACCAAAAAGGCGTTGAGGGAGTTGATTAGGGGCGAGTAGAGAAGACGAGTGCAAGGGCTTGAATGAATTGCATGATCTTCCAACGAAGTACCGATGGTCTGAATTGCAAGAGCATCTCAAATGCAAAGCTGCTCGAGATGCTGGGACTTGCTGTAGCATCGCGCACCAAGTCAGGTACCGAAATCATCATTTCTCGCGCGATTCTCTCCGAGGCTCCGCCCTTGACCTGGCACAGCCCATCAGATCGATCCGATGCGCTTACAATGCACAATGCGCATCATATTCATAATACAAAGCTTGTAAAAGCCTACGATACGAACTCCCAACGCACTCACTCGAGTCGGAGGTCAATCTTCCGCTCGGGTCCTTTTTTTTGCCTCTAGTCCTGAGAGGCACATCCTCGGCAACCGCAATGTGTGCATTCGACGACGACGCCGGCCTTGAGTTGTGCTTTAGGAACGCGGCAGATGCACGTCGAGCCGGCATAGTTCATGTCCTGAGATGCGCAGAGAAGGGGTCTCGTGAGTCGGGCGTGTCCGAATTCGTCGGGTTGAAGGTGAGTGCCACGTACCCGGGATTGAATACACCTCGCGCAACACAGCTTTTCGTAACCTTGCTTTTTCCACTTGGCGATCAGACTGGAGCATACGCAGCAAGCACTTGATCAGGCACTCCTGCGCCCGATTCCGTTTCGCGGTTGAACGAAAAGTACGAGGACTGACTTTGCATCCGCGTACCCCTCCTTGAGCAACCAGTCGTACAGTTCTCTCGAGATGGCTTCTCGTTTGTAGTAGAGGTCATAGATGTATCTGTTTCTCCAGCACCAAGGCGAAATCATCCTCGTCTCGGAATCAGCTCGCGAAGGCTACGTCCATCCCTGCGCGAGCACAGGTGGTGCCGGGTACGCACCTTGACCGTGTATGTGTGATCCTCATGATGGGCCATAGCGACTCGGTCTTGCGTTTCCCTTCGTGCGACTCGGCCTCGGCTGTGTGCAGAGTGAGAGAAGCCAGAGTTCGGTCTCCGGATCGTCGGCTCTCGCTATCGTTGCAGGAACCCGCGATGATTCGTGACGCACCATCCCTCATCTTTCTCTGGTAGTCCTCCAAGATTTGTTCAATCTCATCGAATCCCTCTGCAGGCGCATGAATGACGCTGGGTCAGCTCCGTTGGCGATCGTTCTCGCGAGCTACTACGGACTACGCGTAGATCGCACGAGCGTTGGGGAAGGCGACGACGTAGTTCCTGTCGACGTGAGGTACTGACCTGGTGGTGGCTTGGTTCTGGATGTCTTGACTTTGGGCATGTTGGTTCGAACGAGGGATGTGGGCTGGCAGGAGTGAAATCAACCGTGGACGGTGACTCGCCCAAAGGGTCGCGCGACTGCAAATTGCGCATCACTACCCCCTGACGCGTCCAGGCCAATTGAGTATTAGTAACGGTCGATCGGCACGCGTCACGCTTCACGCTTCGTTCGGCTTTGAACGTTTCAACCTTCACAGACCTTCACACCTCTCGACCTCGACCGACACCACACACACGCGCTCACCCCGCTCACCCCGCTCACCCCGCTCACCCCGCTCTCCTTGCAACTCGACACCCCAACACCGTCCACGAACGCACCAGTAGCACCCAACAAGCCCACCCGCGCGCGACTCGGTCTGCCCAAAGTATGAAGATCATCTCGATCCAGATCCTCGCGGTCGAGCCGGCGAGGTCAGCGATCCCCGCCGTACCCGTCGCCGCCGCATTGAACCTGTCCTCGTTCTCGTTCTATCAACGATCAGTGTAAGTTGGCCGTTCGTTATGCGAGTCGGACGATAGCGAATTAGCGAACGGCGGTCGTCTTTCGATCAAGCCGAGTCGGTGGTGGTGGTGGTGGTGGTGGTGTCGTGCGACTGCGCATGTGGGAGCGATACGGCGCATGGGAGCGACCATTCGGGTGTTCAAAAGGAAGCAAAGGCCATGTCGTCGAAGCGCTCAAGGTGATGCACTCGCTGCTGGAGCTGCAACCCGCTCGTGTTGACCCGACCGAGCTCACGCTGCTCCCGGACACGCCGCGTCACGTCCGCGTCACGTCCCCAACCCGTCGTCCAAGGCGCCCCCCGACCGAATCGGCTCCCTGGCTGGATCGTCCTCACCAAAGCACAACCCCGTTCACTGACACCTAAACCCCCCCCCCCCCCCCATCCACCTTGCAGCATATCTCAATTCATGGATTTCTTCTCCCGAACGGTCGCCGAGCGAACCGCGCCCGGTCAACGCCAATCGGTCGAACAAGAATCCGCCTCGACGGCCTACACCGCCCACGCCTACACCCGCGCTTCGGACAACCTAGCCGGCGTGATCATCACCGATCAGGAATACCCCGTGCGCGTCGCGTTCTCGTTGATCAACAAGATCCTCGACGAGTTCACCACCCAGGTCAAGAGGGACGTGTGGGAGGCCAAGGCGAGGGAATCGAGGCAGGCCGGCAAGCAGTACCTCGTCGAGTTCCCGCAGTTGCAAGAGTATTGCACCAAGTACCAGGACCCCAAGCAGGCCGACACGATCATGAAGGTGCAGCAAGAGTTGGACGAGACCAAAATCATTCTCGTCCGTTCAGTCGCTCGGAAAGAAAGACGAGGCTTGACACCTGACTCGGTCCCCACACCCTACAGCACAAGACGATCGAATCCGTTCTGGAACGAGGGGAGAAACTTGACAGTCTGGTCGACAAATCCGCCGCACTCTCAGCTTCGTCAGTCCAAGCTCTTTACCGCAACGTCAATGCATCGAAGGAACGAGAAGCTCATACTCAAGCCTGTCTCGCTCGCAGATCTAAAAACTTTTACAAGACCGCACAAAAGCAAAACTCGTGCTGCGTCGTCATGTAAAAGTTGTTAGCAGTGCTACTGGTCGGACGTTTATCTCGACCCCTCTCTCTTGACGTTTTCACGACCGTCGTTATGTTTGCCGACGCTCGTTGCCACAATCGCTGAGGAACGAGTCGTCCTCTTTTTCATCTCTTTTTTTGCTATTTTGCTCCGACCGCTTACGTTCTGTCATGTAATACTCTTCTGCTCCTACGTGAATATTCGCACCCTACGCTGGTGCGAAAGCCTCCGATCCGAAAAGGACAAACCGTCATTCGCAAAGGAACTCTCCCTGCCAATCTTCTTCACCTGAACCACCAATTGACCGACACGGATAGTTCCTCTTCGCCATTTGCTCTAGTCGACCTCGACCTCACGGCATGCCACCATCCTTGAGGGATCAACAAAGCTTGACCACTCTGGACCGTGACCTGAAAAACCTCTTCCTGCGCCTGCTCCGACCCCCATCACAAGTATCCTCCCACACCGCTCGTTCCAACGCGTCCCTGTCGCCTTCCGGACCGGGCAACATCATCTCCTCCCCTCTCAAACGACCTCTCCGATCCCACAACGCCGCCGCCTTGCCCAGTCCTCCGAGTCCCCTCTTTTGAACTTTTTCGAAAACGCTCTTCCCCACCTTTGGTTCCATCAACCTAAACTTCTTCTCCCCGCTCAATTGGAGTAATAAGTTATGGTCCGGGTCTTGATGCATGGGGGTCGTGGTCGGGGTTCGGCCCATCCAGAGGGAGGAAGGGGTTTGACCGGAGAGGGGGAAGTGTTGTCGAGTTTGGGGTAGGGTTAGGTCGGGTGGGAGGTGGGAGGGTGGGAGCGATTGGGCTAGGTAAAGGGTTGAAGTCGAATGCGGCGCGTTTGACAACGTGTTTGGTACGGGTGGGTTGTCGAGGTATTGCAGGTAATAGGACCAAGGTACTTCGAGACGCTCGAAGTAGGATTCGGATCCCGTTCGCGTATGCTCGATATTGACGACTGGGTCTTGGGTTCCCGAACCGGTGAGGTGGTCGAGGTTGAGGTGACGATGTGGACGATCAAGCTTGTTCGTGGGGGCGTTGTTCGTGTTAGGGTGGGGCAAGAACCATTTGGATTGCGCTGCGAGGGGTGGGATCGAGATGAGCGTGGGGAGGAGGGGTTGGCCCGCTGCGGGTGATAGCCAGGATGATACGCTGGGGGTGGTGGTGACGATACGACGGATCGTCCTTGGTGTGGCCATGTCGGGGATGGTAATCTGGGAGGCAGGACAAGCCCAGAGCAAACCCGGAAACGGAAATTGATGGCAACGCGTCAAGAGGGGCGCGCTCATCAATGATCGAACGCTTCACGCGCGGCGTCGCGTCGATAATCGCGTCGAGAGTCTCCTACGCCAAGCGCCGCCGCCGCCGATTCGGTACCGTGCACGCTACCGCCGCATGTCTCACTTGTGATACATTCCTCTCCTCTCTCGCTTCGTACCCAACTTACAACCCGACCGCATTCATTCACTCCCCGTCTTCCTACCCGCAGCGTCTCGTGGCTTGCTCGCTCCACTCTACTCGACGACCACCCGCCGCGCATCGCAATCGCTACATAGCCAGTGCAGCCCAGCAGCACCGCGGCCCGAACCGATCCAAGCGCTCCTCCTTTGTCGCTAGCGTCACCAACTCGATACGGTCGCGCCTCCTCCTTCTTGCGCACCATATTCAACAAGGGGGTCAGCAGAAGACGTTGTACCGCCCATCTACACCGAGTAGACTCCACACAACTCGGCTCGATCATCCCAACGTTCGCCGCAGAGTTCCCGTTCTCTACGCGCATCCTGCCGCCCGTCGTCCGCGTGCGCGTGCACGCGCTCTCGCTCTCTCCTGAACAAGGGCTTCCCCACCACCTCCACCTCCAGCAGCGATGACGATCCGCGAATGGAAAGAACATCTACTCTCCTACATCCCCCAATCCGCCTCGTCCCAGATATTCCTCTCCGTCACCCTCTTTGAAACCATCATGCAAGTGAATTAACTCGATCCTCAACCCGCGCGCGCGTATGGCTTTCGGCGCGCTAATCATCTCATTCAACCCATTCTTCTCGGTCGGGAATGACGTTCGATCCCTCACAGTGATAGTTGCATTGTCGCCGTCTTGCTCAATTCGTTCGAGGAACATGTCTTTCAGACCGTGCTCAAGAGGAACGAGGACTCCGTTCTGCCCGTTTACATGGGGTTGTCAGTCCAGGCAGGGAAAAGACTCCGAAGATTTAGGATCGCGCGCGAGAGAAATCTGACCTCGTCTGCCCTGCGCACCGCATCCAACACAGATTCATCTTGGCCCATATCGTCCAACTCGTATTGGCTATGGATGCGATCGTCGCCAAGAACACGATTCAAGTCGTAAGCAGCCCTTTGCCCGCCGGAAGTGACTTTTGGCTGTCCGATGACTAACGTCAGCTCTTACCCTCTGCTCAAAAGGTCGCTCTCATCATGTTCAACACCCTCTTTCTCGCCTACTCTATCGTCCAAATTCTCGAAATCAAAAACCTTATCGCCAAAGGCGTCCTCCGGATCCTCGTTTGGCTCATCCCAGGGATGATCCTCATCACGCAAATCACCTACCTCGCGACCTTTTGGTTCATCTACCGCGATTTCGGGTGGCAGGTCTTCAAGAGGATCGGCGCGGATAGGGGGATCAAGAAGGCGTACATGTGGTATCAGGTCTTTCTCGTCATTCTCAAGTTTGGTGGGTGCTCTTGATTTTGCGCGCTCGATTCGACCGATTCTTGTTCTCGACTGATCCCCTCCTGACCCCTCTCACAGACGTCTTCTTCTTCCTCGCCTTCTCGCTCCAACTCGTATTCCTCGTTCTGAAGCAGAACGATGTCGAGAGGTGGTTGACCGTCGCTGCATTGCCAGCGACGACCGCGATCTTGGTCTGTGGGTATCTGGGCGTGAGGAAGGAGCAAAAATCGTTGTATTGGATCTTCACCGTCGGCTGTGGGCTGGGCTTGATCTACTTTACTTACAAGGTAAAGTTCCTGATCTCAAAATCTAAGCGCCTCTCCTTGTGTTCGGATCCTTACACTCCCCTTACCGCACAGCTCGTGCGGATCTACCAACTCCGATCAACGGACTACGTCCTCGTGTTCAAGTCGTTGACCCTCTTCGCGGCGTTGTGTTTCGCCGCGCTGGTGTGGACCATTACGACTTCGACGATCTGTTATCGCAACTTTGGGAGAGGGCTGAGGTATCATCGTGAGTCACTGTGGCGGATGGAGTCGACTTTGGCAAGATAAGGAAGAGGAGAGTGGGAATGCTCATCATATCGATTGTGGCTTCTCTGCAGTAATGAGGAATAAAGTCAAACTGGTCGACGAGAGCGAGATCGACGGGAGCAGCATCACGACGTCAGGGAACAACTACAAGCTCGAACATCGCATGAGTCTGGACTGATAGCCGATTCGGCAATTTCGTTTCGCATCCTGGCTTTCCTTCTCGAGCAAGCATCTTAAGTGTCCTTACGAATACCCCTCTCCCCTCAACCATGATTTCTTGTCCTATTCCTCTCAGTCAACGTCTCCTTCGGTTCTTTGTGGTGCTACACACTCGCCCCAACATCTTATGAAGCTCTTTCCCCCCACGCTTATTTTTTGTCCTTCGTTCGTTCGTTCGCTTTCTCACAACTTGTGCATCAATTTCCCTCTCTCTCTCTCTCCCTCCCTCTCATCCCGACATGTAGCAAAGGCAGCAGTTACCATCGCAATTTCAAAGAACACTCTCTCACATTGCGCGCGTCGACGGCCCATTGAGCGCTGCTGCGATCGATGTTTGGAACGGTCCCTTGCGCGAAAGTAGATTGCAACATCCGACGGCGCACGGAATGTGCAGCCTGGGGAAGCTGCTTGAAATGTCACCCGCACTGATGTGTGCGCGAAATGTAACCTACCTCGACCAAACAAAACCCAAGCCGTGGGAGTGTTGCATCCCACCATCCGCTTTCTAACCTGTCGTGCCCTCCTGATCCTTCCATCCCCAGCGACCTGCCAACCCATGACTTGATATCCAACAACGATGACGGCGACGCAGACGACGACGACGACGATGACAATGCCGACGATGACAAAGATGTTGTTCTAAGTGAGAAGAATCAAGTGGTGTCGTGTTGCTGAATGTTAGTCTTGGGCTGGTTGTCGGATAGACACAGCGAGGAAAGGACAGGGGAGTCCGCACCCGTCGTTCATGACAAATCGTCCCAACCCGAACAGGACAACGACTGGATGCCGTACTCTCGCCCCTCGAAGACGGAGGGGGCCACCGAGAGGATCTTTGACGCTGCGGAATTTCACCGCAAGAACATCCACCTCAAGTTCCCGTCCGTCGACTGGAGCGAGGCACGACTCGTCGTCGAAGGTGACGACGAGTGCGGCATGGAGTACCTCTGCGCTCCTCAGCTCGTGCCCGGTCTCCCTTGTCTGTCGGCGTCGAGCGCGTTGCCGATGACGGCGGAGGAGCTTCAGGAGCATCTCGATCGTGAGTAAGCGGGTCCTGCGGAGGCTCCGGACATCGATCCCCGCCGCAACCGCCACCTCTTCGTCGACTCGGGGGGCAACAAGTGGATCCGAGCCGGCGTCGTGTATGTGCAAGAGCTGCCACCGGCATACCTGAAGTTCAAAGATCAGGATGGTGAGGGACGTTTCTACACAAAGACTGTGCGGATTGAATCGCGCATGACGGTGGCATGCACCGAGGACAAACCACGAATCGTCACTCGCTCCGACTTTAACCGCAAGGAGCTCGGAGGACAAGGCGCCCAAGTCGGAGCGAGTGACGATTCGTGGTTTGTCCTCGGTGCATGCCACCGTCATGCGCGATTCAATCCGCACAGTCTTTGTGTAGAAACGTCCCTCACCATCCTGATCTTTGAACTTCAGGTATGCCGGTGGCAGCTCTTGCACATACACGACGCCGGCTCGGATCCACTTGTTGCCCCCCGAGTCGACGAAGAGGTGGCGGTTGCGGCGGGGATCGATGTCCGGAGCCTCCGCAGGACCCGCTTACTCACGATCGAGATGCTCCTGAAGCTCCTCCGCCGTCATCGGCAACGCGCTCGACGCCGACAGACAAGGGAGACCGGGCACGAGCTGAGGAGCGCAGAGGTACTCCATGCCGCACTCGTCGTCACCTTCGACGACGAGTCGTGCCTCGCTCCAGTCGACGGACGGGAACTTGAGGTGGATGTTCTTGCGGTGAAATTCCGCAGCGTCAAAGATCCTCTCGGTGGCCCCCTCCGTCTTCGAGGGGCGAGAGTACGGCATCCAGTCGTTGTCCTGTTCGGGTTGGGACGATTGGGACATGGCGCAAGTGGCGTCGTCGAGATGGGGTGTGCACACAGACTTGCAAAGGTGTTGGTCGTGAACGAGAGGTAGTATAATTGGTAAGGGCCCACCAGTGCGCCCGGTCAGGTGCTCAAGAGCGAGTGTGATGTCCCTAGCTACCGAGTGTGCCACCCCGCGGCTCGACCCGCGCACCTCCGAGTAGTAGTCGACTCACTGCCGTCAGCTGCCCGTGCACGACGGTGCATCGATGTGCAACCATACCATCCCAACGGCCGAATCATCGAATTCTCCCAGAGGAGACATTGCGCGGTTTGACAGGGTTATCGGAACTCTTTTCTTCTTCCCGGATCCAAGTGTGAGTGCGGCGGCTCCACAACTGACCTGTCGCCGAAATGGGAGAGGAGGTCTTTCTTTTGTTCGGGCTTCGCTTGACCACAGCGGGGTCGATGACTTGATGGGTCATTCGGACGGGGAAAAAACGGGATACCGAAAGGCGTGATGGATAAGCTCGATGAACATCACCTTGAAATAACCGAATCGATGCGGAATGTTCCGAAGGGTCCAGACATGGCAGCTTGTGCGTGGCCGAACCGGCAGAATTTCGAGTTGAGCCGACATCGTCGAACTGCATTATAGCCTAAAAAACCGGGGACATCAGCTGTTCTGGGCACGGAGAACAAAGAAAAAAAGACGAAACTAGCCGACAGTAGAATAATCACCCGTTGCTTGGCGCGATGTACGTTTGATGATGCCGTGGAACTCGGGTCGCTTCGACTTCGGCCGTCACCCTCGACCAAGACGTGCCCTTGCTAGATTCCACGTTTGTCCTCCCCCAAGTCGCCGGCCGTAGCTTCCACCTCGGCGTACACCTCTGATATTGTCCAAGGTAAGTTCTATTTTACAGCGTCCTATGTTTCCACATGAGCGTGCAGTCGTGTGCACATCAGTGCAATTGCTTGAAAAATGAAGACGAAACCGTACAGATCCAATTTCCGGTGTGTGCACTCTAATGCACACCACGCCGAATCCGGTGCGTCGGGGTGACTCATGACCGGCGTTACGTTTGCTGGCCGGCGCCGGAGCATTCTTGAAAATGGGTGCACTGCAACCCACTACTCGGAGAGCACATGTCTTGATTAGGTGTACACAACAAACGTCAACGACCACTCGTTCATAACAATACCACATCCGTGCATGTGAATGCAAGCGCGTGGTCGAGATCAAACCTCAGCTGGGTCGTCGTCGGTGGACCGGTGCGCTTGCACTTCGCAGTGTTTTAGCCGTACCGCAAGGTCATCCAGCTCCTGGCCAACGTGCGAGCCATTTTCCTCGAACGTCCTACGGTCGACTATACCTTTGGACTCGGCATCATGTTTGAAACGACATACCTCGTCATGATGACTCGACACGCCTTCTATGTAGCCGAAATCACCGATTGCTGGACGACAAACTTCCCGACGATGGCAGCGATCATCAATGTCCTTCTGGATCTCGACGGCCCTTCCGCTGACCTCTCAAGATATTTCGACTATAGCTACCTCGTCTCCACTTCGATCATGACCGTGAATACGCCCCACGGGTACGCGGAAAAGGCTGTCAATCAAAGTTTCTTCGGCGGCGATGCTCGTGACCTGCCAAGCATCTTCGACGGGCGCGACCAGCTCATCCCCGTCACCCGAGTCCTCGCCCGCAGCATAAACCTGCCCCACCCTACGAAAAGCGACGTCCTTGTCCTTTTCAACCTACCTCGGTTCGGGTCTGGGCGGTCCTCAAGGGATGCCGATCGGGTTGCACGCCTCGTCGGTCGAGAAAGCTCCTTACCGACGGCAGTCTGGTTCGAATGCCGCTTCGCTCGCGACCCGGATTCTTGCGAGCTCGACAGAGAAGTCGGGGCGTACGTTACCAGGCTACCTCTTAGCAATGTCACCAAAGAATGTTTGGCACTCGTTGTGCATGGCTTCAATCGGGACCCTGATACCCCCTACCTCTGCCCACTTGGTGAAAGCGACGAATTTGCGCCGAGACGGCGCGTCGACTTCTTAACGCTCGCAGCGCCGCATCCCACGCCTTGCATTCTCGCCCACAAACCAAAACCTCCGACATTACGCGAATGGATTTTTTATTTCTTTCGAGGTGTCTACAAGATGTCGTCTTTGCGCTGGCAAGTCACGAAGTATACCATGGTGCGATAGCGCCAACAACGATGCTACACGTGGACGGGGCACCAGTGCTCTTTGACTTCAGCTGTGGACGTTATCCTGAAAGCCGTAGATTGGCGCACCCAGTCCAGGTCAACGTGGATTCCACACCATTGCAATTTCTGACGAGCAGAGCTTCAGGCCAAGATGGTCGTCATCGCGAACGCGACTGTTCGGAACGTCTTCCAGCAAGCCGAATCTGTAGTGTGGACTGCACTCGCCGGTGTGCTTTCTCACTGCCCGAGGAAATTCAAGCTCGACAGAATGTTGACCAACCTCAGGTTCGACGAAGCAGCACCCGAGGACCTGGAATCCACGAGAAGTTCTATGCTGTCTTTCGTCATGTATACCGTTCGATTCTCCTGCTATCTGCATTTCATACTCCCGTTCATTTGGGGCCCAACAGGAGGAGAGAGATCCGATCTAAACGAGGCGAGCTCAGTCAGTGGTCCGAACTGCCAGTGCACGCGATCACGACCCACCAAGCCCGGCAACGACTCGAGCTGACAACAGCGTTGCTCTCGCTCGGGTCTGTGCACGCTTGGTTCGGACCAGGGGGAACGGCGAGCCAGAGGGACGCAGATTGTAGAATAATTGCGTGGCCAGGTTGGTGTCACGTGATGGAGATTCGATGGTTCTGTCAAGCATTCGCGTCATTTGGACCAAGACGGAAAAAGAAAAGGTGAAAAGTGGCCCCTAACCACTCCGGCTCAATTGTTCGAACTCTGCCGCCCAGCCAGGAGACCCCTGGGCCATGATCAATTTCCAAGCCGACTCGATTGGATTCGATGGACTCATAAAGAGCCGTGTCAAGTGAGGGCGATAGGTGAATTCAGCCAGGTGGTACTTGCATCCAGAGTGTAGTCGATCTGCTCGTGCGGGGGAGTCTTCTTCTCCCTCCTAGAGCATCCGCAGGATCCGGAGCGTCACTCGGCGTCAGGGGCCGTCTATGCTGATGTCCCTGGGGCCATTCTCCTGTTGCAGTGGTGATGTTCCACCTCTCGTTCCTCTCACCTGCCTGTGACTTGCTTGCTTCGCTGGCGGACGTTCGCTTCGCAGTGTACACGACCCCGGTCGGACGTCCAAAGTGATCTGGCTCTCGCTCATCCTCGAACTGTTTCCTGACCCGCGGTCCGATCGCCGTGGTGGCCGCCGCCGAGTTCTTGAACATTGTAGTATTCGAGCGTATTACAACTCTTAAGACTCGGGTCAAGGTTATCGCTATTGATTATCTATAGAAAGCAACTCAATCTTTTTTAAGATCGCTCGGCCTGCAACTCCTTTTCCGTGTATTTCTGCGAGACGTGACCTTCGGGCAAATCGTTGAGGTGTTCTTCGTCGGCATCCAATTCGCGGAACGAGAGGTGGAATCCGATCCCGGCGATGAAAGACAACACACCCATCACGCCGTAGTTCCAGATGAGGAGGGGGTCGCTCGATAAGGCGAGGAACGCCTCGCCGAGGGCGGAAGAGATCGCCGACGTGAAAAGGAAGACAGCGGTGACGAGCGAACGCATCGACTTGGGCGCTTTCGTGTAGGCGATTTCGAGACCGGTGATGGAGGCGAAGATCTCGGACAGCGCGATGAAGACGTAAGACGGAGTCTGGTGAGAAGAAGGTCGGATCAGAACTCTGGAATAAGACTTGATCATGTAGGCCCGACTCGTGCTTACCTGAGCCCATACGTTGATGGGAGCGAACTCTTCGCAAGTGGCGGCCTGGTATCCGCAGGGGGATTGCTTGTAGATTTGCCATTGGACGATCTAGATCACCGTGGTGGAGAAAGAAGGGTCAGCATAGAAATGGCTGCGCAAAAAAATCACCGTGTTGCTCAACTTACAGCAGCGCAAAGCATGGCCAGAGCACCGATGAGGAAACCGGCAGTGATGCGCTTGATGGGGGTGAAGCGGATACCGTACTTGCGCAAGGCGGGGTAGACGAGCAAGTCGCAGACCGGAATGAGGATGACGAGCGCGAAGGGGTCCAAGTTGGACAAGACATCGTTGGGAAGACCATGGGTTTGCATCGTAGCCGCTTGTGACACGAGGTTATTGTTGCATTGGTTGTACGTTAGCCACCAGATGGGGTACCACACGAACACCTTGCACGCCTTCAGTCCACGCCTCAGCTCATCCACGTAAGCGTCGTCAAAGGTCATCCACCCGGGCCGTTGCTCGACGGGGATGTTGGAGGGCTTAGCGGCCTCCCAGAAGTCGTTGGCCATGAGCCTCTTGGGCTGGGTCCACTTGCCTCGACCAGCGAATCGAATGACGCGCATCGACTTGGAGAGAACCGAACCGTTGGGAGGAGTCTTGATGTAGCGGTTGCGGCCGATCCACAAGATGACGGGGCAGAAGAGGAAGACCAAAGTCGGCAGGAGGTACGAGAGCCAGAAACCGACGCGTTTCTCGGCGTAGACCATGCCGATTTGTCCAACCAAAGCGCCAACATTCACCGAGAGGTAGAAGTACATGTAAACGCGAGATGCCGTTAGGATGGGGTCGACGAGAACGCGCTCGCCGTTTTTGCGCGTCTCGACTCGGAGGGGTCCCACAGCGGACTGTTCGGCAATCAGGGGCGAGATGTTGGACTTGAAAGCGCCGGTTCCGATACCCATGATGATGATGGCGACAACAAAGATACCTGAGGTTTTTTGTGGAATTCAGCTATTGACCTTCTGGCACAAATATTGAGCGCTCCCGCGAGGCGGCTTCCGCACTCACCGAGCGCCGTGTCGGGCTTGGCGATAACCGAAGGGATCGCTGAGACGGTGAGAATGACGTGGCCGATCAAGGCGACAAGAACGGCCCAGCAGATCGTCTTGTAACGTCCAAGGTAGGTATCGGCGATGTAGGCACCGAACAGCGGCGTGACGTACACCCAGAAGGAGTTGAAGGTTGTCAAACCGGTCGACGCGCGTTGACCTTTGCCGAGAGCTCCTGAGACCTGGTTCGCGGTTGACGAACCCGTGGTCGAGCCAGCGGGGAGCTTTTGTTGAATGAAGCTGGGAGGGGTTTGCACAAAGTCAGTTTCGCAGGTCGCAAAATGAAAGACGAAAGCAAATCACACGTACTTCGTAAAGACAACGGTACTTCCACTGTGCGATTGAGAGCGAGCAGAAAAAAGATGCCGGACGAAATAACTCGGTCAGACACTGTGGTAATGTACTGAGTGGGCGTCCGACCAGCGGTATGCTTCGAACGTACTAGTAGGAAAAACGCTCAGCCTGAGTAGAGTGGAAAAAAAAAGGAGAAATAGCGGGCGAGTCAGCAGGGATGCCAGGAAATAGGTGGGGGCACAACGGACAAAGCACGACATCTGAGACATCACAAGTGGATGTAGCGGAGAGCGGACTCACGAGTTCGATGAAACCACTGCAATGAGGAAGTGATCAAAGTGTAAAGCGTGCGGGTTTTGCGAACGAATTAGTCATCTTTGTCATTTCGCGGCACCCAAGCGCGGCTCCGTCGCAGGTGGCAGGAAGAAGGGGCAAAGCGCCTTCCGAATATCGCCACCTGTCGAAGCAAAGGACTCAGGAGGAGATTGGGACGCACATGAGGAAACTGGCAATGGGGACGGGTGCGGGGACTCGACGCAGATTGACCTTGTCTTCCTCCGTCGGGGCGTCAGAAGCGATCGCGGCGGTAGAAGCCTCGAAAGAGTCGGACCGCTTGGGACTGCCATATGACGCAGGGGCCTTTTCCGAGTTGGCGAACCGCTTCTGCTGGAGCGCTTCGTCATGAGTGGCGAAGGCGAGTCCTGCCACTGCGGCGTCGGTTCCGTGCACACCAGCCATGATTGTTCTGAAAGGGATGGTGGGTCGAACAAGAAGCGTGTGGATAGGTCAAAAGTCAGCAACCAATGGGCGTGCGATGTTCCAACAGTCTCGGCGACGCTGGCAGCGGCTTGCGAAGCGCGTCACCGGTAGACTTCGACTGCAGATTGCCGAGGTTGTGGCGCGCTCGTCGAGTTGCCGAGGAAGGGAAAACAGTCCCGACGTACTATATGGTCTCGTCGAGAGAAGCGACGTGAAAACCGACGTGAAAGTAGTATTGTCGCCTTATTCCAGTGTTGTAGTATCGATTGATCCTGGTGTTGGCCACCTGGGAAGAGTCGATTGTCGAGCAGTGAGGGGTGACCAAGATAGAGAAAAGGAGTAGCCTGACTCGCGGGCTTCATCTCGGCAAGCTCCGTGATGGCGGCATCGAGCATTATTAAGCCGAGAGCGTTGCGCCATGGGCGAACCGCGTGCTTCTAGCATTTAAGGAACAACTACGATCGCTCCCTACAACGAGTCGTTCCCTACAAGCCCACATGCAACTGCGGGTTTGCCCTGGTGTGGAGCGGCCGCACTTGGAGCCCCGCCGCCAGACGACTTTGTGTCGGGGTGTCGACTCTCGAGTCATGGCACGGATTGTCGCCGTTTCCACTGGTCGCGGATTGAACGCCAAGACAAATGCCGCCAATCGCACCGCGCGCTACTGGCTGCGCTAGGGCCGTGAGTGACAAATCCGATGCCTATTTTTGGTCACGCAGTCTCAGACTACTCCGAGGGCAGCAAACAGCAATCCACTGATATCCACCTGAACAAGGGGCAACACAACAGCTCCTCCCGTGGAATAAAGTTTCGCTGGGACGACGGCTAGCCGATGTGCACACTACGCTCACGATAAAAAAAGTCGCCCGTGGGGCCTCCGTGCTAAAAATCTCAGCGCTCCTATATGTGATCACGTCAGCTTTGAGACCGAAGTTAAAGGTGGTATGCGTACTCAGGGGCTACTATGGCGCAATCATATATCTCAACGTCGGCCGAGCTCGGCTCAGTTGAACTTTTGCACCGTCTTATCCCCCGCTGAGCTTGGAGAGCGGAGAGCTTCAGAGCACACCAACTTGAAGCGTAGATAGAGAGCTCTCATCCGAAAAGTCTAGACACTGCATGAACTCCTCGGAGAACTTGGAGATAAGCCGAACTCTACCGAAGGACCGCGCGGGGTGTTGCGCTCCAATTCCTCCCACACGGCTTGCCGGCCAGGCGCGCCGATCGCTTCTCGAATCACGACTCGAGCTAGCTAGACAGCTAGAGTGCGAACAAGAGTGCGCTGCAGAGTTACCGCCTGTAGCTATATGCGACAAGATACAGCCTTAGTGTGAAGTTGCTTCCACCAGGCCGAATCATTTCCACTTTCCGCGTACATCATCGCGGCCGCCTGCCGCCGGGACTCGGACCGATCGGGCCTCAGGTTTGCGGTGGCGGCCGCACCGCCCTGCATTCGCCGAAGCCTGTGCAGAGACAAACATCCATGCTGATACTAGGTAGCGCTTCAGAAGCAGGGTGCAGAGGGGTTATCTGGCTCAGAGGGCATAGGCTTCCCGACTGCGACTCGTCTGGTTTTCGGAGCCGCCCGAACAAGAGTGAGGGAGGGCGATCCGCAGCAGATGAGAGCCGTCTGTTGTGGTTCGCGAAGGCGAGACCAACAAGTGCTTGCTGCCGTTGATCGAATGAGGGGCCACCCTCTGCCTATCAACCCACTCGAGTCCTTCTTTCGCAGCCTGAAGTCGCTCGGCCCTCCTTTGTTCTGTACATCAGCCTCGACGGGTCGATCTTGGACGTACTTCGCAGCTCTCAAGGTCAGCGAGAAGCCGAAGCGCCTGTTCCTCAGTTTACTCTAGTCCAAACAATATTGCAGCAGCAGATCCCCACGGGCTCCGAAAGAAAGAAGAAGAATGACAAAGTAGAGGTCAAGGGGGACGGGGGACTGGGGGTGGGGGGCGGGGGGTAGATGATGGCTTTCTTTCTTTACGACTTGTAAAGGGACCTCTTGATGACCTTGACGATGATATCGGTCGTAGGGAAAGCAAAATCCTCGAGCACTTGAGCGTACTGCAAGTTGAGCATTGGATCAAGACAGTGAGTTTCAGATCAGTCACAAGGATAGGGCGAATGCTTGTGATACGCACGGGAGTGGGGAGATCGGCACCGGTGACTCGCTCGACAGGTGCGTCGAGGTAGCTGAAGGCCTCGGACTCGACAACTTGCGCGCAGCTGGAGAGTACGTAGTGACCAAGGATCAGCACGAGGATAGTCATGCTCCACCGTATCATCCGATCACGTACATTTCGGATCCAACGCCGAACGCAGGGAAACCACCCTCAACGGTCACAAGCCTGTACATGAAAGGGTGGTGGATTGTCATATCAGCCAAGTAGTTATTGCAGCGACCCATCACCCTCGTCAACATACCTGTTTGTCTTCTTGACACTCTCGATGATAGTCTCAATGTCCAACGGCCTGATACTCCTCATGTTGATGACCTCAACCTCGATGCCCTCCTCCTTCTTCAAGATCTCCGCGGCTTCAAGCGAAAGGCCGACCATGCGCGAGTGAGCGACGACGGTCACGTCCGTACCCTTGCGTTCGATCTTGGCTTTGCCGATCGGGAGCAGGAAGTCGGTCGATTGCGCCTCCTTCGAGACGGGGAAGTTTTGACCGTACAGGATCTCGTTTTCGAGGAAGACGACCGGATTGGGGTCACGGATGGCGGCCTGGGCGCGCAGATTGCATTCGAGTCGAGAAAAGATGGCCATGAGCTTCTAGATCTCACAGGTTCGGATAGGCGATACAGCACCCACCTTGAGGAGACCACGGCAGTCCTCGGCACTGTAGGGCGACACGACCTTGAGACCGGGGATTTGACCGTACCAAGCTATGACGTGAGGATGAGCCTGTCAGATCCAGGCCATTCACAAGCCTTGACAGAGAAAATAACTGACAAGCGTAGTCTTGCGAGTGCTGAGCACCGACACCAGCGGCGGCACCGTTGGCGCCTCGGAAGACGATGGGGCACGGCACGTTACTTAATCGAGAAAGCAAGAGCCATATATCAGCCAAGAGCAAAGAACGAGTTGCATTGTCGTCTGTACGTACCCTCCGGACATGTAGTAGGTCTTTCCTGCCGAGTTGACGATTTGATCGATGGCTTGCATGGCAAAGTTGAAGGTCATGAACTCGCAGATGGGCCTTAATCCGGCGAAGGCGGCACCGACGGCCAAACCCGTAAAACCAGCCTCGGTAATCGCTGTGGAATGAAACGCGGAGATGGAACATGAGCAACGGTGATCGGGACCGGATCACGTGGTGGAGACCGACTGACGTGTATCGATAACTCGCTTCTCGCCGAATTTGTCGAGCAGACCTTTCGTGACCTGAGGTGACAAGTCGTGGAGTCAGTCTATGTGAGCGTTTCTGGTTGGAAAGGTGACTGGGATCAAGACTAACCTTGTAGGCACCGTTGTATTGAGCGACCTCCTCACCGAGGATGAAGACGGTCTCGTCTCGGATCATCTCCTCCTCCATCGCCGAGTTCAATGCCTCACGGACGGTCATCTGCAGTGAGGATGCAAGGAAGTAGAGCCCATATCAGTCCTTCTGATCCGCCCAAAGTTGGGGGGCGAACTAATATTGCGCTGTTGGATCCGGGCGGGCGAGGGTGGGCGATCAGGGGGAGTGCGTGGAGCCAACGGCCCGTCGATGCCGACGCGACCCCCATAGAGCATGAATCCGTGTCGCCAAGCGCTCCAAGCCCTGCGGTCCAATTGCCGATGATCTCAAAGATATCATGCGATGACATCGGCGTCGGGATCCTCACGATGCGACGCTGGGTGATGGACATCATAGCGGATCACTCCGTGGCCGGCGGGGCTGCTTGTTGGCTATCGTCGGTTGCGGAGCTTGGGGGAGGAATGGCGGATGGGTGGGGGGGAGACAATTCCGAGCGAGAGACACGTGTCGGATTGGAGGAACCCTATCCCAGTGCAACCCAAAAGCATGCGCTGAAACCGACCTGGATGGACCCATCGTTGGAAGCGTCACTCGAGGCGAATCGCTTGTTGATGAGCTGGTTCGCAACGGTGGAGCGCGCCGAGGTCTTGAGGCCACGAGTTGCGGCGGCGAATCGCGCGGTCGATGTCGACGGCGAGGGGCGCACGACCGAACGCAACAGCTGCTGGGAGGCTCGCAGGGAAGACATGCCTGGCGGGAAGAGGGGGAAGGCGGGTGGGACGGACGGAGGTGGGCGGGAGAGAGGAGGATCACGATGCCGGCCGAGGGATACGACGTCGCGCTTTCCGAGCAGTCGCCTCGCGAATCGATCCGTTGGGTCGAGGAGGGTCGAGCCATTGCTTGCCTGCAGCTCCGCCTGCTCGGCCTGAGCGCCTCAGCCTGCCTGAGCCACTGAGCCACTGAGCCACTGAGCCACTGAGCCCGTGAGCCGCTGCACGCGCCAGTACGCCGGTACGCCTTGCCGCACGGTCCGAGCACTCGAGTTGTCCAAGCGTTACATACGACTCGTCCCCGCCTCGCAGTTCGCCCCCCCCCCCCCCCCCACTTGCTTGCACCGGACCGACACGACACGACACGGCTGGCCTTCTCTTCTTCATTCCTCCGCAATGGAAACTCTCTCGGAATCAATGGCGACCACCTCGACTAAAACGCTCGATACACCTTCTCTGAAACGCACGCGTGGTCAATCCCTGCTCGACGACTTTGCCGGCTTTCGAACCGAGTTGGATGCTCATGTCGGTCTCTCGCTTCCTGCGATACGGGACCGTACATCCCGCCGGATGAGCTGATGTCTGCGCTTTGACCCGGCTCGAACTGTAGCAAGACCGAAGGGAACGAGTGATCAAGACCTCGCGTGACATCACTGCGCTGTCCAAGAAACTCATCTTTACCCTCCATCGGTACGTCTCGGCCGCTCGGGTTCATCATGGAAACGCACAGACACTAAATGCTGACAGAAAACCAAATAACTTTGTAGAATCACCAACACCCCTCGCGCTACAGTCCTCAAAGAAGCCGAGGCCAAGATCGCGCAACTGAGAGAGCTCTTCATCAAGGTGCACGTTGAGGTCCAAGGCGATCAATTCTGGAGGTACGTCCTAGACAAGAGAACTTGTGTAAACGTAATCTTGGCTGAACCGTTGCTTCTCAATCCTCACCACAGATACGAGAAAGCGATTTCACCAGGAATGCAGGAATATGTTCGTCTTGCGAAGTCGTGCTCTTTCTGAACGAGCTTTGGGTTCGCTGACCTAGTGCCTCTCTACACAGCTCGAGGGATGGACTTTTTATTACTACATACTCCACCGAAGGATTCCGACTCTTTCCGAAGCTCAGGCTTCCCTACTACCGCCTCTTCCCGCCGAATCCTCCGAATCCACAACCACACCCTACGAACGACCCCCCTTGGTTCGAGTCACAGGAGAGGATTATCTAGGGGGCATCGCGGATCTGACCGGTGAATTGATGCGTTTGGCCATTGCTTCGATTGGCAAGTCATTGGCGGCTGCGACGGCCGCGGCCGGTGGAGACAAGGGGGAGGATATCGATGATCTCGGGAGGTTGGTGAGGGCTATGAAAGGAGGTGAGTCGGAGCACGCAATTGTCCATCGAGCTTCGGGCATGGGTGATTTACATCTTTTATCTGGGCGTACGCAGATTTGGATCCACTTGCACCTTACGCACGGTGGCTGGGCAAAAAATTGGTCGTGCTCGATCAGAGCTTGAGCAAGATTGAACTCGGTGCGGTCGCACCTTCGCATATCGACCGCGTGCTCCATGATTGCTGACCTTCTCCTCCTTACACTGTAGCTTCTTATAATCTCAAGGTACGAGGCGCCGAGTTCCCAGACGCCCAACCTCGGTGGACCGAATCCGACGATCGAGATTCAGCCTTGGAAGCTTATTGAACCGTCCGCGGCGAATAAGTGTGATGCAAATGTAACGCTTGCCATGCAAAACTAAGATGGAGCTCTCAAGCACTACCAATTCGACTGCTCTACCATACTCAAACCACGTTTAGGCACCAAAGACCTTGACTCGGCTCTCGAGAGGTTGGAACGTCTTCTCGCCGGCGGGAGCCTCAACTTTGCCGAACACGAGTTGCGCCTTGAGTTCCCATCCTTCGGGGATGTCAAACTCCTTTTGAACGTCGGCGTCCAAAAGAGGGTTGTAGTGTTGTAAGTTGGCGCCGAGACCTTCGAGCTCGAGCGCGACCCACAAGTTGGAAGCGAGGATGCTGAACGAATATAGAGATCAAGGACGAGTTAGCTCGGAAGATCACAACTCGGAACGAGAGGCTTTCTTTCGGCTTACCCATGAGCATGGTCCGCCCATAGCGGGAATTTGTCCGCGTACATGGGCATCTTCTCCTGCAGACCCTTGACGACGTTCTTGTCCTCGTAGAGAAGGACCGTGCCGTGAGCGTTCTCGAACCCACTGACGCGTTGCTCCGATTGGGGCCACGCTTCGGCGGGGACGATCGCCTTGAGCGCCTTCTTGGTGAATTGCCAGACCTAAGAAATTGGATCGTCATTAGCATACGAGGCCATGTCGTCGTATTTTGAAGAACTTGAGCCAGTGCTTACCTTCTTGTGCTCATCGCCTGGAGGAATAGAGGAGATGAGGAGGGAAGACACACAATACTCGATCAGTTCGACGCTCTTTCCGGATCAACTTGCCTGAAGGCTACTCCGAGGACGATCCGGAGAAAGCGGAGACTCACCAAAGACTACAACGGCCCTTGAAGACTGCGAGTTGAACGCCGTCGGCGAGTGCTTGACGATTTCATTGACAATCTCCACAATCTGGGAAACGTTGCGAGAGGAACTCGCATCAGTGAACGACGCTCCCACTTCCGAGCGACGAGCTTTCCGGATCTGCTCGACCCCAGCCCCTGAGGCTTGGACTGACCTTCGAGTTGGGGACGGGAGAAGAGGCCGACAAGGCGTAGACGGTGCGACGGGCAGTCAAAGAGGAGATGAACTTGGAAGACATGATGCTTATTTGAGGATGGGTGGCTGAAGGTGAGAGTGCGGATCGAGATTCGACGGTCACTGGGTCAGCTTGGGGCCGCTGCAGCTGCGGAAATTGGTCGCCCACGAGTTGGGGTCTGCCGTCTCCGAGCGCGAGCCGAGGTGGGCACGCCGAGTGGACCGTAAGAAAGATTGAGCGAGAAATACTCACTCACCTTGGGTTAAGAAGGGTACGAGAGGAATGTTTCAAAGGTGTGAAGAGATGTGAACTGAAAGAGGAAGAAAGGCAAGCTCGGTCAGATGCAGAGTGGGCTTGACACTTATGTCCGAACTCGCGAAGTGATCGACGGTCAAGGAACCGAGTGGAAACTGGAAATGAGGTGCTTACAGCGGATCCCGTCAGCCTGCGTCAGCATGGGCGCTGCTGAATGAGGCGCTGGGTTGCCTAAAACGAGCCAAGTCGGACTGCCAGTGTGCGCGCCGACTCGGACGCCCAGCTCCTAGTGGCAAGTGCTGTCGGGGGACAGCCAGATACGTCTACTTGATTTGATTACAGATCAAGTTGACCCTATTCCGAGTCAGCGGTGACAAGTGGTGTGCCACAGTGACACTGTCAGACATGCCGAGTCGACTGAGGCCGACTCTTAGTCTACTCTTAGCCGAGCGGCGGCCGTCCAAAATACATTCTGAAGCGGTCCGTGCGAGCCGCTCTGCCAAACTGCACTGTTCTGCTTGCCTTTCTCAAGCCCTGCGAGCGCATACTGCTGGCCCCTGGACTCCTTCCCGACCCTAAACGTCATCAAGAACTACAGTGAGTTGGCTCGGGGAACTTGTTTCTTTCTTCAGATTGGGCCTCTCTTGCTAATACGACTCTTCCTGCTCTCCACTTGCTGTTACCCTCTGTCACGTCCCTTGGCGCCGTCGCGTTCGCAACCGAACTCACGCTCCCTCTGCCCTGCCCTCTGACACCTACACCTACCGACACCCCTCCACCAGACATGAGTCTTTCCGATCTCATCGCCTCGGTCGTCGACAACCAGGACGGCTTTGGCCCCTCGGCCGAGCATTTGCCTGCTCAATACAAAGAGTGCGTTTCATGCGTTTCACCCCTCCCCTTCTCTCCTCCTCGAATCTCGAGGCCGTCCACCAACTCGCATCACACACACTGACCCTCGTTCGTGTACGAATTTGGTCACAGTATCCCGTATGCACCCTTCTCCAAGAACGACAAGCTCGGTCGCATCGTCGACTGGAACATGGATGCGTCGACCTCGGGTGGTCAATCCGGCGCAGGGCAACGACGACCCGGTCAAACCGCCGGCGCGGGCAAGTACGGTCGCGAGCCCAAGGAGGCCTTCGGCGCCTCGAGTGCGGGCACGTTCGCCTACTTCCACGACGAGGACGAGGCCAGCTTTTCGCTCGTCGACGGTAGCAAGAGCGCCGCGTCGAAGCGGGGTGGATCCGCCGGTGGTGGACTCGGCAATCTCGGACGATCGAACCAGAACAATCGCGGGGGAGGGCGAGGTGGTAACCGAGGTGGAGCCGCCGGTGCACGGGGCGGACGAAACGCCATGCAGGGCGGTGGTCGTGGTGGCCAGGCCGGAGGACGTGGTGGGCGAGGCGGAGGACAGGGTGGTCGCTTCGGATGGCGAGATTGGAACAAGGAGCAGCGAACACGAGACGCGAGCGTCGTCATCGGCGCCGACTGGCAGGTGCTCGAGGAGATTGAGTTCTCCCGCCTCGGCAAGCTGCGCCTCGACGTCGACACCGAAGACCCGGAAACGATCTCTTCGCACGGTTTCCTTTACGAGTACGACAAGACCTACGACCGTGTCACGACCAAGAACGAGAAGCCGCTACAGATCATCGAGCGCATCCGCTACAACCCAACCACGTCCGACGATCCCATCATCCAGGACCTCGCCGCCCACGGCAAGGCACAGATCTTTGCGACCGACGCCATCTTGGCGATGCTCATGTGCACGACCCGAACGGTTTACCCGTGGGACATTGTGCTCACGCGCGAGGGCGACAAGCTCTTCATGGACAAGCGAGAGGGGGCCACTTTCGACTACCTGTCCGTCAACGAAAACGCTGCCGATCCTCCCCTTGATGGCGAGAAAGATACGCTCAACTCTCCCTCGTCGCTGTCGCTCGAGGCGACCTACATCAACCAAAACTTTGCGTTCCAAGTTGTGCGCGAACACCCGGACGCGAGGATCGAGCTCGAGCACCCCAACCCTTTCTACTCGTCGGACGAGACCGAGCCGCTCGCCTCGTGCGCCTACCGCTACCGCTTGTTCGATCTCTCGACGAGCGAGGACGAGGACGTACAGATTGTGGTCCGAACCGAGGTTGACTCGTTCGTCCGAGGCGCGAACGCCAACGAGGACAACACGTACATCACGTTCAAGACCCTCAACGAGTTCGATTCGCGCGCACAAGGCTCGGGTGGGGCACCCGACTGGAGGAGCAAACTCGACAGCCAACGAGGTGCCGTTGTCGCGACCGAGATGAAGAACAACTCGAGCAAGCTCGCCCGATGGGCCGTCTCGAGCATCCTCGCCGGTGCGGAGCAGATAAAGATGGGTTACGTCTCGCGAGCGAACCCGCGCGAATCATCGCGTCACACCATCTTGGGCACGCAATGGTACAAACCCCGCGACTTTGCTGCCCAGATGAACGTCAACCTCTCGAATGGGTGGGGTATCGTGCGGACCATCGCCGACCTGTGCTTCAAGCAGCCCGACGGCAAGTACATCTTGCTCAAGGATCCCAACAAGGTGCGTTTAAAGATCACGTTCGTCAACAGTTTTATTCTGGCTTCATGAAGCTGACTTCTTGCTTTTTGAACGTGATCTCACAGCCCGTTATCCGATTGTACGCTCTTCCCGAAGGCGCTTTCGAGGGTGAGGATGAGGACGAGGCAGCTATCGCCGCAGGGGGCGACGATCAATCTCAGGACGGTGGAAACTAAGTGTGCCGTGCGGGTTGTAGGGCTAGAATGATGCCTGAACTGGTTATGCAATACATACAGTTGGACTGTTCTTTCTCTGTGCCTCGGTAATGTTCGATGCCCCCTGGCTTGCACACGACGAGTGAGAATTTCTCTTGGAGGTTTATTCGGCACCTTGGCAAGAGAGGGGTGCCCGCTGCGCGCCCTCTTTTCCCGAATGATATGGCGTCCACCGCAGTAGGCGGGATGGATACGCGCAACGCTTTGTCTTAAATCGCGCAGAATGAGATATACGTTGACGATAGTACCGTGATGTTAGGCTCCAAGGCAAGACGTCGTAAGTTATGATTGCGCGTGGCCGGGGATGAATGGACAGCTCCGACTGTGACCGCAAGCGCTTAACCCTTCTGTGCGAGTCTACAACGCTGCTGGTTATCGCCTCGCCGGGGAAGGTTGCAATCACGGAGAAGAACTTAACTTCATCTTTTTCACCACTCCTTTGATATATCGCGCGGATTGATTGAAAGCCTCGTCACATTCGTACCCGGACGGCGTCGGAGACCGACAAGGACAGCGAGGACGTGATAAGTCGTGACTATAAAGGGGTCGACGTGTTATCTTGCCATTTTTCAAACCACAACAATGATTCGAGCTAATCTAAAACGATTTGCAGTGATCTAAATTGATCCGCAGGCGGGCGAGCGAATTATATATGCATCAGCCTCTCCACCGGCCGGCGTGTGATAGGTCATCCTGAGCCTCAGACTCTACCTAGCAGGTGTGTACGGACCTTGCCGACGTTCCCGAACCTGTGATCAAGCCAACCCTGTGCCAGGGAAAATGCTTTCGCAGCGATCAGAGACGCGAATTTGACGCCGAAGACTCACTCGACTGCGTTCCCTCGTGTACTAGCTCGAGAGCTGCTGATGAGGAGTCGTCATGAGCTTGAGCGTTAAGTTGAGCCCAAGGAAATCACACCTCAGGTCCTGAAGTTTCCCTATCCTGTGTTGGTAGGTAGTTTTAGTAACCTGGATATGAAGGAGGATATAAAGGAAATACGACCTGTAGCCGTAAAGCGTGATTAGGACCTGTTTTGGCTTGGCCGAAAGCGGGGGGCGAGCGGAGGCGTACGCCAACGTGTCTGCAGCGAGACGCACGCCCGTCCCCTTTCGATTACGATGTTTTTTGGTCGAGCGATGTTTCTTGGTCGCGCGGGGGCGGAACTTGCCGCAGCAGCAGCCGGTGCAGGCGGATTACCTACCTACTAGGTACTATCTTATATTCAGGTACTCAACCCCAATCGGGGCCCGAAACTAATATTGAAACCCAAGCTGAACGCGCCGGTCCAAACCTGATAACACGAACGAGAAGGCTACAGTATGTGGGTGTGTCTCAGAATCTGGTGGAGGGTGAGAGCAACGACGAGCTGTCAGGACTCGCGATTAGACATGTTTCGATGCAGGGCTCCCGGCCCTGAAGCTGACGAGTAGCTGACGCGAGAAATTGCTCCCGGAGCGCTGCGCCCGCCCCGCGTCCGCGCGTTTCTCCCAAGGAGTCAGAGAGTACCCTAGAGTACCTGCGCGTTGGTTATCGGAACGTCGGCCGGCTCTCCTTTCAGACCAGTCTCTTCGACGTCACCTGATCCCAGGACACCTCTTTGCCCCGGTGAATGTGGCTTCAGTGATCAACTCGATCCCTTCGTTCGACTCGACCCTAAAGCTACCGCTTGCCAGACGCGCCCGAGCATGGCCGTCGTCACGCCGTCGCGCCGGCTCGCGGTGCTCTCGGTGCTGCTCGTCGTGGCACTCGTTGTGTCGTTCAGCGCGTCGAGCAAACAAACGCTGCGAAAGCTGGCTTCGGCCAGTGTACGGTACGTCCACTTCCAGCTTGAATGACCCACGAGCATGGAGGCGCCGAGCGACGCATTCATTGGATTGACCATACCCTGAGTTGGCGCGTGTCTGTAGAGCCAAGTTCGACCGATTGACGGACTCCGAAACGGTGGACGAGTTGATCCGACCATTCCCCTTCATCGAGCGTGATCCGGTCTCGACGGATGAGACGACCGCGGTACCACTCGTTCAGGCCATCGCCGAGTTCAATCTCTTGGATCAGAAGAACCGACCGACGCAGTTCAACCTCAGCCTCTGCAGCATCGCGACGCACGAGGAAGAGTTCCTCGTCGAGTGGATCACGTGGCACCGCTTGCTCGGAGTTGGTGAGTGCTCGTCCTCGCTTCGTGGCTGAACTCACAAGTTGCAAAGTGGCATATGGGACTTCCATACTGAATCCACCCTTACCTGAACATCATCTGAGTGTAGAGCGGATATACTTATTCGACAACAAGCCGACACTCGGGATGCGCAAGCTTTTACGACCGTGGCTCGAAGAGGGCAGTGTGGTCCTGTACGAGCTCAACTATCCAGGTCAGTTCTGTTTTGTACTTTGAAGAGTGCGACTCGCGTACTGCTCCGCGGGGACTCGCTGACACTTCTTGGGCCCCGACGCTGCTTCACCAGACGACGTCCTTGTTGGAGCTCATCATCGTGACGACCTGCTGAGGCTCTGCGAGCGTGAGGTCCTTTCCACCTCTCTCTGGGCGGCTCACATCGACGTCGACGAGTTCCTCGTGCTAGATTCGGCATCGAGCAAAGCCCAAGTTCCGAGACCAAGCACATCTCGGAAATTGAGCCAGGTCGAGCTGAACAACTGGGATTACCCGCTGCACCACCTGCTCTCCCACGAGCTAAGAAATGCGACCTGCGTGCCGATCCCCAGGATCACGTTCACGAACGTGGGCGTACGAGATATCGGTATGGAATACGTGACGGAGAGACACGTCGTTCGGGAGAAGAAGGATCCCGGTAGGAAAACTTGGGGAAAGGTCAGTCGCTCGGTGCTTCGGATCGCTAGATGCTGGGACTGTCAAATGGTGAATATTTACCTCTTATGTAATTTGCCCCTCGTACTTCCAGATGCTGCTTCAATGGCCGGACCCGAATGTACGGCGCCCGGCGTCGTGGTGGGGAGCACACAGCTGCCAGGCCTCGAATGGCGACCGCCCGGAAGCCAACATCATCATGGACGCGCTCGGGAATCGACTCAAGCCTCCCAACAACATCTACCCGATGAAAGGCCTGGTCCTTCCCGACAACTCATTAGGCATCAACCACTACGCGCAACGATCGCTCGCGAATTGTATCGCGAAAGCCGAGGTAGCCAAAGACGTGCACACGGATTGGCGGGCGATCGAAGGACCCCTCGGGTGCGCGTCTCATTACGTGCCGACCGAGCAAGAGTTGAAAGGGGACGAACGCAAGCGCATTCTGGAGCACGAAAAATACGGCGCCGAGCTGCTCGCGTCGCCAAAGGAATTGATCGAGGACGGCATCTTTGAGGATATGGCCGCGAGCGAAAGCTGGGAGGGGAGGATGACTCGGGCGATCCTGGACGAATGGAGGAGACAATCGTCGAAGCGGGCTTGGCCTTGGGAAAGTATCAAGTGGGATTGGAAGGAACACGAGGTTTCTCAAATTGGGATTCGGGTGGTTTCTGCCCCCGTCAGACAAGGCGACTGAGGACCACTCGGCGCAGCGTCTGGTAGAGCGATAACTTTATAGGGGTCCGTATTGAACTATTTTCATTTTTTTTCCCGTCGCTAGGGCGGAGATGGTCACATTAGTATTGCATTTTCTGTAACAGTTTGATCTTTTCAAGAAGCCCTGGACGACATCCCATCGGCACCCGTATATTTTGTGCCCAGCAACACGCCCTTGATACTATCAACGTCGCCGGGCGGATCACCGAGGGTCGCTTTCAAGGACCTGCGACGATCCCATGTGTGATCGATAGACAGACGATCTTCAATTTCGCCGTGCTGTATGATCGCTGCTCGGTCGAAATCTACACCCGCTCCCGCGTGGGGGGGGGGGGGGGGGGGGGGGTTCGACCATCCAGTCGGGCTTTGGGGTGCTTCGCAAGCCGTTCTGGCGCGGCGGACGTTACGTCATTCCGCCATTTTCTGGTGCCCTCGCGTTGGGCCGGTTTTCTTTCGCTACCGTCGGGCAGCTCGACGGCTCTCTTGCCCGGCCCCATAACTCTGACTACAACCTGGTTTGTCAAGTCGCCCCACCACAACTTTGATCGGACCTGTGAGTATCATGGGCCCTCTTCGCATTTCGCGCCAGCACTCTCTGCCCAAACCCCTCTTTCCGACACGCGCCGGCGCTCGAGGCGCTTCCGCCGGGTTCCAGCACGTCGGGTCGCTGCGATTAGCTCGACGGTGCCTCCTCGCGCTGTTGCTTGCTCGCCCGCCCACCATAAAGTCTGGTCTCAAGGATACTCGAGCTGACCTATTCTGAACACTCTTGCCCTGATTCCTGTGCCTCGTGTCTCTGTCGGCGATTGCACTGCCCAGACGATCATGCAGCTCACCAAACAGCCTTCCGCGCTCGAGATGTCGCTCTCGCCGACACACCCCGTCGAACACGCCGAGTTCTACGTCGAGGGCATCCTCTTTGACATGGACGGTGAGTCGAACTAGATCCAAACGACTCGTCGTTTGATCTCCCCTCTACCGGGTCACACGACACCCCAGCGTTTCGGCAAAGTCAGCGCGCTCCGTGTCGAAACGTTCGCCGTTTGGGCGAGCGCGCGCACGGATCGATTGCATGACGATGATGACCGCGCCCGAGCGTAGGACTTTGCACCCCAAGTCGATTAGCGACAGCGAGCCGGACGCGGGCGCTTATCTCAATCCCTCGGCCATCGATCCTGTTTCCATGTCACTTACTCTCAAGACTTTGAACCTCGACAGGCACATTGGTCGATTCGATCGCCGCCGTAGAGTCAGCATGGAGCTCGGTCGCAGAAGAGTTGGGCAAGCCTGCCGACGAGGTCATCGCCGCGACTCACGGACGTCGCGCGATCGACAACTTGCGCGATCTCAAGCCCCAGCTCCGTCGATTGACGAACGAGCAGATGGAACCCCATGTCGAGGAGGTGAGTGCTGCTGGGTCATCTCCGTTCGAGCCAGGCTTTTTCACCTGGTCTTGTGAACTGACACGTTGACCCTCCTGCCCGTGCGATCACCAGTTCGAGAAGCGCATTCTCAGGGAAGCCGACGAGTTCTCCGTCAAGGTGCGCTCAAGGAGGAGCTCCGAGGCGTCCAGTCGCCGCAACTCGCAGCCCAACAGTCGACGTGGCTCCAATGCCGGCAGTCGCCGACCTTCCCACTCGTCAGGACCGAACCCTCTCCTGTCTGGTCTCGCCGGTGGTCAATTCGGCATGAGCAAGATCGCTGTGAGTCCCTGCTTCGAGCATCCTCATCGAAGGTTTGTTCAAACTGATCTGACGGGATGATCATCGATCATGCAGACCCCTCAAGCCACCGAAAGTCCCGATGATACTGGCCTAGGAACAAACAACGACAGTGCCAACCTCGACACCGTCAATGCGAAGCTCGCCAGACTCTCGACCGGGGATGCGCCGAGCCGAGATCGCCTCGCTGAATTAACATCGCCCTTCGATGATGATGACGAGTCCGACGACGACTTTGACATCAGCGAATACACCGAAGAGGAGATTGGGTGCGTTCAACCATGACGGTCATGCCTTAAGATAAACCGATCACACGCAGATTAGATACTGAGTGTGTTTTCTTTCGACTCTGTAGCTGCCAAGACAAGTCTGTCCGCATCCTGCCCGGTGTGCGCCGCCTGATCGCCTCCCTCCCTCAAGCTCGTTACGCTGTCGCCACCTCAGGTGCCAAGACTTGTGAGTTGCATCCACATGCGATCTTGAATAATCTGTCGTCCTGAAACGTCCGATTTACCGTAATAGACTGCCACGGAGCGCTTGCTCGCGCCGGCATCAAGCGACCTGCCGTGACGATCACCGCCGATGACCCAAGGCTCAAGCGCGGCAAGCCCCACCCCGATCCGTTCATCTTGGTCAGTCATGAAACACTGGATCTCCGTTTGGACGTTTCATCTGCATGCTGACGGACCATCCTTTCGCAACTCTAGGCCGCCGAGGAGCTCGGCATCCCCGTCGAGAAGTGCCTTGTGTTTGAGGATTCGCCGTCAGGCATCAAAGCGGGTGTCTCCTCGGGCGCAAAAACGATCGCCATCTGCACGTCCCACCCAGTCGAGAAGATCTCGGATAGCGGAGCGCACTACATCGTTCGTAAGTAGTTCTCTATCTCAGTCGAGAAGAACTTGAAGAGGTGTTGACATCGCTTGAGACATCTACATTATCAGCCTCGTTGGACTGCGTCCACGCATTCCCTCAGAAGGACGGCCGCATCAAGATTGTCATCGAGTGAGCTATAATCGATCTTCTTCCTCTTTGAAAGGAATTGCTGCTCATCCAGTCCGCTTTGATATCTTCAGCGCTCACCCACCCCATCACCCCCGACACGGTTCCCGTGGCAGCTTCGTCGCCGTCGCTCCCGATGCCGTTGCATAGTCCGCGCAATTCCCTAGACCCCATAGAGTGTCTCTATCTCCTTTCTTGGTATATCTTCACATACCTCCTGTACATACGCTTCCTCAGCAGCCACGAGTCTTATCCCCGGATCATCTAACTTAGATTGTGCTTCCGCCATCTTCTGTTAGAACGAGGGCGGGCGGACGCCCGTCGTCACTCGTGGCATTTCCCTTAGTCACTTACGTTTAAATAATCCAATACAGTTTAAACATCCAAAGTACGGATGGCTGTGTATCAAAACGTTGTGACGAGTGCATTTGCAGAAGGAAGCACAGGAGACTGAGGAAAGCGAGTGAAGCTGCTAGAAGGCCCAAGACATCATTGATAGAGACAAGCAAAAACGAGAAGCCAAAGTGGCTGATGACTAAAGGAGCACAAATGTATAAGACGATCATAGTATGCGGTGCTGGTACAAGGAGATAAAGACAGGAAGGGTGTTGTCCGATCAAGCCAAACTCGAGATGGCCGGCCGTCGATCCTCTTCCTTTTTGCGACGCCCTCCAAACGATTCGTGATGCGGAGAAAGACTGAGACTCATCGCCTCGAACGACCTCGCGACTTCGGCATCCAAAGCCGGATCACTACTCGTCGACAACAAACCCGGTACGGCCCACCCACTCGTAGTATCCGACACAGGATCGCAATCGCTGGCCGAATCTTCGGAATCACTCGCTTCGGACGACGAAGTGTCGGACGATGCTTCAGACGAGCTGGCGTCGTCGTCGATCCATTCGCGATAGATGCCGTCAATGTAGACGGACGAGAGCGGCATCTTGAAAGGATCAAAGGGGAAGAATGAATCCATTTCCTCCGCGACGAGCAATTGCCGTGGGGCGGCGGACGGAATTGACGCGACCGAGGAGGAGCGGGAAGGAGGTGGCGGCGCTTGTCGATTGAGGTGAGGGACCGCGTACGATGTCGCAGCAGAAGGTGCGTTCGCGTCGCTTACCCCTGACCGACGGTTCGAGTCGATGAGGGACCAGCAGTAGAGAAAGTTGGTCTTGTTTGCGATCGTCGCGAACTGCTGCACGATCGATTGAGCGCACACCTTTAGCGGATTAAAGTTCGAAGCGACAACTTTTTTGATCGTCTCCAGGCCCAACATCCACCTCCTGCCCGATTCGAGCACGAGGTCGTCTTCCTCGCCTTCGTCCATCAGGTCCTTCCAGCGGAAGCAAAAGATATAAAAGACGGCTTGAGTGACGGCGTAAAAGACGGGCAGATCGATGGCCATGCTCGATGTTGCCGAGGCTTTGGGTCCAGTGAAGACACGCGAGGCCGCGGCAAAATCTTCCATGGAGGTCTCGAGGTAGCGGCACAGGTGATGGACGACCTTGCGCGTCATGCTGGCGTCGACATACGTGGCACGACTAATGAAGCTTGCGACGTATCCCGCGGCGGCAACACGAGTGATCGCCGGTGCATCCGTCTGGAACAAAGCCCGCCCCAGCAGCACACCAATGAACTGATCCGACGAGGCGACGTCGAGAGAGCACAGGTAAAAGAGGATGAATTGCGTGTTGCGCGTCTTGAACGTGCGCAGGAGCGTGCGATCGAAGATGTCGAGCAACGACCGAAAAAGCGCGAGTCGTCGGTCCACGACTTCTTGTGACGGTCGGGTCTCAGGGGTGGGTGTGGTCTCGGTCGAGTCGAGGCCCTCGTTCGTGAGAGGGGGGCGAGGGGAGGAGGGTACCTCGGCATGCGCATTGGCGAGGTGGTCGAGCACGACTTTGAGGATCGCGTCGAGTTTGGTCCGCCGCTCGAGAATCTTGCGCAGTGCCTCGACCGACATACCCTCGCTTGACCGAACTTTTTTCGCCGCCTCGTCGTCGCTGATGGGGTTTGGTTCGTCGTCCGAGTCGAGGTCCTCCATGTTGAAAGCATCACCGTCGTCATTCTCGTCCTCATCGTCACTCGAGGCATCCGCGTCTTCGGCAATCAGTCGACCGACGACATCCTTGACGTTCGCTTCGTCCTCCCGCGGCTGAATCCCGAGCAGCTCGTCCTCAGCGTCCTCCCAATCATCAGGTTCCCCCTGGATCTCGACGTCGATGTTGAGCGCTCTCTCCACGATCAAGCCCATGATGTCTTCCGTCAGAGCCGAGCAGTACTCGCTCAGCATGAGCAGGTTCTCGATGTAGCAAATTTGCGCAATCTTGGGCTCGCGTTTGGCGGGGAAATGGATCGACAGGAGGGGTGCGAGGGAAGGTGCGAGGGTCGGAATCAGGGAAAGGAGCATGGTGAGCATCGCGTGGAGTCGGCTGTATAGTATTCCCCGTGTGATTGATGGCATCGCTGCCGGGGAGCCGACGGTGTATTTCGAGCCTGCGTGCCAGAGGCAGAGAATGAGTCCCACAGGCTTCATGTGGGGCTGACGTCAGGACTCACGGTAGCTGAACCCTTGTACACAAGGGCTCAGGACGGCTTGCAGCCATTCGGGTCGTGCCGAGACGAGCGCGCTGATGAACTTGACGTAAACCGTGACAAAGCCGTCGTCCATCGTCGCCCAAGGTACAGCGAGGATCGTCTCGACGAGTGGGGCGTGGGTCGCGTCGAGTTTGGAGACGATATGGGTTAGCGCATCGAGCCACACGCGCAACGACGCCGTGGTCGGTGTTTCCGCCGATGTAAAGGACGAGGTGGAGGTGGATGAGCTCGCATGCGGCGCGGAGGAAGTCGAGGGGATGATGGCGAGGAACTGGGCGATGAGCTCTTTGTAACGTTCGTTCTGCCCCTGTGAAAGTTTTGGATCACACGTGTCAGCACATGACAACTCTTATCCCAGCGCCCGCCAGTATGTCGTACCTGTTGTCTCCGCTTGAAGGCGTCATCGATGAAGGTGAGATACATGCCCCTCTTGAAAGCGCTCCCATCGCCGGTGATCGAGGACGGTCTCGGTTTGGCCGCTGCAGCAACTGCCTTCATGCCGACGACCTTCCTCACCGCGGTTGCAGGTGGTTGCTGCTCCGCATCGACGTCGGTCGCATTGTAGGACGACTCGGACGGCCGCGGTCGCTTGCTGCCGCTGCGAACGAGTGGCGGCGGCTGGTTGGCTTTGGCAGTCATGGCCGCGATCGGCGCGGCGTGGGCTCTCTTGATGGCCTTCTTGGACGGCCCTCGCGTCGAGCCTTGGGGTGCTGGTGGGTACGAAGGTGCAGCCATGCAGCTGGATCACGGGATTTGTGTTGCAGATTCCGCGCTGCGCTTGCTGGAGGGGCACGAGTGACTTGGAATGGCGTCACGGCGATGGCCTCCACTTGGGCAGCTAGCGTACCAGAGCCAGGCAAAGCGAAGGCGGGTCGACCGGAGCGATGTAGACAGATGCCGCTGCGGAAGGATCTGGAACAGCCCACCTTGAATCACACTTGGCGATTGTCAAGTGACGACTGGGTCGTGAATCGTCAAAGTTTGCGACTCGTGTGCACAGACACGACCACGGTGTGGGGTAAGACGAGGCGACCTTTGCCCGTTTCGACTCGCGCCGCCGCTTGCGAAGGTTAAAACAGCCGGGCTTGCTCGCACGGACCAGCTTCTCGGGGGAGAGGTCGCGTGACGTGATCGCCGCCGACGCAGTCGAGTCAGGGCGTCGCATCGAGTCAAACCCACGTGAATGCTGCTAGTTTGGTCATACTTAGCTAATCTCCAGTCAGAGGTCGCTTGAAAATGAATACACCCGGGTTTAGGTTGCTTCTTGCACTTTTAGTCTGTCGTCCGACGGCTCGAAGGTTCGCTTTTCATTGTCTTTCGCTGGGTGTACATGGGAGCTACAGACTTTCGTTGGGAGAAGAATATATAACATGAGTTCTAAAATGTACACTAGTATATATCGCACCGCATCTGGCGGAGGAGCGTTATAACACCTCCCTCTGCCAGGTTTGCGCACCACCCAAACCGAGAAATATTTTCAGCACCAACACCATCAGTAATTCGGGCGTTGTTGGAAGCTTCATAGTTCAAGAGTTCCTAAAGTGGTTATAGGAGAGGAACATCCCAACTTGGACGCGTTGACATTCTGCATTGCAAGTTAGCACACAGGATAGGGGTCGCAACAACCAAGAAAACGGCACCTACTTCGTTGCGCGTTCCGATCCGACACTCGTCCTTCTCATGTAGAAACATGCGGTACGAGTGGGCCGCGACGTGCGTTGCGTCATCACGCGGGCCATGGGGCAGAGAGCCTTTAGCCACCTCGAGAATATTGGATGGTATACATCTTGAAAGGTGTGAAAAGTGATGATGCTCAAGACTGACAACATCCGGCGGCCGAGGACAATCTCACATGCCTATACTAAGGCTCGCATGCATAGGCCATACTTGGAGCAAGCAGACGCGCGCCTGGGCACTCTTACTACCTAGTGCTACTAAGGGGTGAGCAGCTGTGTCTGCATGGATGGAAGGGCACTAAGGATGTCTGCATGGATGGAAGGGCACTAAGGATGACCTTAGCTTGCACATGTGGGCATCACTCTGTATGGGAGAGTAGGAGCCGCTGCGATCATGCCCTCGCCTGTGGCCCAAAGGTCGTGCAAGGTCGTGCGGACTACCATCCGAGTGGGGTTTCATCTACGTCTCGGTCGCTATCTAATTTCAACGTTCTCCCAGCTGCATAACGGTGCAAGGATGAGACGGGGCGCGTCCCGACGCCGCATTTAGGCCGTTTTTTTTATTTTTACTGGGGCTCATAAATTGCAATCCTTCGGGTTGGCTGGGACCGCTAGAAAAAGAGCTAAAAGAGGTTATAAAGCAACGACGGCAAGCAATTGGGTGAAAGTCAAACCCCTGCGCGCAAAGAGCGCTGCGCAGATCAAAACTCGCCGAGCACCTAACGCGGACTCCAACGGGCGGTGAGTACTGCTGCCGCTTCACGTCCCAAGAGCGGGAGCGAAGATACTCGAAAACCAGGCAAGAGCGCCTAGAGAAAGAAAAGGGGAGAATATACAAAAATTCACGACTGGAAACACGGAGAACCAGGAATACTAAGACAGAGAGGAGGGGAGGAGGAGGGGAACACACCCGAGGGGCCAAGGGAGGGGGTCGAAGCCAGAGCTAGAGGTCCCCAGGGACTGACAGGCCGCAGCCAAGCCCCAGCTACTCGTCACCCCGACAGCGCCTGATGTCCTCCCTTGGCTGAGTCTCGAGTGCTGGCTGTTGAGCCGTCGGGGCCGAGCGAAAACGATCCAATACAACGAAACAAGCCTCGCCTTGACGCGAGGATATTGACCAAAAAAACGAGCGACCTTTCTTCCCGATCCATGCCGTAGATCTTGACCAACGCGAACGAACGATCTATTCGACGGAATCCAGCACACGGCTTAGGAATAAAAGGAGAAGTGGCTGAAGCGTAGTCAACAACCGAGCAACAGGAACGAGAAGAGGAAGGGAAGGGAGAAAGGGGAAAGAGAGGGGAGAACTTCACAAAGCCTCCAACGCAACGACGATCGACCCGGCTTGCCGATCCATCCAAGAACGAAAACCGCTACTGCACAAAGTAGAGAGAGGGAGAGGTGCGCAGCCTTCCACTGCGCAACAAGTTTCAAGACAGTCAGCTTCTGACCGAAAAGGAAGGGAGGAAAGGAAGGGAGGAAAATGGGAAGGAAGGACTTAACTCGGTCATCACACCTCCCAATCTCGAACCCCAGGCACAAAACCCGCTCGAGAGAGAAAATCTCGCTCGAACGCTCTGAGCGCACTGGGAAGCGAGGGAGGGGCCACGACGTTGTCCAGCTCGAACCGCTGATGAACGCGCCAGCGGAGCAGGTGCAGCCGCTGGAAGCCGATCGCGCAGGCCAGCCGAACCCACATCCATTTCGAGGTCGTTCTCCCACGACCCCGCAAAAGGGGGAGCCCCATAGTCAGCTGCTCCGGAGTGAACGTCGACGGATCGACGTCGGTATCCTCGATGCCGAGCTTGTCAAGCAGAATGCGTAGCACCCCACCCCAGAAGCTGGTCGAGTACGCGCACTCGAAAAAGTAGTGGGACACCGTCTCGATGACCGCTGCATCGTTGCCACAGAACAGACACGTCGGCGAAGAGGCATGACCCTGAGTATGCTGCCTCTTGCGCGTCGGCGTCACGTCGTACATGAGCCGCCAGTGGGTGTCCTGCTCGACAGCAGACGCGAACCGGTCATGAAGCCATCTCCAGAAGCGCTTCCTATCGCTCTGAGAAGTCCCATCAGGGAGACGCTTGACACGGTCCTCCCTCCCTGGGAACCGCACCTTGTTCACAAGCCGACGAAGCTTGCGAATCGTAAAAGGTCGGGAGAGCCCAAAGAAGTTGAAGCACCGAGGACGGGGAGCCTCCTTGAGAGGTATCCGAGCAGGTCGCAACGCGGTCTTGGGCAGCAACGCTTTCGCCTTGAGCAACTGACCCACGCGCGACCACACGTGCTCGTGCTGTAGGGCGGGTTCCTTAGAGTGCTGCCAGAACCCGCGTCGATGACCAACCAGAGCCCATCCCTTCCGTTCGTCCCTCCAGTACAGGTCCGCGATCTGCGCAAACTTCGCCACCGCGTCCGCATCGTCATATGCGTGCTGGGCACCTTCAGCATAGAGTGAAGGGAGGCGAGGCGGAAGCGAGAGCAATTCGGGAAGCGTAAGGAGTTCGGACTTGATGGTTGGAACTGTGACCCTGGCCGCTGCAACGACTGCCCCCCAGCGCGTCGAGTCGCGATACAGCTTCTCGACCCGAGCCGTGCTGCTGAAGAACCCCCACGGACTGAAATCGCGGGTCGCAGCGACGAGGGACCTCCAGCTCTCGCGAGCTAGGGGCGCCCAGATCGCCTCGTCCGAGCCCGCCACAGCATCCCAAAATCGAAGCGCCACCGAATGAACGATGTCGCCAATCGAAATCAAACCCAAGCCACCGTCCTCCCGAGCCTGGAACACGAAATCGCGAGCGACGGTATTTCGCCCTGCTCCTCCCCAGACAAAGTCCGTAAGTGCCGTCTCCGCCGCCTTAATGAACCATTGAGGCGGTATGTCGAAGGACAGCACGTGGAGGACCGTCGAGATGATGTGAGCGTTGGCATAGAAAACCTTCCCACTCGGCGAAAGTGTCCGGTCTCGAGCGGCGCGGGTCTTGGCCTTGATCCTGTCAAGAACATGGGTCCAAAACAGTTTCGAGTCACCGTGGCGAAAGAAGGCATAGCCGCACCACTTGAAGCTCTCCCCCTCCTGCACCGTTGGCAGCGCCTGCGCAGTCTCGTCCCGAAGCCAGTTCGGTCCGAGTGGTAGCACCAGCGTCTTGTCCGTGTTGGTCTTCCCGTTGGTAGCCTCGTACCACGTCTGCGACAGCGTTTGCAGCTTCGACAATGCCGCCGGTGACTCCACCACCACCACAGCATCGTCGGCAAACGCCAGATGCGTAAGCTGCGCACGCGGCCCCCCTGGCCACACCTTCTGCAGGTCGAGCGCGATCCCGCGCCGAACGAGGGCGTCGAGGAAGGGCTGGAACGTGATGTTCCAAACCGGGCACGAGAGGGGATCCCCCTGACCGAGACCACACAGCAACCGCACCAAGTCCGTGGGGAACCCATTGACAAGGTAGCGCACCCCCAGAGTCTCGGGATCGTAGAGAGCGCGCAGCAGCGAGATGAAACGCTCACCGAACCCAAAGGCCTCAAAGACCTCGAAGATCCAGGCGTGATCGACCCGATCGTACGCGCTCTGCTGATCCAAAGACAAGAGGGCGCCCTCGGGGAAAACATCAGTGCCTAGCGACTTGAGTTTTTCGAGAAGGAGAGTGAGATGACTTCCCGCGTCCGCTGAACGTCTTGATGGCATGAAACCGTGTTGCGCCGGCGGTAAAAGCTCGCCGAGCACCCCATTGAGTCGCGCCACCAAGACCTTGCTGAGGACCTTGTAGGTCGTCTCGCGCAATGTGATCGGTCGGTATGCCCCCAGTGATTTCAGATTGGCCCCCGGTTTATTCTTGGGCAAGAGCCGCACCAGCCCCTCTGCCAAGGACGCCGTCATTTTGCCGCCCTCCCAAATCGAGTTGAACAAGTCCAACAGCTTGGGAGCAAAGTAGGTTGGCAGCGCCTTGAAGAGCTCGTACGGAATGCCCGAGGGCCCCGGTGATCGCCCCGAATCCGTCTTCTTCAACGCCGCTTCAACCTCGAGGAGGGTGAAGGGCTCGTCAAGCGCCACTCTCGCTTGACGAGGCAGCCGACGACCGAACGTAGGGTCCGAGCGGTCGTCATCGTAGCATTTCGCTGCGCGAATAGGGTCGAGCAGGGACCGGCGTGCGTTCGTCGGGTCGCCACGAGCTGGGTCCGGCGTGAAGAGCGACTGCGCGTGCCGTGAAGCAATACCCAGCGCCTCCTGCATGTCAACGGTCTCGGTGCCATCCACATCCTCCAGCGAGACGATGCTCGTCTGGCGACTCCGGCGGTTGAGGCGCGTGCGAATGCTTGCCGATTGACCTTCCCTCGAGTCGACTGACGGCACATGCGCACGAATGCGCAGCCACTGAGCCTCCTTTACCGCCAACTGGTCCAACCGCGACTTGGCATGAGCATACGCATCGCGCTCGGCCTCATTCATGTGCTCACCGCGTGCCTCCAAAGCCTCCATGACGGATTGGCTCTCGGCCCGCAGTCGGCGCATGTCGGCACGAGTCGAGCGGTATCGTGCATGGCCAGCGACTGCAACCGCCCGCAGAGCGGCGTCATAGACGTCGCCGAGCGGAGCGGTCCCCTCGAGCCTTCGATAGACCTCGTCGACGACCCCGGGAATCGATGCGACAAAGTCTTGATCGTCAAAGACCATTGGGTTGAGCCTCGAAATGAAATCGCTCGTGGAGGGAAGAGAAAGGGGGGGTTCGGCATCAGCGTTCGATGTAGGCAAAGCGAAAGTCGCAACTACAGGTCTGTGGTCCGAACAGGGCGCATCGAAGAGCGTAGAAGCGCTCAACAACCGGTTCGCCCAACTGCATTGGACAAGAATATAGTCGATCCGCGACCACGAGCAAATCTTTCGCTCTTCCCCTCTACCACGGTAGTGAGGACGAGTGAATGCAGGGGTGCAAGGATGGACATGTCGGACCGTGTCGAGTGCCTTGAACGCGATCTTTGACAGCAAGGTCTGCCAGTGCGATACAGGAGTCCAAGCGCGATCGGTGATGGACACTCGGTCGACCGATACATCCGGACAATCGTTGAGATCGCCGGCCAAGATCCGAAGAATCTTGGGTCTCGGGGCGTTGAAGTGCAGAAGCCCGAAAAAGTCGCGACGATCGTCCTCCTGCACCGGCGCGTACATGTTGATGATCTCGACATCGAGCTCCTCAAGACGAAACACCGAGCGCAGAATCCGACCGTCGAAACGAGGAGCTCCTGCAAAGACGACCGGGGTAGAGGAAAGGAGATGGCCCGCCAAAGGTGAGCCATCGGGTATGAGGGTAAGGACATGAGGAGTGAAACGAATACAAGCCCCCGGCCAAGCACTCTCGAAGCCTTCGCGCGACGCGTTGTAGCTGAGGTGGTGCTCTTGCAGGAGGATGGCCGCAGGGGCCGGCCGAAGGGTTTTGAGATAACGGATGATTTTGACTTGGTTGACTGCGTTCTTCATCGATCGGACGTTGAACGTCAACACGGTGAGTGACTCAATCATGATTAAATCAGTTCAGCGCCGCCCCCCTCGAATTCGGTCACCTCGGACCTGTGACCCCCTGAACTGTTGCCCCCTGAGCCATCACCCCCTGATGCACCGAGGATCATGGCGGATCCTGCCCGGGTGACACGTCGGTTGCCGGGTGCCGAGCTCGAACGAAGGCGTCGAGGACTCGTCGAGGCTATCGAGGTTGTCGAGGTTGCCGATGATCCCGACGTGCCACCGGACAAAGGCGAAGGAGAGGTCGGGGTCGAAACGGGCGCCGCCGTCGTCGTCTGCGTCTCCTTTGTTGAGCCCAGGGTCGCACGCGTCGACGTCTCTTCCCCAGTGTCGCCGCCCTCCGGTTCGGTCGAAACGATCGACTCGTCGTCGCCGTCGTTCGCGTCGTCCTTGTTGGCGGTTACTGCACCTGCGGGGTTAGCACGAGGTCCCAGCTGGATCATGTTCGCGCCAGAGACACGAGAGTTCAATGCGGCAGGCCCACCGTGCTTCCCATTCTTTCCAGCAACTCGGAAGCCGGTGGTCGAAGTCGAAGTCGAGGTCGAGGCCCCCGGAACAGGGGCGGCGGTGGCCGGAGTCGAAACCGGCTTCCTGCAAGCGCCCCACTGGTGTCCGGCGCGATCGCACACCGCGCAGTAGTGCGTCTCGAATTCGTGTCGCAAGCCGTACTTGGCGCCCAGGATCTCGATCTCTTGTGGCAAAGCGGCGTTGAGCGCAGCCTTCTGCGTCTCGATGGAGCCTTGGAAAAGATCAGCATGTAAGCGAAGGTACGCGCAATGGAACCCGTCTTCGGTCATGGCCATCGGATCGCCATTCGGATCGACCGCGAGGCCCCGCTGTAATTGCATCAGGGTATAACCTTGCGTGCGACCTGCGCGGCCGAACGAAAGGGTGATAGCATCATCGAGAGATTTTCGGAGCACGGAAGCGGGGATCGCGCTGGAGGAGGAGGGCAAGGTGAATCGCACCTGCACGACGTGGTTAAGGGGAGAGGCGCTGGGGAGCTCGGTAACCATCTCCTTGCCGTGGTAGGGGAATGGGCCCGCTGAAGCGGCTTCAAGACAAGCTTGCTCGGATTCGAATACAAGCTCGTACATGTGACGAGCGATCGGGAACCTCTTCGTGGCTTTCGTCACAATCGGGTTCAGCTTCACGCATTTCGAGAAAAGCTTCTCGACCTCGGGGTCAAGCACGACGCCCTCGGGCCGCGCGAACATGAACGGCGTCTCGGCCAATCCAAAGTGCTTGCGCAGCGCGGTCTGTACAGGACCTCTGGGTGATCCAGGACCATCCATAATGACTCGAATCACATTGGAGGCCGGGGCTGCGTCGTTTCGCACCGCTCTTTGGGCGGCTCGTGCGAGCGCTGGCGCCTGCGAAGGCGGGGTCGAGGCGTCGTGCATCAGGACCATCAGTCGGCGGGTCGACTTGCTGGAGGGAACAATCCCGAGCACTTGGAAGGTCTTCTTCATCAGCTTCTCATGGTCCAACCGGACCTGAGTTGCCTCGGGCGACCAAGCTGGAGGATTCGCGGTTCCTCCAGTGACCGCTTCACGCGTTTGCGTGTTGAGTGATGAATCACTCGCGCCATTACCACCCAATAGGTCCTCGGGCGGGGGCGCATCGGCGCCGGGCGGATCCGGCATCGCGTGTTTGTGTTGACCTGTAAAGCTTAACGGGCTTGGAGGTCAACTACTCACTCTACACCACAGAAACTCACTTGTGTGTGTGTGTGTGTGTGTGTGTGTGTGTGTGTGTGTGAGGTTTTTTTTTTTTTTTTTTTTTTGTAGAAACCGTTCATCATATTGCCCCCAATTCCTGTTCCCCCTGATTGGCCTACGGAAAAACTAGATGGAAGTCGACGATGATAACACAAACCGCCCGCAAGATGCGAGAAACGGGCCAAGTCCACCAATCCGATACTTCGGATTCAAGTGCCCCAGCCAAGCGGTTGCTCCCCCCCAGGAGACGAATGAGAGAGAGAAGAGAAAGAGAGAAAATGAAAAAGAACTGGCGTACTAACGACAAGAGGCCCACCCCGCACCCACTTCCCAACTCGGTCGAGACAAAGACAGGAGAGCGACTGCGCAGCTACCCTGACCCGCGAAATCCCAAGTCTATGCTCGGTCACAACAAGACGCGGTGGAGGCCCCTCAAAACCTCCACCTCAGCAGTCCCTGGCCCCTCAAAGCCGACTTTCTGCCTGTGTCTGCTGATCCCTCCCTTGACTCAGAACCCCGAAGCCAAAGAGCGCGAGCCACCGTCGAGTCAATCCCAAATCGCGAGCCGGTCCATGAGCAACGGAGGCAGACCTGTAATAAAAGAAAGAAAGATGAAGAAAATATATTTAGTATACAGTTTTTGTAAGAGGATGTGTGATGTGGGGTGTGTGAGTGTGGGATCGGGTGGGGGGAAATCGAACCCAGCCTCTACTGCCCTCGCCCGCCCCTTGCTCCCCCCGCCCTCAACTTCATCCTCTCCTCCAGTACCACCCTCCTCCGCTCCAGGCTTTCCATCCTCGTCCCGTGCTTCTGCATCCTCCATCTCCCACTGCTGATCATCTCCAAGACCATCCCCGTGAAGATCTCGATCGTCCTGCCTGCGCCTTCCTGTTCGCTGAGCTTGGCCTTGAGCTTGGGGAGGCCAAAGAGTCGTTGTAGTGTCGTGTACTCGGCGTCCTCGATCGTGTCGCATCCGAGCGCGTCGCAGAGCACGCCCCTTGCCGCGGTCCAGATGTTCCGCGAGTCGACGCAGCCGAAGAAGTAGTGATCGGTGTCGTCCACCGGCGCTTCGCACACGAGGCACGCGGGAGAAGTGTCGTGCTTTTGCTCGTGCTGGAGTTTGCGCGTCGGGGTGAAGCGGAGGATCAGCTTGAACCAAACTTCCCTCTCCCTCGCCGTCAGTGCCTTCGAGTTGACTGCCTTCCAGAAGCTCCTGAGGTCGTCCGGCTGCGGTGGTCCCTTGAGCCCGAGCATGTTGGTAAATGCCTTCGCGTTCAGGACCCGGCGGATGCGACGGACTGTGTAGGGGCGAGCCATGTTCAGCAGCGTATACTGGCTCGCCTGTTGTGGAAGCACCGGGTCCGGAAGGCGCTGCTCCATTGCGAAGCGGGCCACGGGCTTGGGGATGATCGCCTCGAGTGGTGCGCTGGTGCCGATCCGGGGAGGCACGTTGAGTCGTCCCGCCGCCACCGCCGCCGCCAAGGGGGTGTTCTTGTGTCGATCGACAGTGAACCGGTACCAGGCCGCGATTGCCAGTCGCTGCGGGAGCCCGCGTCGATCGTACTCGCTGTTGTCGCCGAGCACATCCGCCGGCGGCGTCCAGAGGTGAAACCCCCCACCCGCATACAACTCGCGTCGATAGAGATCCGCCACCTTCGGGTAGCCCTGGAGACGAAGGTAGTCAGGTACATGAACCGCGTCGATGGTCTGTCTCCCTCTGATGGGGGTGTGGAGGCTGCCGAGCAGGGTGGGCAGCGCGAGCAAGTTCGCGGTGGTCAAGGCCCTCGGGTTGACCTGCGCGTCGTGAAGTTTCGGAACGCCCAGTGCGGCGTGCCATCGGGGATGAAGGTCGTTGGGGATGGGAGTGGATGGATGTGGCCAGAGATCGGTGGCCAGGTCGAGGTCGGGCTGAGCTCGCTGGAGTGATGCGCGCGCAAGTCCTTGCCAAATCGCGCCGGAACCGCCGAGAAGAACGTCCCAGAGCCGTGCCGCAACCGCGTCCACAACGTCCCGCATCCTTATCACCCCGAGTCCCCCCTTGTTCTTGGCGGTGAACACAATGTCTCTGCCGTAGCTGGTCCTGCCCTTGCCCCCACGGACGAAATCGACGAGCATGTCATCGAGCTTCTTGACGACTTCGGGCGGCGGGATGTCGGCTGCAAGGAAATGCAGGATCTTGGGAATGGCGTACCGATTGACGTAAAAGGCACGGGTGTGGTGCGTGAGCCAGCGATGCTGAACCGCTTCCAGCGTCGCCTCGAGCCGTTCGATGAGATTCGCGTAGGCGAGTTCGGTGTCGCCGCTGGGGTCGAAGGGGAGGCCGATCCACTCGAGCGACTCGCCTGCGGCCTTGACGACGATTGGCCGTTCCCCAGGGTCCCAGCGACGTCCAATCGGTAGGACGACCGTCTTGTCCGTGTTGAGCCGGCCATTCGTTGCATGCCTCCAGTCGAGCGCCAGGTCATCGAGCAAGTTGAGTGACTCCAAGCCCGCGACGGCGACGACAACGTCATCGGCAAATGCAAGTGATGTAATGGCGCGGCTCTGTGGGTACGGATGAAGTGCAGGTATGGAGAGATTCAGCGCGATGTTTCGACGGTGTAGAGCATCCAGGAACGGCTGAAACACGATGTCCCAGACCGACGATGACGCCGGGTCCCCTTGGCCGAGCCCACACGTCAGTCGCACCGGCGCCGTCAGGAACCCATTGATGATGTAGCGCGCCGAGGTCGAGTCACCCGAGTAGAGCATCCTCAGCACGCGAAGAAAGGTGGTAGGAGCGCCCAGAGCGTCGAAGATGGCAAAGATCCAGTCATGCTCGACGAGGTCGTAGGCGGATGATTGGTCAAGAGACAAGAGCGCGGCCGCGGGGAACTCGGTCCTGCGCGCGCCAAGTTCCTCGATCAGGAGACGAAGGTGTAGTGCAGCGTCGGCCGATCGGCGGTCCTTGACGAAGCCGTGCTGCTGCGGCGGGAGGAGATCGGGCAGAATTTGGTTCAATCGGGCGACGTAGACCTTGGTAAAAATCTTGTAATCGCACTCGCGCAGGGTGATGGGGCGATACGACGAGAGTTCGGCGCGATCGGCATTCTTCTTGTGGCGCTTGAAGATGAGGCGCACGAGTCCCTGGCCCTGCTTGGGAGAGAGTGAACCGCGCTCGATCATCGCGTTGTAGGCCTTGGTCAGCACCTTGGACCACGCCTCCGGTGCGGTCTGATAGAGTTCGTAAGGCACGCCCGACGGGCCCGGCGATCTCCCCGGGTGCGTCGTCCCGATCGCGGCCACGACCTCGTCCTCGGTGATGGGTTGCTGGAGGAGATCAATCTGCGCTTCCGAGAGTCGGCGCAGAAAGAGCGGATCTGAGCGCGGGTCGTCGCAAGTCCGTGCCGCCCTGATCGGCACGAGGAGTTCGTCCCGAAGTCGGTCGACGCGTTCCGGATCACGAGGCTCGATGTGGTAGAGGCGCTGGAAATGCGCCTGCGTGTGGTCAAGAGCGACATCAATGTCATGCGTTAGCTCTCCGTTGCCCAAGCGCAGTGCTGTGATCTTGGAGTCCGAGTTCCGCGCCGCGAGCTTGGCGTGGACCGGCCGCGACAGTCGTTCCTCGGAAGCGATCTCGGGGACGTGGGCTCGGATCCGGAGTAGGCGCGCGCGCTCCTCGACCGCCCGCTTGAGTTCCTCGGACGTCCTTGTCCATTCTGCCGTTTCCGCCTCCCCCCATACCGGTAACGCCTCCAGATCCTGCACCCTCCCCACCAAATACTCCATCCGTTCCGTCCGCTCCCGATGCAGCCTCCTCGCCATCTCCCCACCCCTGTCCCTGCACGCCTCCAGAACCTCCTCAAGCTCTCGCACCGGATCCTCCCCGCTTGCCCCTTCCAACCATCCTTCCATCATCCGCTGAAATTCCACCGTCTTGAAGGTTGTGGTATTGATTCGATGTAGTTGGTCGGATGTGGTAGGTAGGCTGAGCTGTGGGAGAGCCGCATCAAGATCGTCTGAGAGAGCTAGTACGATCAAGACCGGTCGGTGATCGGAAAGATCCTTGGGATAGTCGTAGATCGTCGAGGCCTGGTCGAGCCTTTTTTGGTGAGCTCTTTGTAGGAGAAAGTAGTCAAGCCGGGAGAAGGAGTTGGGTCGCTTGCGATTGGGATTAGGTCGAGTGAAAGATGGGGTGATGGGGTGCTTGTAGCGGATGCAGTCCGTGTAGGCCGAGTCGAGCTTGCCCATCAGAATCGGCCAGTGGTGGCCGCGCCGACTTTGGTTCCGCCGATCGACTTCTGGGCGCGGGCAGTCGTTGAGATCGCCGCCAAGGAGTCGGAGGTGGGATTTCTGTGTTTTGTGGAGGATCAGTTTGTCGAAGAATTTTGCTCGTTGTTTTGGGTCAACGGGCGCGTAGAGGTTATTGATTTCTAGAATTTTGATGTCGCCCCGCAGACGAAAGGAGGTGACGAGGAGCCGGCCGTCGAGTGCCGAGTGGGTGCGCAAGAGCTCGGCGTCGATCAGGGGCGAGTCGGCCGGGATCAGGGTCAGGCAGTGCTGGTTGATGAAGAGCTTGCCCTCGTACTCGTCCTTGATGAGCTGCCAGAATTGTGGTCTGATGAAATGCTCTTGTAAGAGAATCGCGGAAGCTTTGAATGTGGAAAGGTAGGTGTAGATATTACGTCGTTTTTCCGGGACCCCCATGCCCCTTCTTACGTTCCAGGTGATGATGGTGTGCTTGATCATTAATGGGTAGTCGAGGTCGAGGCGCTCTTGGCGGTGGTGACGTCCTCAAAGAGGGGAAGGGCGGGCAGGACATCGTCCTCGGGCTCGTGGTCGGACCATCGTTTTTCCTCAGCTACCCCTCTTCCTTTCCCTCTGTCCACCTTCGTCACCTCGACCTGCATCGCCGCTGCCGCCGACATCGACCTCGTCACCCTCCGCCCCTCTATTCCATCCTTCACCACGACGCGGCTCTTCCCTTTGATGATGACTCGCTTGGCGTCGGTCGGTTCGTCACTTGGGTCACTGAGGTCCGCCGCAGTCTGCGACCTCTTCATCACCTGCTTCTTGAACTTCGCAGCGGTCCCCCTGATGTTGATGGAGCGTATCTCACCGTCCTCGTCCCACGTGGCAAAGTTGTGACGCACCAGAGGGGTTTCAGCGTTGAGCCTCCTCTCGATGCTTTGGTCCCGCTCAAGTCGTGCCTGCTCAACCCAGTTAGCTCTGATCCTGTCCCACTCCTCCCCCTCGCGTAGCGACTTGGCGAGAGTTTCGGGTGACAGAGGTGGGGTTGGTTCATGCGGCGTCGATTCGCGGGAAGCGGTGGCGGCGGTTGCTGTGGCGTCGCTGTCGTCGTCATTGTCCAGCCTGTTCGTTTCCCCTAAGTCCGTCGCTTCCGCATTCTCCGCTTTCGTCGATCCCCTCGCTTCGTCCACATCGCCCACCTCCGTCGCCACCTCCTCTTCCTCCATCTCCGTAGCCACCTCTCCTTCCGTTTCACCTCTTTCATCCGCCATCACCTCATTCTCATCAATCACCTCTCCATCGGATCCGCTGCAGTCCTCCAAGACCGACTCGTCCTCGCTTTCAATTTTGATGACCTCCGTTTTCGCGGCCGCCTCCGATTCCATCTCCGAGTCCTCCGAGTCCTCGTCATCCGCCTTATCACCAGCGTCTTCCTCCCCCGATTCCTCCGGTCCCTGTTCGCCCTGGCCAGTTACCTCTTCCTCCTGTCCCTCCTCGACCTCGAGCCCGGCGAAGTGATTCTGTGATGCGATCCTGTTAACAACCAGCACAGGAATGGGGGCCTCGGCCTCCGCGATGTTGGTGTTGTGGGTGATGGTGTTTTTGTTGCTGTTGATGATGCCGTTGTGAGCCTCCTTCCGCTTCCTCTCCTGATCCAGTCCGCAGGTTCCCACGTGACCCACAAAGTGGCACCTACCGCAAGCCGCCTCCTTCTCATAGTCATGGCGAAGGGCGGTAACCGGGATGCCTCGAGTGGGAAGGTCGATCCTCGAAGGTAGAATCTCCTTCAAGGTCGTGTTGGGGCGTTGGAATAGGGAGTCGTCATCGAAGTGTAGGAAAGCCGAGTAGTCTCCGGCAACGTGGGCGAAGGCCGAGGCGTTGTCCACGCTGATAACGCGCAGAACCTGCACAAGTTGGCATGAATGTCCCTTGCCTGACAGGTCTTGCACAAGTGATTGGAACGATTTGATGATGGCATCCATGGAGGGCACTCCTTGAACACCGACGTTGATTCGAAGCTCGACCATGTTATGGTGGAACCTGTGAGACTTCGCGAAGCGGGCCTTCGCCGATCGCCAAGTGAGAGCGGGGGGCGTCGTGAGCGCCGCGTCACGTGCCTCGCCGGTGACGAACCCAACCGTAACGCGATGGTGAGCCGCCCCATTACGCAGGATTGATGAATGTTGTACGCCTAAGATCTGTGGTTGATAAGCCGCAAGATGGTCCGGCAGAGGAACTCCAGGCTCAAAGCAGATAGGAGAGATGGGCGATAGCAGCCTCGTGACGTAGGCCACGAGATCGATCTTGTCGGCATGAGTCGCTCGCGAGGCGCTCTGGTGAGACAGAGTCACTTCAAGGGCGTAATCGAAGATGTTCTCGACGGACCGGTTCGCGTTCAAGGCCGAAAATTTCAGCGATGTGGCGGTGGCGACGGGGTAGAGTTCGGCGAAGTAGATGGCCTGGACCCAGCGATCCATGCGGTTTCCGGGTACAGCACCCATGGCTTGTAGGAGGCTGCCCAGAGCCTTGGCACGCTGTTGTTGTTGTTGCTGTTGTTCAGGTGTTTGAGCCGCCATCTGACTCGCAGCGGCAGCATAGTTGGGTGCGGCGGTGGCGGGGCCCGTGACTTGCGTCTTCTTCGAGCTTATCGGGATCCGGTCGCGGGGGGGCTGGACGCTGGTGGCGGATACCGGTGGTGGCGGTGCCGGCAGTGGGGACCCAGGGTCTCCGGTAGACATCTTGTCGGTGTATCACTTGTTAACTCGAGTATCGAAGGCTGCAGTAGGGCGATTGTGAAGTGAAGTGAAGTGAAGTGAAGTGGAGTGAAGTGAAGTGAATTTTTTTTTTGTAGAAAACGTTCATCATATTGCCCCCAGTTCCTGTTCCCCCTGTTTCGGCCTACGGAAAAACTAGATGGAAGACTACGATGATAACACAAACCGCCCGCAAAAGTGCGAGAAACGAGCCAAGTCCACCAATCCGAGATTCGGATTCAAATGCCCTAGCCAAGCGGTTGCTCCCCCCCAGGAGACGAATGAGAGAGAGAAAGAGAGATGAAGAGAAAGAGAAAGAGAAAGAAAAGAAATGTACTAACGACAGAAGGCCCACCCCACAGCCACTTCCCACTCGGTCGAGACGAAGACAAGAGCACGACTGCGCAACCACCACGACCCTCGACGCTCCAAGTCTCTGCTCAGTCACAACAAGACGCGGTGAAGGTCCCTCAAAACCTCCCCCTCGGCAGTCCCTGGCCCCTCAAAGCCGACTTTCTGCCTGTGTCCGCTGATCCCTCCCTTGACTCAGAACCCCGAAGCCGAAGAGCGCGAGCCACACCGAGTCGACGCCAAATCGCGAGATGGTCCATGATCCGCAACGGTGAACCTGTAACAAAAGAAAGAGGAAAGCGAGCTATTTAGTGTACAGTAGGAGAAAATGATGTCACGAGAATTTGGTGTGTGTGTGTGTGGTGGTGGGGGGAAAGTCGAACCCAGCCTCTACTGCCCTCTCCTCCCCCAAGCTCCTCCCGCCCTCAGCTTCAACCTCTCCTCCAAGATGATCCTCCTCCTCCCAACACCCTCCAGCCTCGTCCCCCACTTCTGCATCCCCCACCTCCCGCTGCTGATCATCTCCAAGACCAGCCCGGTCAATATTTCGATCGTCCTCCCCGCTCCTTCCTGATCGCGCAGACTGGCCTTGAGCTTCGGAAGTCCGAACATGCGTTGAACGGCCGTGTAATGCGTGTTGTCGATCGTGTCGAGCCCCAGTGCGTCGCAGAGCACGCCCCTTGCCGCGATCCAAACGTTCCTAGAGTCAACGCAGTCGAAGAAGTAGTGCTCCCGATCGTCCTTGGGCGCTCCACAGACGAGGCACGCGGGCGAGTCGTCGTGCTTTTGATGAAACTGCAGACTCCGAGTCGGGGTGAAGTTCCTGACGAGCTTGAACCACACCTCGCGTTCCCTCGCCGTCAATGCCTTCGAGTTGACCCCCTTCCAGAATCCCTTGAGATCGTCGGGCTGCAGCGAGTCCCTGAAACCGATCGTGTCGGTGAAGGCCTTTGCATTCAAGACTCGGCGGACGCGACGGATGGTGTATGGCCGATCCATGCTGAGCAAGTTGTATTGTGTTGATTGGTCTGGGAGAGCCGGTCTCGGAAGGCGCTGCGGCGGGTCGATCGGATGGGCAGGATCGACTCGAGCGGCGTGGTGGGGCGGACTCGGGGAGGCCCGTTGATTCGTACTGCCGCCACCGGTTGAGCTATTGGTGTGAACCTCAATCGATTGATCGCATGTCGGTACCATGCCACGATGTGCTCTCGTTGTGGGCGGCCCCGTTGATCGTATTCGCTGTTGCTGACGACCACATCCGTCGGCGGCGTCCAGAGATGAAAGCCCCCGCCCGGGTACAGCTCGCGTCGAAACAGGTCCGCTACCTTGGCGTAAATGGCAAACGCAGCATAGTCGGCGTCGTAGGGTGGTCGCGACACAGCTGGTGCTCCCGGTAGGTAGTGAAGGGTGTGCAACTTGATCGGAAGAGCGAGAAGGTTCGCGAGCGTCAACGTCCTCGGCTTGACTTGCGCATTGTGCGTCGATGGTACCTTCAGCCACGGCCTGCCATCTTGGGTGTAGATCGGTTCGGATCGGAGTGTAGTCGCAAGGCCACGCATCGGTTGCCAAGTCAAAGTCGGGGCGGGATGGGCTCGTACAATCGCCGCGCCGCCAAGTCCCTGCCAGATCGCATCCGAACCGGCCAAGAAGCACGTCCCAGACGCGTGCCGCAACCGAGTCGACGACGTCCTGCATCCGCATGACCCCAAGACCCCCCTTGAACCTCGGTGTGAAGACGACGTCCTTGCCATAGCACGACCTCCTCTTGCCGCCGCGGACAAAGTCGGCGAGAATGCGATCAAGCTCCTTGACGACCTCGAGCGGTGGGATGTCGGCGGAGAGGATGTGCAGAATCTTGGGAATGGGCGTATCGGTTGACGTAGAACGCTCGGGTGTGGTGTGTGAGCCCTCGGTCCCGTGCCGAATCGAGCACCGCTTCGAGCCGTGCGACGAGATTCACGTTGGCGGAGTTCGGTGTTGCCGGTGGGGTCGAAAGATAGGCCGATCCACTCGAGCGACTCGCCCTCGGCCTTGGACGACGAGCGGACGATCGCCAGCCTCCCAGCGACACCCGATGGGTAGTACGACGGTCTTGTCGGTGTTGAGCCGGCCATGGTTGCGAGCCTCCAGTCGAGCGCCAGGTCGTCGAGCAAGTTGAGTGACTCCGAGCCCGCGACGGCGACGACGACGTCATCGGGCAAACGCAAGGGATGTAATGGCGCCGGGCTCTGTGGGTAGGGGTGAATGGTAGGAAGCGGAGAGGTTCAGCGCGATGCCTCGACGGTGCAGAGCATCCAGGAAACGGCTGGAACACGACATCCCAGACCGACGACGACGCCGGGTCCCCTTGGCCGAGCCCACACGTCAGCCGGCACCGGCGGAGTCAAGAAGCCGTTGATGATATATCGCGCCGTGGTTGAGTCACCCGAGTAGAGCATCCTCAGAACGCGTTGGAAGGCGGCAGGAGCGCCGAGAGCGTCGAAGATGGCGAAGATCCATTCGTGCTCGACGAGGTCGTAAGCCGACGATTGGTCAAGAGACAAGAGCGCCGCGTCAGGGAACTCGGTGCCGCGCGCGCCCAGCTCCTCGATCAAGAGTCGCAGGTGGAATGACGCGTCCGCCGATCGGCGGCCCTTGACGAAGCCGTGCTGTTGCGGTGGGAGCAGGTCCGGCAGCACGTGGTTGAGTCGCGCAACGTAGACCTTGGTGAAGAGCTTGTAGTCGCACTCGCGCAAGGTGATGGGCCGGTACGACGAGAGCTCGGCGCGATCGGCCCCGATCTTGTGGTGCTTGAAGAGCAGGCGAGCGAGTCCTTGCCCCTGCTTCGGTGAAAGCGAGCCGCGCTCGGTCATCGCGTTGAAGGCCCTGCTCAGCGCCTTGGCCCACGCCCGCGGCGCTGTGTGATAGAGCTCGTAGGGCACGCCAGATGGACCCGGCGATCGACCGGGGTGTGTTGTTGCGATTGCGGCTACGACCTCGTCCTCGGTGATGGGTTGCTGCAGCAGCTCGATGTGCGCTTCCGAGAGTCGTCGCAGAAAGAGCGGGTCCGAGCTCGGGTCATCGCAAGTGCGCGCCGACCTGATCGGCGCCAAGAAATCGTCCCTAAGTCGCTCGACGTGGTCCCGATCGCGCGGCTCGAGATCGTAGAGGCGCTGAAAGTGCGCCTGTGTGTGGTCAAGCGCGGAC